CTAATTTATTTGAGCTTTTCAAGTCTATTCTGCATCTCCTTCATCAGAAAAAGTTTGTTGAGGCACTTAAACACCTATGTGTGTTGCCTTTCAATGAAAATCTCTTATATCTCTGAAGGTGATAGTTGAGAAGTCTCCAAAAGCAAGAATTGGAGATCTTGATAAAAAGAAGTATCTGGTACCATCAGACTTAACAGGTATTTGCATGAAGTTTTTTGTAAATTAGCAAATCTATAATTGTATATACTCTCTGGGAAAATGAATCTAAATATTAATCTAATATGTTCAATTGAATATAGTTCTGTTGTTTGACATACAATTGATAAAAATCAGGTTGTATTGAATTTTATTTCTTTTTCATTTCTATTTAGTCCAATTTGGCACTTAGATCTAATTTTTTAATTCTTTTTTGTCTAAGTTTCACTAATAATTAAATTTCTAGAACAATCACATTTCTACTGCTACTCCCTGTGTTGAACCACTGTAACCCATGTCAATTACCACACCAACCCAAGAATTGTTGACCAAAAATACTTACCACTTGTAAGTCACCACCGCAATAGTCACCACTTGAAAAAATACAGAGAGCAATTTCCAGTGGCTCTTCTGGGCTGATAGGCTACTCATAAAGAATGTACCAAACTTGGTTTTGTCATATGGAATATATGAAGTATACATATGGAAGTTGGCTTTGAAATTCTGAAATTCTTGAATCTTTCTGGAGAGTAAATTTTTCATAAATTTTTAAACCAGCCTTGTGTCTGCAAAAAACTTCCAGCAAGATCTTGGCCTGGTTCTTGTTTTCATAGGTTTCAAGCAACATGATTAACACAGAAATTATCATTTCTATGTCATGGATGTCTTTTCTACTTGCTCCAAATATTTTTTACAAGAAGTGCTTTCTTTATACTTCTATTGCCTGCTTATTTGTTACTCTGATATGTACATGCGCAACTGTGCATGACATGGCTCATCTAGAATTTTTGTTATAAAACAGTTTGTCTAATGTTTGAAACCATAAAAACGAAAAGCATTGTAGTTACCATTGTCAATCTGTGATTACTGTTTTCTCTCTTGTATTCCTACCCTCTCTAATTTTGCAGCCTTTGTCCACTCTTGAAAACTGTCAGCCAATAGTTTATGTGCACTCTTACCCAGTGGCATACCCAGGGCTGCAGCAGTGGGATGTCTAGGGTGGAGCCCTCAGAAAATTTCTTTGGACCATGCCTTTCAGACATTTGCAAATGCGGGGAAATGCCCTTTTTGCAAAATTTCTCTCAAAATTATTTGATTAAAATTAGCTATGGTAAATAGCAAAGTATTTTACAATTATTATTGACACAAGCATACAGTTTACTTCACCCCCCCCCCAACAAGTTTTACACCATTTTTGGACAAATCTCGAGGATCATATTTTAGAAAAGAGGGGGGGTCCGGACCCCTCTACTCCCCCCCTTGGGTACGCCACTGCTCTTACTCTTCACTTTTTATCATGAAATTTATGTTTCCTCTTGTCTAGCCATAGGGTTGGAGATAAGTAATCTGAATTTGACCAAAGAATGGGGTAACATGATTGCAACCCAACCTGAGTTGTCATGGTGTTTGCAGTCATACTTGCCTTCTTTTACTATTTCTTGATCTTTATGCTAGAAATTTGACCAACTGGCATTCTTTGATTTCCTATTTATTCTTATTTCAGTTGGCCAGTTTTATTTCCTGATACGAAAAAGGATTCACCTTCGAGCTGAAGATGCACTCTTCTTTTTTGTAAACAATGTCATACCCCCAACCAGTGCCACAATGGGGCAATTATACCAAGAGCACCACGAAGAGGACTTCTTTCTGTACATTGCCTACAGTGATGAAAGTGTATATGGATGCTGAAATCTATCCAAAATTTTGAATGAAGCTGCAGAGCTTGAAGCTTTCGTCCATTGCATTAATCATGTATAGTTTATAAGTTACATCTAACTCTGTATGTATATGAATAGGGAGGTAGTGAAGTTGAGTTATTTTAAACTTGAGTAATTTGTAAGTGCTTAATTGTCAATTTTTAATATACAATTAGATTTGGATATTATTGGTATGATCCTGTCCATAGAACTTAAATCTGCTGAATTTGACCCTAATTTTCAAATTGCTGGGCTAGATACATCATTATACAGGATATTATTTATCAAGTTAATTCCTGTTGTCTAATTGCATCCCAATCAGGGACGGATTCAAGCTCTAAGACCCCCTCCCAAAGGTTAGAGGGGGGGGGGTCTTAGATAATGATTAGATTTTGTGCCAAACCCTTTCTGTGAGTATAGAAACTGGTAGAAGCTTCCTTTTTTAAATGGTTGATTTTTAACTTCATGACAGAGTTGAATAAAGTAACTTTTTTGTATCATTTGGTTACTACTGACTACCAAAAACTGCTTTTTCTGAATCGAAGCAAAGTTTACTGAAGAAGACAAACATATTGGGGAAGGGCTGTTGCACCCCCACAACTGCCAATCAATCCGTCTCTGATCCCAGTGTTGCAAACATAATGACCGTGAAAACACTGTCATATAAAAGTATACCAAGCTACTGACCAATCATATTTAGTTTACCAGCTTGTTAGGCTACCCAGATAATAATAATCGTTTTTAATCAAAAGCTCTTGCTTTCTACATAAACATCATCAGTTTTGAATTACTACAAAAAATACATTCATACTAGGTAGTAACATGGGCCTAGCAGATGCAAAACACATTGGGGTCTAGGTATGGATTTTGTCCAAATTTGTTTGCTCCATTGAGATGTAACGTAATTGAGTCAAAATTGCGACAAATGTTGCCTGTCGGCTGAAGCCAAAATCTATGATGCCTCACCCATAGGAAGGGCAGTCAAAATTTTTTAATACAGTAGAAACCTGCATAAAAGAACCTAGGCTTTTGTCTGGCAGCCTGAAAAGGTTCTTAATTAACAGGCTGCTATTCTAAATTCCAGTCTAAAAGGTTCTTAGATACGTACAGGCCTTGCATACATTAACAATGTTTTCCACCGCAAGAATTATAATGGACACACTTAAACCAGCTTTTTTTTAATGTTAAATTTCAACCAATCTAATTAATTTGTGTTGTTAGATTTTCCAATTTGAATGCAACATACCATAACCTAATTTACCAAAAAACCCTTTTTTTGTTACATATATTTATATATAAGAACCTTTCCAAATTGCAGCCTCTTGGGGGTTCTTGATTATGGGGTTTTAAAGTTTAAATTTCAGCCTCAATGTTGTTATAAAAACAGGTTCTTTTATGCGAGTTTCTACTGTAGAACTGTTTCATGGTTAAAATAGTCTTTCTTAAATAAAGTTCCTTTATTCTAATTTCCTAAACTATATTCATATGTGCATTGGTTGCACCTTCGATAGATAGAGCAGACAACTGTTTACCGTTTGAAACCTCATACTTTGGATAAAAATTTTGTACACTCTAGTTGACCAATTTGTATTTTCAAACCACCATCTTCCTGAAATTTGATAAATATAAATTATTGTTAGTAAAGTTTTATGCATTTAAGAAAAAATTGATCGAGATGTTTCGGAGATTGTTTTTTTGTATAAAATTTTTCTGTTTATAAATTGAAACATGCATCCAGTTCATTGATTCATCAAGGTAGTTCTCGGTTGCCTGGGTTTGCGGGGAACAACGAAATTTGAAGAAATTTTTCGTTCATCGAGGGAACGAGTTCTCCACATTTGCTGGAAGAGATTTTCTTGAGAATGTTACACGGAATGAGGATTTTTTTAGCTACTGAATTGCGGAATACTCCATCGTTGTTTAAAAAAGTCCTTGTCACATCTTTCATTTTCTGGTCAGCTGCATCTATCAACTGTGACATGGAATCAAATTGACCATCCCCCTGCTGGTGGATGGCCCTACAGATAGGTTTTGGTAACCAACAAAAATTCTTGTTTTTTTCCCGGTTTGTCATCGTGGAAATATGAAAAGTTATTAGGTAAGTACAATATTAATTTTTGGTAAGAAGCAAGGATAAAATATGGTTTTCACGGTTGTAAGCAGGGAGTCTCTTCATTGTGTAAAGTTTTCACGGCTGTAAGCAGGGAGTCTCTTCATTGTGTAAAGTTTTCACAACCAGCTAATCATATTGACAGATTCTCACAAAATTTCAGAATCCTGTGCTTTTTCAATTTCAATTGTCTGAGTTTCTTATAGAAAAAAATTAGTGTATGTGTACCACCCACGTAGCTGTAGATGTCGGCTAGAGTGGGCAAACTCGAGCAAGAACGATACCTTATGGAGGCAGGCTTTAGTTAGAATAAAAGAACAGACATATAACAAACAAATGTATTTGGACTAAAATAAGCTCACGGAGGTATAATTATGCCAAGTTTTCAAAATATCATTCGGAAAAACTGTAGCCAGAGAGGGCAAGTCGTTGTCAAAATTTTGATTTGGGGGGGGGGGCAGAGCCCTCCTTGCCCCCTGCAGCTACGTGGCTAATGTGCACGCTATGTTCGAATTTTTTCGTGAGCTTCTGCGATTGAGAAATTCACCAACAAGCCTTCTTTTTGTGTAAGAAAGAATTGAATAACTCTTTTCATAGAAATTTTTGCTCCTAGTTACTAATCGCGTCAACTTCTTAATTGCCCTAGTAACAAGTAGTGTTATCGGACAATTTCGGCCCAAAAAATCAATCACATTGCTACAGAGCAAACTAAATGATTATTCTAAGAACATACCAAATCACAACTCCTTTCAAAACTAGCTTATAAACAAACAGACCCGTTGAAAACAAGATCCAGCTATTTCTCGTACAAGGGGCCTAAAAGCAGTGCGAAACAGAACTGGTTGATAACTTAGTTCTGTTGTGTTAGCACATGGATTATTCTTTGAGCGGTATGATTGAAGAGGACTGATCACGTGATATGGAGATCTATGCGTTGTGGGTTGGCTTAAAATCAAATTCAACAAGCAAATATTTCATGACACGTTGGTTTGACTGCTGTGAAACCAGAAGGGATTGAAAATCCAAAACAGATAAACACGGTAAGTTGCATAGATGGTAATCTGTTGAACTGTTACCCTGTGTCCTACTTCATCATCTTAGCTTTTAAGTTGTATCATTTAATCAACGTAGAATTATATTTCCCCTGGCTATTAGACAAGTTGGCCTAGCTAACATGATATATTTATCATTTTGATCGACCATTATATAAATGAAAATAATTTTGAATAATAACCATTACCTCTATCATAAGGCGTATGAAAGCTTCTACTTCTCCCTGTCCTCTTGATAAGATATCCATCATCTGTTTCAAACGAAGCCCCTATCTTCGTTCTTTTCTTACTGAAATAATTCGTGTTGTCTGGCTTTCAGGTAAGGTACCATCCGAATGGAAAAAGGCCTCCACTATCTTGATTCACAAAAAAGACAGCACAGACGATCCATCAAATTTCAGGCCAATCACTTTAGAATCGGTGCCCTTAAAAATATTCACTTCTTGCTTACGTGACTCCATCTTCACTTTTCTGAAACACAATGGCTTCATCGAGCACCAAATCCAAAAAGGCTTCACCTCAAAAGTATCAGGTACATTAGAGCACACAGCAATGATGAGCCATTTAATAAATAAAGCTCGCATTAAGCAACGATCTTTAGTGGTATCTTTGCTGGATCTTAAAAACGCCTTTGGCGAAGTTCACCACAAGCTGATACCAGCTATTCTTGCTTATCATCATATACCTTCGGAAATTCAATCATTGATCTCAAGCTTATATCTAGATTTTAAGACCTGTATCATAACTGATAAATTCCAAACCCCTGCAATTCCCGTTCGCCGCGGCGTATTGCAAGGTGACTGCCTCAGCCCCCTTCTTTTCAACCTTTGCTTCAACACGTTCATACAATACATCAAATCAGATAAATATAAGCAGCTTGGTTTCTCCCCCCATGATGGTAATGACCGCATGTTTCAGCCAGTACACTGGTTTCAGTTTGCTGATGATGCTGCTGTTGTTACCAGTGGAGAAAAGGAGAACCAACTCTTATTAAACTGCTTTACCAGATGGCGCCAATGGGCAAACTTCATTGTCCGGGTTGACAAATGTGTTACCTTTGGTGTCAAGAAACACTCTACGCGATCCCTCCAATTTCAACCGAAACTTTTCATCTGTAACCAAATAGTGCCTGCTGTCAAAAATGGCGATTCCTTTAAGTATCTTGGTCGTTTCTTTGATTTTGAAATGAGTAACCAAGATCATAAATCTAAACTCGTTTCTCTTTTCTCTACTCTTATGAAGGATATTGACGACTTACCTCTCCATCCTAAAAACAAACTGCTATTATACCATCGTTATGTTCTGTCAAAAGTTTCATGGCATTTTACTGTTGCAGATCTACCAAAGACCTGGGTTGTCCAAAACCTAGACAATCTTGTTTCCAATTACATTCGCCAGTGGCTTGATCTTCCTGTTTCTGCAACATTGAGTGGAATAATCCTCTCAAAAAATCAGTTTGGCCTAAATCTACAACTGCGTTCTATCAAATTTACGCAATGCCAAACTGTCTGTCGCAATGCCCTAAAATCTTCTCCTAATATTGACATTCAAACCCTATGGAAAAACACCAGTCATGGCACGAACCTACAGTACGACATCTATCGTAATACTAAAGAGGTATTAAAGGCTGTCAAATCAGACAACAAAGAACGTCTCTCCCAAAACTTAACATCTCAGGGAGCCACAATTACCTTCCTACTGAAACATTCACTGGAAAAGCTGAACGGTATTTGGTCAAGTACACAAAGCAATTTGCCTAGTAACATCTTTAACTTTACCATCAAGTACCTTAACAACACTCTTCCAACTCGTAAAAATCTGCTGAAATGGAACCTTAGTCAAACATCTGACTGTGAATTCTGTCTTCTTCCAGAAACACTTTTACACGTTGTTGCTGGATGCAAAGTGTACCTTGACCAAGGACGCTATACTTGGCGTCATAATTCTGCATTAAACTTTCTAGCCACTTCCTTCCAAGCAATAAATGGGTCTTCTCTCTACGCAGATTTACCAGGCTTTCTTTCCCCTTCTATCATAACTGGAGATCAACTACGCCCTGACTTACTTCTCAAAACTAAGGAAAACTGTCTGTACGTTTTAGAGCTAACCATAGGCTTTGAAACAAATCTCAACTGCAATGCTGTCAGAAAGTCAGGGAAATATGCCACCCTCGTATCTGACTTAAAACGTCAGTTTAAGTCAGTCTCGTTTGTCAATCTTTCCATCAGTTCACTTGGTATTTTTGGCGACTCCTGCAGCTCATTCATCGACATGTGTGACTCTTTGTCCATTGATCATCAACAGAAACGCTACCTCATCTCCAAACTTACAAGCATCTCCATTCGCACCACATACTATATATTCTGCTGTAGAAACAAAACTTGGACTAATCCAGAGCTACACCCCTTTTAACAATTTTTTTTTTCTCATTACTACGATGTAATAGTTTTTATTTTGTAAACACAGGCTAGCCAGTTACAAATTACCTTGTAATAGTGAGATTTGTAATTGTAGTTTTAACAGGAATTCAAAATGAAAAGTTTCCATTCAATCAATCAAAATTATAAACACGATTTGGATAATGTAACTTTTATACGCATTTTGTGTTCGATTCCGTTCCAAAATTTTACAGAACATCTAAATTTTCCGGCGAGAATTGGGATGATACTTACTATAAAAAAACCATTGTCATTAGAAAAGGACTTTTTTATTTATTACACAAATATTTTTCGCCTTTTGAAACACACCTTTTATAAGAATACTATTTTTTTGCTGAGGCTCATTAATCTCGGTTTTGTCATTTTGAGCCTAAAATTATTCTTATATGCGACAAAAGATGTAATTTCAGATGAAGATCAGAGTTCTAATCTCTGTTTTATGTGCTACGTCATCACAAAAACAAAACAAGAACAGAACAGAACAGAACAGAACAGAACAATAACTATCGAATAAAAATATAAAACAACTATAGCACGATTTCAACTCAGTCTATTTCATCAGCTGTTATCTAGTCTTCTATATCATCTGCAAACGAAAATCTCTATTTAGCAAGCTGTTCTTGTATTTTTATTATCTATGAATATAATGTGTTTAGTTTTATTAGTTTGAATAAGCTATTCCTACATGAGAACGGAAACTCTCAGAGCAACGTCAGAGAACTGAAATTCCCCCAAGGGCAACTGGGCCCAAACAACTTAATTCACAAACAAATAAATTCTTGATGAAGCTTTAGCCTTGCATTCTACCTTAATTAATCTTAAATTTCAGTGATAGTGAGCCTTAATATTATTGCGGTCAATCTTCTTAAAAAATGCTTATATTATTTTACTTTTTGTTAGTGGAAACAAAAAGATATGCCAGTCGCTGGAATTGCCAGTATCATAATTGGCGAAATGCCAACTGAGATAATTGGCGAAAAACTATAGTTAGAAAACTATATTTACTTCAGTGGAAAGGCCATGTCGTTGTTATAAATGTTAGAATTATTGTTGAATTGATTTTTCACCGATTATTTTGTTTCTCTAACCATTTCAAATTTGTGCCTGTTTCAAGTTTTAACGAAAGTAAAACACCTCCACAGTTCGTGTTCCATTTAAAAAATGAATTCTCCGCGAATACAATTCTCAAAAATACAAATTTATTTTTGGCATTTTATTTTGTTCCGTACAAATCTCTAGGTATTCCTAAAAATCTAAGAATCTTCTTCGGAAAATTTCCCTCTCTAATGTCCCGGATTAACGTTGTTTCAAAAAAGGGAATCTACGTGAGACCCGAACCAAATGAAAGTGGAATAGACCCTGAAATGAAGTCAATTCGCCATGAATTTAAGACCGTTTTAAAAGATGTCATGGAAAAACGTTTAACCATATCGCTTCTATTCTTGAATCATATCGCTTCAATTAAAAAATATTTCAAAACCGAAGAATCTTTGATGCACCGCCCGCTTTTTAAAATTGACCATACACAAAACAATGAATTGAAATACCGTCGATGGTTCTTCAAAACACGCTACCACTGATGAATAAGCCCTAGTCACAACTGTATTGATTATGCCAGCAATATGGTTATTTGTTACATAACTGGGGGTACGAGGTTTGTAACATGTTTTCTCTACAGGCTACTGTGGATGCTATCACCTCTGCAATTCTGACACTGTATGTGTTTTTTCTCCAGTTCTTGTTTTTTCATAACTTCTTTTATGCAATTCTCGGTTTCCGGTTGACGTCATCGTTTTGCATCAGACTTGTTCAGAAACGGATATCAGATTTGAAATCGTCATGTTGAAATTAGTCTAAACTGGAAACTTCATTTCGTTTGTACTTCTCTGTAGCGAGTTACTATGTTTTGAATATTTAGATATTTATAAAGATTTTACCACTCCTGTAAAATGTACAGGAAGAGCGAAATTTTGATAACGGCGTAATTCGCGGTCTGACTGCCCAAACGGCATGGAATTTTCGGTACAGACTAAATTTAACATGAATATTTCAATTCTATGATCCATTTTTGTCTAATGCGAAGAAAAAAGTTTAACAACGCTAACTCGAAACCAAGAATAGTACCTGTTGAATTATGGCGCTTCCAATCAACTTCGTCCTGAATAACCGTCCAGATAACCTTTCGCGATTATACAGGCGATTTCAAAGTTGATTTGAAAAATCGTTTATATGTTATATGAAATCAATGGGATACAAATTTTCATAAGAAACACGCCATAAGAAATGAGTTTTAGACAATCAGTAAAAATTAAGAAACTTTTTTACATGAAGAAGGAAAAACATTCTAAGAAACAATTGAATTTAGAAACAACCCTAAACTCTGAAAATACATGAAAACCCGTCAATATCTCTAGCTAGTTGGAACAAAAGACCTTGGAAATACAGATAGAGTTCTAGAGTGATGACATCACAATCTATTTTTAGAATTTTTGAGTTTGGCTCCCATAGCCTGAAAGAGCATCATGAAATACCTCTAAATATGCATAATCATTAAAATGTGTTACGAATTGGCTGAGATATGGCCACATGTGTATTAGCTCTTTCCCCATCTATATTTTGGTCTCTGTTCATAACTTTATGAACAGAGTGAAAATAACAGTGATTCGTTAGCAAACTTCGAATCTTTCATTGGCAATATCCCAACTGATTTTGGACATATTTGACTAATTTTGCATACCTGGAATTATTTCATGGTGATCTTTTATGTTATGTGGTTAAAATTCAAAAATAAGTTTTTGGTGACGTCACACGTTAGAACTCTATATAAAGAAATGTGAAGATGCGAAAACCTTCTCTGAAAAAATTTCCGTTCGTAAATTTCCTAGTGTTAGTGATCTAATTTAGGACTGAATGTTAAATTCCACACCATAATTTAAAAACTCTAAAGAAAAATGCTATATCTGTAAAGAATTGCTGAACTTAACAAACATTTTCCTTTTTCTTCGCCAGTGATATCAAGAAAACAAATATATGCCTAATGTTTGTGATGCAACTAGCAAAACGGGTAAATTGCGTTTGGCTTACATCACAGAAGCCATGAAAAATCGAATAAATTTATCTGGACGATAAAACACAAGGACCATCTTTTTGACCATCTAAAAACATTCTTGAATTCAGTACCAGGGGCGGACTGGCTGATATTTTTGGCCCGGGCAAATTTTGATCAAACCGGCCCACAATAACAGCAAATAAAAAACTCCTCGGAAAATGCAAGTAAATGTTAGTCTGTAAGGAAAACAAGTTTTTAAGTTCAGTAATTTTGTGCATGGATGAATGCTGGTTAACAGAACATGTTAAATAAGTCGTTTGCTGACTAAATAGCAAATAAAGAAAAATTTTAACTCATTGGTTTGACTTTCTTTCTAAATACAGTAACTTATATGTTGATAATGTGATCGTTCTAGATGTCATCTAACAGGTGTTTTTCTAAGAACATTAACATGAGGGACTCCAGGTAACGTAATCTGTTCTTTATATATTTAAAGCTTCTATCACACTCAACTTGTGACAAATAATTTTCTAATCCTCCGGAAAATAACAATGATTTTCAGCAGCCCAAAAATATCGATTTGTCAATTTCTGACCCCAAAAAGAAAACATGGGCACCCCTGTTGAAATTTTATCGTGTAGCATCATACCCCTATTGGGCGGGGGGTCCATTTGACTTATGATAGTATATGCCTAATAAATTTACCATAACTTGTATGAGTTTATTGAAAGGAGCAAGACCCTGCTGTTCTTTGTGACGTTTGTGGCTTTTGCTTGATAAAAAAAGCTTTGTATCGTAGCTGAATCCTTTTTTAAGTCTCGCAGCTTTTCCTCACGAAATTTCTGTGCACCACCTTTGGTTGAAGTCTTCTTGCTCTTCCCTTGTTCTACGTATGTCCTCTTCATTACTTCACATCACAGAGCAAATCCCTTAGTGAACTCTAATTTTTGGACTTTTAAATTTATTACATTTAGCAATAGCTTGTGCTTAGGGAAAAACATGACCAGCTTCAAGCAAAAGCTAAGTAAAAAGACATCTAGAGAAAATATAACAAAATGTCAATAACATGTTCCCTGAAGAAGTGTGTTTGGGCTGCGGTGACCAGGGGCGAAACTACCGGGGGGTGTGGGGGGGGGTGTGACACCCCCCCATTAAAAAAATAGTCGATTTCGCAGGGCAATCGAAGATTTCGCAGGGCACCAAGAAGAGGTTTGTTGCCACGCAGAAATGTAACCTCTGAAGTTCATAAAGAGCTGTTTAGGAATTTTGAAATGGAAATATCATATTTGTTATGAATCTACCTTCCTGACATTGCATAATAGAGAACGGAACAGGTATGTAAGGAAAAGCTCCGTTATTTGCAAAGCGAAAGCATGTCTTACCGAAAGTCATAGCCAATGGATGCAATGATTGATGCATATGTTTATGAGGGCAAGGTTGAGTCCATACAAGTTAATTTAAGTTGTAAATTATTTTCATAACAGGCACGGCGTCACTGGGGGGAATAGGGGGCTGAAGGCCCCCACTTTGGTCAAGATAAGAATTTTCTATCATTTTTTCTATTACTTTTTAACAGTGCATGAAATAAAAAGAGAATAAACTGTTAAGATGCCGATTTTATTTGATCTAATTACTAACTTTTTCACGTATATTTTTATTATTTTTTTTTTATTTGCATTAATTCAGTAAATCACTTTCTGTATCATTGCAATGTTTAAATTTTGAAGCACGGCCTTTTCGAGACAAGAAACTGCACATTTCTGTTCAGGAAATAAAATTATCCCAATCTGCCTCTGTCATTCACAACTATGTGCAATCTTAAACGAAAGGTTACCGTTTCTTTCCTTCCCCAACGTCTATCACTAGAGTTTTAGCATGACATGCCCCTCCCTATTTTCCCCAATAAACAATAATCAGTTTTTTAGCACAATAGTCTGAAAGATGCTTTTTAGCTCTTATAACAAGGTATAATTTCAAAAATTTTCTTCACGTCGGACCCAACCGTGGTGGGTCCTCCTATATCACTAAACTTGATTCTTAGTCCCCCCCGGGCTAAATATTTCGTCGCACCGTCTACATCATGTACCCACACACACCATATGTCATGAAATACAAGCTTTAGTACCAATGAAAATCAGATTTGACATTTAATTTACGCTCACGTAGAGAAATAGATATTTCATAGGCAATGAAGTTTCAAGTTTGTTTTTATTGCTTAGAAGTTTGTCCTTGGTAAAGACCAGTGTACACTGGTGAAGCTTTAACTAGTAGCCTATAGACAAACCTTTGCTACGAGGTCTGCAGGGCACCACTCAGTTTTGCAGGGCAGAAACCCTTTTCACCCCCCCAAAACTATTGGCCAAGTTACGCCCCTGGCGGTGACAAAAATGAATTCATAATTTTGATGGTTTTGGAGTACTCGCGTGTATATTTATTCTTTCCCACAATTCTCTGAAAATTCAAGGCAAACAGATTAACGCGTGGGTATACTTTTTTGCCTCGCATTCACTTTTTGAGCTAATTTATTTTTTTGCACTTTTATCAACCGGCCCTTAAACCGACCGGCCCTTCGGGCGATCGCCCGAATAGCCCGACCAGCCAGTCCGCCCCTGTTCAGTACAGTTGTTTCTGTTGTTAGTTATGTTTAATTTGTAACATTTAACTTTCAGTAGCATATGTTCAGTAGCTTTCAGTATCAGTAGCAAATGGAAACATTTGTTGAACGATTATATAATGAAAATAGCTTCCAGTGCATACAAGGTGTTTTTATCCAGGAGCTACCTTGAATTGGTGTACTTCTATTCTTTGGCAAACAACCTCATTCCAATTTTAACACTGCAAAATAAAAAAATTAAGCCTAAGAGGGAACTCAGAAATGTCTGTTTACCAAAAGGGACAGCCAGTGCTACCAATGCAGGTGGGGTGCATTTGGGTACAATATGGCAAACATTTTGCTATTTATTGTTTATATTAAATCATTTCCTGGTATCTCATAAAGCTTATAACAGCTCTGTTTCATTTTTGCCAGAATATAATCTCTCTTCAAATATTTTTTTTGGATTAAGATGAATTACAGGATCATGTCAAGAACAGTAGGACGGTTTCTCCACAGGCTCCCTAAATCAACAGGTCAATGAAATAAGCAATAGGGCACCTTGATTTGATAGTAAATAAATCAATTGGCCTATTTAACTTTTTCTAAGTATACAAAGTTGTTTTTCATGGCAGAAACATTTATTATTCTTTACATTTCTATTAAGAAAGTCAATACGGATGAGTACCTTATTTTGGTTTGCTGCAAATAAGCAAAAAGTATCTTCTTATCACAGTTAAAGTAACTTCGGATGATGATGATGCAGCCATTTCATTCAGGAATCTAGAAGTGAGGTAGAAAATCAGGTTTTTTTGACAAATCACTTAAAAGTTTGCATTTTTGAGATAAAAATTCCACAAGCATTTAGCAAATATAAAAAAATTTCCAGCGTACGATGGTGTTTATACTAGCTTCAAAAACTATTTAAAAACAGGAAATTTTACAAAGTAATGTCTGAAAACCAGCTCAGAAACCAAATCATATAGAGAGTTTTCAAAGGCACATCTCTTCCATTTTATATTAAGTGTATCTATTTTTCTATAATAATAACAACAATTTAGCGCTTTGGTGAGGTAAAAGTAGTGCTGTTGTTTATTTTCTGAATCTTTGTCTTAGTGGCGTTTCCTTTTCTCTTCTCATTTGAAACATCTCACTTATAATACAAATTAAAGACTCATTGCTAACAATGGAGTCTTTGCGAGCACGGCAACGGTCCAAACAATGGCAGTAATTTTCTACGGATTAACCAAAATTGATTTTAGACAGTCTAAAAATGCATTATGGGATGCTTGCTTAGCGCAATGGCTCATTGTTAGGAATGAGTCTTTAAAGAGCTAATATTTCTAAGGTCGTTAGTTCAGCCCTAAACCAAAATTTTTGGTAATTTGTTGATGAATTTATTTATTTAATTCTCTCTTGACTGAAAGAAATTAACACAGAAACATACTGCTGCTCAATATTTTTCAAGATTGGTTCATCTGGATGCTCTTTCATAAACTTTCTATATGATGACAATGAGCTCAGGTAGCCAAGGTAGTCAAGAAGGCTTGTTTTGGTGATTGACTGGAAATCATCTCTTCTAGAAAAAGAAATCAAAATCAATAAGCACTGACTGATCTATAGGACACCATAACAAGCTTTTTAATTTGGCTAATACCATAAAATTAAATGAAACAAACACATCCATAATTCAACTAGGAAATAAGAACACTGCAATGCCGAAATAGCAGTCAATAGCAAAATGACCTGTACTTAAGTTGAATTCAGTAATTCAATACACTTTTTGAAGACAGTTGTAGAACTCTGTTATGATTTCTGTTATGAAGTTTTCAATATTACCTTTCGTTGTCCTCATAGGGTAATACAATATCCCTATAGCCATTGTCAACAGTCCTTCTCCGTTCATCCCAATAGTCCTTCAATGTCTCGAATGCAAACTGCAAAATAAAAAGAATTATAATAGACCATAAATTTTGTAAACGAAATCAAAGCACAGGCACTATGGAGCTTTGAGAAAAGTGGGGGGTCTAAAAAAAGTGGGGGGAGGGGGGGCTAAAACTGTATAAAAAGAGGCTTTACTGGTATTTTATTACTTAATATTTGGCAATTGTTGCAAAAAGTCCCCTGCCCCTCTGCTCTGCGGTGCCTGTAGCATTATAAAAAAAGAAAAATGGAATAGAAGCATTTAATCAAATGAAACATATCTTTTATATCAGTTTTGTTTTGAGTTTGGTTCACAGGTCCCATTTGCTGACAAAGTCTATGGGCCTTTTTTTCAAAAAATGTTGAAAATCTGTCAGCTAAGCATTCTGAGATGTCAAAACACCTCGTTGGCAATTGAATTTTTGGCTAGATGGTATCACATTCCACAGGCCCCAAATGCTTTTATCATATTTCTTATCGGAAAAAAGTAAAAAGTTTGCTAACATAGCAAGAAAATATTCTGGATTTAACTTCAGGTGAAACAGCAAAAAGGAAGAAAAACAGCATTCTTGAGAATACTAATTATCTACAAATTGCAAGAGTGCATACAATTTCCTACTTAAAACAAAAAATGCTCAAATATGATACACATGAATACCTCACGTGCTATCCTGTTTAACGATGGTTGTTCAAATTCATTGAAATGATGTGCAAAAACAGCTAGGCAACCTCCTGGCATCAATACCCTGTCAACTTCTTTGTAGAATTTTTCTTGATCAAGCCAGTGGAATGACTGGGCACAAAGTAACAATGATACTGTCTGATTTTCTACTGGTAAACTCTCAGCAGACCCGACAAGAAATTCCACATTATTATTTCCATTGGCTGTATTAGCCTACAAAAGAAGACATAAAACAATCAATCAATCTTGCCAAAAGATGTGATTAACTTTTTATATGACCTTGATTTTAAGCATAGGACTCAACAAGCAACCCTGAAGTACACCTCATGAAACTAGGAACCACTCTCAGTTGGGCCAGTCCCCTCTGGCCCAGGGAGCAAAGTTGGTTTACTTTAGAGCAGGATAGGAGATTTTTAATTAGTTTCTTTTGCATTACTTGTATGATATTTGTCTATTTAAACTATCAAAATTGTTCTAGGGGGAAGGGGTGGAAGTAGTGATTTTTTTGGGAAAAGAAAGGAAAGATACAAAAAACAACGCGAATTGTTGGGTGTTCCAAGGATTTTTGATAGGCATGCTTATATGCCTATAAAGAAAACTATTTAGTGTCATTGATTGGAGTTTGGGAATCTGTGAAATGCCACATTCTACCACCAAAACGATATTTGTTAACACAACAAGTGCGTTTTGATAATCAACAAAAAGTTGCCTATACATGGCGGGGAAGCGTTAGGGGGGGGGGGAGAGGTTGAATTGGAAATAATAAGTGGGGGCGATTATTCAGTGCTCTGACTCCAAATGAGGGTGACTCAAGGAAAGCAAGAAGTACAGTATGTACGTCTCACCTCCTTTATTTGTGCAGAACTGACATCCAGACCAATAACATTCTGAAAGTATGGCGCAAACATCTGGGAACTTTGCCCAGATCCGCAGCCAACATCAACAGCTAGAGGGAGGAGCTCATGGCGATCCAGGGAAACTTGTCGCTTGCAGAAGGATACGATGAATTCTGCCATGCTCTGAGGGTGTAGAGGCCTGAACTTCTTGTAAACATTTGCATGATCGCTTTCCTCAAATAGTCTGGTAGACATTTTGCGCACTAAACATAGCAAGCCTTTCGTCATTTGGAAACAAGCTTCCTAATTTACCAAACAGCCAATTGATATACCATAAGTATCTAAAGATAGGGGTAGCATAGTATAGTCTATGATTTGCATAGACGACGACCTCTACGCTCGGCTGGACCCTAAAACCCTTTTACGGCCCTCTAATCCAGATTCCAGGTACAACTTGTGCCCAGGTACAACCCAGTAACTAATTAATTAACACTTTGATTAATTAGTTACTAAATTGGCAAACCAGTCTTCTCGGTCTACCTAGTCCAAGTATGAGAACAAAAGCAAAGTAATTTGATTGGACCATTAAACAATGGGTTATGCACCCAGGGTCATAGACCAGTTTAAACAGGTTTGACGAGGTCTGCAAGTTAACTGTGTCAGACCTCTCCTTCCTCAGTAAGGGTGTACAACAATAGAAGGACGATAAATCGCCGGTGCGTAAAACCAAAGTTTTCATAGCCTCGTGAAGTTTTTCTGCCCGTGAACATAAACTCCTAAAAGGTGAGAGTCTTTGTGGATTTTCTTTTGGTATTTACAACAAAGCATGTGGTTTAATAAACTGTTATAAAACGAAGATAGCATTGATTTATAAAATAAGGCCTAGCTTTATGACATAACTTTTGTTTGAGTTCATTGATTCTGGTGACGTGTGGAATCGGGTTATATCTAGTTGAAGTGGATATTAAGGCAACATCAAAATAATTAGGATTTTGATTTTGTCATTAATTGGGTTTGAAAATGTAGTATGGTCTATCTGTCTATATGGCTCAGTGTTTATCCGTTTGTTATTTAAACCAGGATTTGATTCCTAGTAATTCTGCTGTGATAACATTGACCTCGTAGCTTTGGCTGTTGAAGTCGAGGTCTCTGAAATCGTAAAGAATGACTGCTTTAGAAGTCGATTGTGTGAGAATGCCTTGAAACTTCGGGTAAAGAAGCTGTCATCCGAGAATGGTCCGAGAAAGAATCACATGAGAAATAATGATTATCGGATAAAAGCGATCAAATTGCACTCAGTAAGATTTGAAAACAGATCGACGATCCATTTGAGATAGGATCGGATTACTTATGGAGAACATTTTTGAAGATTGAAAAAAACCCTTGACAGGCACCGCGGAGAAGTGGGGGCTAGGGGGGCTTTAGCCAAATATCAAGTATCAAACTACCAGATAAGCCTCTTTTTACATGGTTTTAGCCCCCCCCCCATTTTTTAGACCCCCCACTTTTCTCAACGCTCCGCGGTGCCTGCTTGAGATGTATTAAATTGTTTTATAAAATAGAGAAAAAAGTCAATGTATTTTTGTGTCTGCCAGACTGATTTTTGGCCTGTCAATTTATGTTTAAATTTTCAGCTTACTTTCGGTGTCTAACCGACGTTAAAATGGGACGAAAAGTTCTTTAGTATGCTGTTTCCGACATTTCGTGCAATCTTCAATTTTTTTTGTAATTTTTAATCATTTATGCATTTTAGGGATAGGGATGATGTCTTGAAACACTTGAAATGTCTGAAAGGTTTCTATCGACCTAATGTTTGAAAATCAAAGCCCAAATTTTCTGACATGATGTGGATGGTTGAGGGGTGCGTGTGGGGGTCAAAAGTCACGCCACTGTATTAACCAATGCTGTTACCATTTTGGAAAGAGATGGAACCTGCATGTTTTTTTCTTATCATATGCAATCCTTGATTTATTTGTGATTCAATTTAGTTGCGTTCATATAAAATATTTATAGATGATCAATGAAACAAAATTTCCACGATTCTAAGAATTAAAATCATTGAAGCTGTTTGAGGAAAAGACTGACATAAAGCAAAAGTAGCCTTCTATATTGGAAACTTTAAAATTATTCTCTTATTTGATTTGGTGTCATTTTGAATAAAAAGTCACATGTCACACGTATATTAAATTGTGAGAATTAAAATACAGGCTGCAAAGAGAGAATCAGACATTAATGATCTCTGTCTTGAAGTTTTCTTAGAATTCTTCTCTGTTGTAAACAAAGCATATATATAAAGGCTAGTTGGGAAGTTTGCTGAATTCTCTCTCTTCTCGCTCACAGAAAACTGGCCAGCTTTCCAATGCTAGACAGAAACCTACCATGGCAGCCTGTGTGGATTACCCTTGTGGAGATGTCTACTTAAGGCTGCAAGCTGGGTGCAGCTCACTGCTAGAGAAAATAAACCAATATTTGACATCATCAGACAAATTTTTCTCACTTGAGTTCTATCCACCACGTACTCGAAATGGAACTTGCAACCTGCTTGAAAAGTGTGACAGATTTGTTGAAGGAAGTCCGCTGTTCTGTGATGTAACTTGTGACATGAAAGATTATGATTGTGATGAAGTTAAAAACAACAATGCTATTACACTAGCATCTGCAACTCAGGAACTTTTTGGTGTTGAAACAATGCTTCAGCTGGACTGTGCAAGGCTAACAGAATGTAAAGCACAAGAAATTCTGAAACAAGCTCAATGTTTAGGTCTTAAAAATGTTCTTGCAATGAAAGAGGGTATGTAAATTTTTATTTCACTTAGATCTGCTGTTCTGAGAACTTCCTTAAATAGTAGGCATTTAATTTTTTGTAAAATGCAAACATGAAAATTTTTACACCTTTCAGCACTGGATTTGAGTTGTAAAGCTATTATATAATTGATACTTTGTTCTTATGCAAACTGTATTTTTATCTGATGTCTCTTTGTTCTTAATGAAGATTTTTACTTCTAAAGCAGTTCTTTATCTCAAGAAATGACATATAGATATTTGTTTTGTAGCTCCCAAGAGCAAAGAGGATGAAATTCGCTCCACTAGTTCATATGTAGATTTCAAAAATACTGTTGATCTTGTTCGCTTTATCAAGAAATGCTTTGGAGATTATTTTACCATTTGTGTTGCAGGTACGTTGATGTCTGAAGTTCACTTCTACTTTTTTGTAATTGAATATTATTTAGTAACTAGCAAGATTTGCTTTGAAAGATCTTTGATTTTTTATCTTAACTGTTTGCTAGTCATAGATATTATTTTGCCTTCCTTTGCAAGGAGAATAAAGATCAGGTTCAGATCCTTCACTAAACAAGTCAATGATTTTGACATGATCAAATTGTGCTTTTGGGTATGACATTCAGCACCAAAATGATAAGTTGGTGAATTGATATCAATGGATGTTGATGATGACATGGCATTGTTTGCTGTTAGTTACAGGGTATTGTGTAGCATTAGAAGTAGTAAGGTCTGGGACGTCTTTTCCCCCCAAAGCCCAGCAGGGGCTTAGCTCTAATTCAAAAGAAAAATTGAAAAATTGTAAGTATTTGATGTAGAGTAACTTTTTTATCTTTTGTGAATTGTGACATATAGAAAATAGGGAGTCAACTTTGGAAGGAATGGGACTTTAAAGACATGTTTTCCTGTTCTTTCCCTTTTCAGAGAGTGCAAAATAGGTTTGATGGGTTTGGGGATGGGTATTTTTTTGGCAGCCGTGATACAGGCTGTAAAATTTGGTGCTAGTAGGATAAAGGAGAGCCAAAGGGAAATCTGGGTTGAAATTCATGAAAATGTATAATTCCAAGATATTCCAAATTGGGTTTGGGTTAGGATCGTGATTAAGGTATCCTAAGGTATCCTCTCACCATTGTACTGAAATGTGCCTTAAATAATGTTTTGTGATATCATACAGTTCTGAAATGTTAAATTTTATTGCGATTTCTTGAAATGGTAGGTAATTTCATTGATTTAAGGCTACCCATCAACATATGATAATGATGAGTATTATGAAGAAAGTCTCCAGCATTTGGAAGCAGAGATCAAAGAGGGAGCAGATTTTATTATCACTCAGATGGTTTTTGATGCTACAATGCTCATCTCCTTCATTAAAAGATGCAGGGCCATGGACATCAATGTTCCCATTATTCCAGGAATATTTCCAATACAGGTACATATAGGGTATTGCGTGCTGGCACTTTGCTATGATAGTTTATATTATACGTTCTTAGCTGTGATTTATTACTCATTTATAAGGGCATCATCACAAAATTTCGACCACCTTAAAATTGCAACAAAACTTTAATCATATGCAGTAGGGACAAAGTGCTGCCAAAAATACATATATATCCCAAACATGTTGTAAAAAACAAGCAAGAGCAACTAGCGCATTTGAATTTTTAATAAACTAGTATTTTTTAGTTCATTGGTTTTCAACAAACAATTGATTCATCATGTGATATTTATAGAAAAATTGGGAAAGCTCTCGATCATGGCTCTTTTTTCAGCACTGGTCAAGTTTCCCTGATCTGAAGTAGTTGCTGCTCACATTGTCATTGAACAATCAAGGAAATGCCACCAGTGTTAAGAGCCTTGCTGCTTCCAAAAGCAGAATTGGTCCAACAAGCACTTCAAATTTATCTGAGTCCATCAAAAGTGGGATGGAACACCCTCAAGCGAATATACAAGTTAAAAATAGATCAAATCAAGACCTTAACCAAGACAACCTACCAAATCTCCCAGTCCTAGCCTCTAAACAATGTCATCGATATCCACACTTATAGGCTCTTGCACCCTTGCTTGTTTTAACCTTCTTTCTAAAATTGCCCACCTCTCTGTATTTGAGACAACATTGACTCTTCTTTTGAGCGCATTCAATGTTCACATTGAACATTTGAATGACCAAAAAAAATTTTGTGTTGATGCCTGTTTTAGGGAATTTTTGTAACTGCATGTAGGAGGGAAGTCTTAAATATAACCAGCAAGAAGAGGATTTTCCTAACTAACCTTCCTGTTATCTGCAATTGGAACATAATCCTTTTAGAAATCTCTCTTTTTTTGTAGAGCTATTCCTGCATAAAACAGTTAGCCAAGGAGTCAAGTATCACTATACCACAAAGAGTTATGAATGTTCTGAATCCCATCAAAGGCAATGATGAAGCTGTGTTGAAGTACGGAACATTCTTAACAGTTCAGCTTTGCAAGGCATTGCTTGAGACTGCACTGGTTTGTGGTCTTCATTTCTACACACTCAATCGTGAAACAGCAACTACAGATATACTCAAACAATTGGGCCTTTGGAAAGAGGAACGCATACAAAGACGTGTCTTACCTTGGCAGCAGTGTGAGGAAAACCAAGAAAGGGCAATGTCAGAAACTGTACGACCAATTTTTTGGGCCTTGAGGCCAGAAAGTTATGTTTTTAGAACTTCGCAATGGGATGAGTTTCCAAATGGACGATGGGGCGATTCAACTTGTTCTTCCTTTGGTAGATTTAGTGATTATCATTTATTTTTTGCAAAGAACAGAGACAGACTGCCTGAACTAAAGAGAATGTGGGGTGAAGCTATTGAGAATGAAGAAGATGTTAGGGATGTTTTTGTTTCTTATTTATCTGGAATGACAAACAAAGCTGGCGTCAAGGTACGTTGTTCTGCTTCCTGACAGAACATAATCTGATAGCAAAATATCTATCTTATCGTTTAAGTCAAAGGTCAGGGTTAATTCCATTGAACTTCAATAGACGTTAAAAACATTATCTTTTAGGTATCAGCAGGTGATTCTCACGAAGAAAGTAAATTATAACTCCTTATCTTTAATTATATATGTAAAGTATTTTACTAGAATTTCGAATATTATCATCTGTTTAAACTGCTCGGTCATGTTAGTTCTTAGGTGGACATTTTGTTGTCTTTCCTTGATAAAAATGTATACGCTGTCTCTCATTTTCCTCAGGTAACTACGATCCCTTGGGCAGAAGACGACCTTGCTCAAGAGACCCATGTGATTCGTGAACGGCTTGTTCATCTCAACAGGAATGGAATCCTCACGATCAACAGCCAACCCAATGTTAATTGTCTTCCATCTTCGGATAAAGTATTTGGTTGGGGAGGCCCTGGAGGATACGTCTTCCAAAAGGTAAACACTTGAATGTGTTTCAGCAAACTTTGCGTAGTAGGTGAGTCAGCGAATTTTCTTCTTCCAGTTCGAGTACACTGTTGCAGAAAAGGTATGTAATCGGAAATGGAGAAAGATAAGTTTCTTTTGAAGTAAATTTTATGTTCCATAGAAAAGCAGTTCATAAGAAATAGTATTTAGAGCAGCTTCAACGCTTCTAAAACCAGGAACGCGAAAAACGATATTACAATGTGTGTGATCTCTTGTCGGATATGCTTTCAACAGTACTGGAACAATTTTCACAACAAATTCTCAAAGAGAGAGAAAAATCTGCCTTTGGCATGAACCTTGCCCAATAAACTCAATCACAATTTCATTCTGGACCGGTTGTCTTAAAGACTCATTGCTAAGAGTGAGCCATTGCGCTACGCAAGCATCCCATAATGCATTTTCAGACAGTCTGAAATCAATTTTGGTTAATAATCTCTAGAAGTTTTCTGCCATTGTTTGGAGCGTTGCCACGCTCGCAAAGGCCCATTGTTAGCAATGAGTCTTTAAAGCTTTTGGGAACGTGCAACATCTCCTGCACCCTCTTGATTGGCTTCTCTGCAAGAGCACCGGAGCCACGGGCAGCACGGGAACAGCGAAGTGCCCTTTTCAAGAAATTGATTTTCAAGCAATACTAATTCATATAAATATTTTGAACAGTCAAGGCATCAATAATGTTTTAGATTCAACCAAAGGCGTAAGAACTGGGGGGGGGGGGCACAGTAGGCATGTACCCCCTTTTTCCAAAATTCAGTTTACCTGCCCCTTTGCAGCTCACCGAGTTCCTCTTTTTGCCAACTGCATAACCAAAAAGTGCCTTTGAATTGCTTAGGTGCAATACGAAATGAGCAAAGGGGTGACCTTTTGAGGCGATGATCTAACACGTTTATTTTCGATCTGCTTCTAGAAACACTGAAAAACAAGCTCACAATAAGGGTTACCGAAAGGTGGTGGCGATGGAAAATTGGCCATGGGCCTTGAGGTTTAGGGTGCTCTCGAGGTTTCCAGTTTGTGGAAGCAATTAGTAAGACATAACTTTTACAACTTTTTTAATCTTTGCAAGAAGGTAACTGCAAAAAATATACTGACATGAATTTTTAGGTAATCTAAAGGGCATGGTCGCCAAAAATTGTCTTCGTAGTGATTCTGCCGCAAAGGCCTACAAAACCGCCCGGCGACGCAACACACAACTAAGCCAGAAAATGATATCGTTGTAGCCAGGCTTCATGTAACAGCCTGTTTTACAATAATGAATATGTTTCTTTTTCTTTGTCAAATAAATTGAGCCAAATATGGAACTCATTCAATTGTTGATTGAATGAGTTCCACATTTCATCGTTTCATTGTATAGTCTGCAAGGAATACGTATGCAACATCAGTTATATCTGATTTAAATTATATTTAGTGTTGGTAATTTGAATTGGTTGGCTTTATTTAGCTTGAATATACAGCTAACAATAAAACAATAATAATGCTTAATATAACAATAAATTTATTTAGCTAGCTACAGATTGTACCAACTTTAAATAAAGAAAGAAAAAACAGTATGTTCAGAGTAGTTACATCAAAAAGTTATATCAAGCCCTGTAAATGGTCATCAGAACAAAGTTTTGTTTTTATGTAAGGTAGGACTGGGCCCAGCCCCCCCCCCCCTTGATGGTTGATGTTGGGGTAAAAGGAATTTCGAGAATGAAGTTTGACTGTAGTCTTGATTCCAATGTATTTTATGTTCTTGTATTTCCTACAGTCTTTGGGGCGTAGCAACGCAAAATTTTCCTTGGGGCTACGCTCCTAGACCACCGACGCTCTCTCCTTTGACAGGGCCTTCACCTATAGCCAGGCTTCGTCATTGGCTAAACGACGATTCCCGATCCGTTTCATTAGCAAACTTTGACACCCCCAAGGTGCCCTTTCTGCAGTTCCTGCCCCCGCCACATCATGAAGCTTCCGGCGCCTCTGCTTCTCTGTCCCCATTGTTATCTTGGAAAAGATTTTGTCTAAAATACATTGTTGTTTGAACTCCCCTTTTTATCCTAAAGGCCTGTTTATATGGAAAAAAATCATCCCACCTTCCAGCCTGTGAACTGAGAGGTGAGATCCCACCATCCTTTAGAATCCTTTGTATTTTCGTCTTGCTTTTATATGGCAAACGAGCCCACCCGGCTAGGTGAGAGGTGGGATCTCCGTTGGGTGGGATGAATTTCTCCAATATAAACACTGGAAGGTGGGATAAAGCTGGAAGGTGGGATTGAATTTTCATTTAAATGCCATAAAGTTTCGTCCGGCTGGAAGGTAAGATGATTCTCTCCAGATACAGATGGAAGGTGGGATAGAATCTCCATGTAAACATTCCATGATTTCGTCCCACCTGCCATAGGCTGAGAGGTGGGATACATTTGCCATATGAACAGGCCATAAATGTACTATGCTTGTCGAATCTTGTGCTTCCCCGTTATAGTCCTCGAAAGGCCCTTAAAGGAGAACTGACACGCAAAAATAAGTTTGGCTAAATCGGTAGTTCGTGACAAGCAAATTCCGGGATCGAAAAAATTTTTTAAATCACAGCTACCGTTTTTGAAATACAGGCGTTTTAAGTTGAGAAACGACAATTGTTCCGACAACTTGAGACTCAAGGCGAAAATCGTCACGAGTGGGCGATCATCTTTGACGTCACAAGTGACATGTTCTCAGCACGTATCGTGTTTCTCTATAGAACCTTTAAGAAAATGCTGCGGACAAATGTTTATTTTGTGCGTGTGGAAGGAGCTAATTTTGCATTTTTGACACATAATTGACTTTTTCAATGGTTTGGGACTCTGAATCGGAGTTTTATTACACTGATTTCGAAACAAATGGAGAATTTCAGCCGTCTGAGTTTTTGCTACCAACCAGCGCTGCCGCTTGGGCAGACAGTCGTCCCATGGCTCAACATTGACGATGTTATGAAAAAAAAAACAGATTGGAAGTACAAACTGATATGGAATTTCTATTAAAAACAATGCTATTGCTACAATCTAAATGAGATCAGGTATCGTAAAACTAGAATTTCATTTCAGATTGAGGCGTCTTTGTTCAGACTGCTTTGTCTGTATGGCCTAATTCGCTGAAATGCCTATGATGCCCTAAACGGAACTGCAAGTTGTTCATTATCAATGTAGCATTCTATTATTGTTTTTCAATGTTTCAAACGCGTTAACTGTATAGTGATATTAACTAGTAAAGGCGGGTTAAAAGTAGACTTGTGCGGATTATATGCCATTTTCACCGGGCGCGAAGGGTTTCGGCCTTCGGGAACTGATAAGTTACCTGGCAGTCGAAAAATCTGGAGTTACGAATTAGGCTCTTACCTCTTAGTCAAAGAACTTGATTTCTTAGTCGAAGAAAATGCTGTTTAGCTGTCATAGGATAGGAATATCAACTAGCGCATTATCTTCTTTTGCAAACAATTTTGACTTGGGTGGGGGATGGTCTTTTTGCAAGACTAGGCTATTCCCTAGTATCTCAACCTCTGTTAAAATACAATAATCAAGTTCAGTGAAATAATTATTCAGGCTCCCATCAACCAAGATTTTTCTTGAATTCATATTTCTGCACCCAAAGCAGGTTGCAGGATCGCTTTTACCGCTGTCTCCACTAGATTTCGTTTGTCTTTTGGCTATTGCTTCAACCAATCCCCCCCCCCCACCCCCATGCTTCGATTTTATTTCTAATTATAAAAATAAAAACTTTGAAGAAGCGGTATCAGTTTTCAAACAAAGTCGACTACTTTTTTCACAAGCTTAGAGGTTCTTTCAATGTTTCCAAGCATGTGGTTCGAAGATATCATGGTATAAAAATAAATTTTATGTGGATATTAGCGGCTTAGCAGACATGTAGCTAGGATTTTCTAGCTTCTTTATACTTATAAATGAAATGCCTGAAAAATTTTTGTCTATTCACCGCGGACTATTTTCAATAAAACACGAAACTTCATTTGTACTTTCACCGTTGCGGTGAAAGCCTTTACAACGGCATTGTTAACATGTCACTTGTGACGTCAACCGAGAATTTTAACAACTCCTGGCGATAATCTTGTTTCCGCTTCGGGAAATTCCCGAGTCCTGGCTGTGACGTAATTAACGGATAAAAATGCAAATATCAGAAAAACGGCGAATCTAAGAAAAAAAACTTTTTCCAGATTTGAAGTCAGCGACAAATTTTGCATCGAATAAGCCAAAGTTATTTTTGCGTGTCAGTTCTCCTTTAATAATGGTCTTTTCATTCCATTTTGTGGTTCTAATAAATGTATTAACCGAATCAATTATTTTACTTCAAAATACTTCGATTAATAACTTAAGCCCTTTCATATCAAATATTGACCAAACCAGTTTTCATTCGTGGATTGATTTGAGGTTATAAAATTAGTATAAAGTCCGTGTAGGAATTTATTTTTCTTTTTCTTAAGCTTGGGTTGTTCACAATCCCATGTTAACATTCCATGTTCTCAATTTTATGAAAAAGATAAATAGGAAATATATTTATAATGAATATTTTTATCAACTTTATGATGAATTTATTGTACATAAAGTATTTATTGTACATGAGTTTGTTGAATTCCGGATTTTGGGCGTTAACTTTTGTTTGATAGATTGATTTTAGGCAATGGAAATTTTTATTATTCCATTCGTTTAACCACTGAGCCTCCATTACTTCTTGGTTGTAGAGTGGACATATTCACTTTCCATCTCACAGTTTAAATATTCTCATTTTAGGCTTATCTGGAATTCTTTGCAAATAAAGAAGATTCTCTGAATCTGCTGACAGTGCTAGAAGATCATCCAACGGTTAATTACCATATCGTTAATAAACAGGTATGCCTTGATTTCTCTACAAACAGATACCAAATGGAAGGTGTGGCAACATAGATATCTTTAGAACAGAAGCAGTATTTTCCTGAAAGATTTTACTGTCAAAAGCAATCTTGGTAGGGCCAAGTAGGCTACCGGGCTTCAAAGTGCACATTGAACAATACGCACTCTATAATTTTACTGTGATTTATGCATTTTTGACAGAAAACTCATTGAATCGTATTTGTCTACTGAAAATCGTATGCTTTAAGTTTTTCATGTAATGGAAGAATTGTAATTTGACACATGTATTTATGTTCACAGAAACTAGAAAATATACTTTTACCATGCCTTTATATTATGCCTACTTGACGTCCCACAAAATAATCTCGCCGCATTATTACTCTGCTCGTTTACATTCTGTTTAATCGTGGGCTTACAGTGACGTAATTGTAACTTAGAAAACACCACCAACCCTTTGTCATTAAGCATTTTTTCTTAGGGCAACGAGAATTACACGAACACGAATAAGGAATCTCCGAATGCTGTCACTTGGGGCGTTTTTACTGGAAGGTCAATCATTCAACCAACGGTGGTAGATCCATTGGCATTTTTTGTTTGGAAAGTAAGAAGAATTAACCTTTTACGAAATTGCATTACTAGGGCAACTTGATTTGTTAATTTATCTTATGCATGGGGTTATATACTTAATATTTTGTAGATCTCATAGTTTCTAGAGACAAATGATTTCCAGAGATGTCTCTTCGATAGTAGAACAATTGACAGCAGCTAAGAGTTTTTACTCCTAGAACCTGATCAAAATACTATTAAAAAGTGAAATATAATGCAGAACTTCAATAAAAATTTAATGTATTTTGTTAGAGTAAGAAAGCCACTGACATCTTTACCGGTCGGCAGTAGACCAATTCGCCAAATATCTGGGTTCATCAGTACTGATAGATAGAATTAAAGAAGACCTAAACCTAGCCCAGGTCATGCCAATGGCATGCAAGTTGGAAATGTGTAAACGGGCTTTGTAACGTCTGATTTCCACAAGGCGAATTTCGCACCGAATTCATTGCGAATTCGCTTCGAAATTGTCTTTGATTGCCACGAAACTGCGAATTCGCTGCGAAATTATATAATAATTTCCGCCAAAACTCAACTTTAAGGCGCCCATTTTCAGAATTGCACGCATGACAAATGTTCCAAGATTGTTTTCTTACAAATCAAGCTAATTTTCCATGCTTTGACTGGTTATTAGGTGCTGCGAAATATTTCGCCGAGAAAAAGTAGAACTCTTTCCTATTTTCTTGCGAATTCGCTGCGAAATCAAAAATCAAAACTGCGCATGCCTTGATGCCTTCATCAGCGATTTCGCCGCGAATTCGCTGCGAAATTCGCCTCGTGGAAATCAGCCTTAACGTCTGAAAGTTTTAAAAGATATTCTTCTTTGATTTTTGTTTACATGCCAACATGATTTGTCTTTGCACTAGGATGAGGCATTTGAGCTGTGGATGCAACAATGGGGAAGACTCTATCCACCAGGATCCAAATCACGAGAGATTATCAAAGGATTCCAGGACAGTTATTACCTTGTTAATCTGGTTGATAATGACTTTATCAAAGGCAACTGCCTCTTTGATATTGTAGACAAGGTGATATCAATGCGAAAAGCCGCTTATGATGTTGTTTCATGATATTTAATATTCAGAATCAAATTTTTGTATGTATAACTGTGTAAATTTGGTATTGCTTAAAGCTGTACTTTTTTTTTCGACAATGTGACAAGATGAACAACGTCAGAAAACAAAGTGGTCAAAGTGATGCATTTGGACGTTTCATAATGTTTTATTTATTTCACACTTGTCTCATTGCTTGAAAAGAAAAAGTAATCTGTGTTTGTGAAGACTACTTGTTTGTCTTTATAAATGTTAATTGTAAATGTTTGTACACATTTGTTTTGAACAATATTGCTTAAAACGATGTTTTGTATCTATATTTCAATTTCTACGACAAAAATTAATGCCGCATGGAACATGCTTAAAGGGTTTTTTAAATAGTTTGTGAAGACAATTACCAGTAAAGATGCATTCGAATTTTCCAAAATTGGGACTCTCATGTATGTCATAAAAATTATCTTGTCAAAGGCAATCGGGTACACATGGTTATAAAACAGAATGTGAGATGTACCGCACTGGGCAGGGCGGATCCCTGTATATATGCTATGTTGGTTTGTAACAGGTCCCCAGATGTTGTCACGGAATTTTATCAAGTAACACAGTGGTCAGTAAGGAAAACCTTTATAAGGAAACTCAAACTGAGAATTGGGCTTGTTACACTCATTTAGAAGTGCACGGCTGTCCAGTATAATTAATGCTTTTTGCTATATAGTGCATCATGTATTCTTGGAGTATTTCACTTTCTTCGGAATATTTGGAAGTATTTTGCTGGATACACGTGGAAAACATTAAGTGTTTTTGAAGTTTCGATTATCTTAAGGGTATCTTTGAAGTAGTGTCCAGGTTACATGTAAAAGTGTATAGTCGAGCATCAATAACAACTCTATGGCAATGGTCCTCGCTAGCAGTTGAAGTTTATGGTCCTTGCTGCCTAACAAATATATCTGCCTCGACTGTAGCTGAGCAGTGACCACATGCGCAGTGGCATAGCGATGAGGTATCATAGGTCCGGCGAAGAATTTTTGTTAATTGTGATATTTTAAATGTATGTAATCTTTTGTTTGTGAATCGCATGCAAGGAGGAGTATAAGCGGACATTTATTTTCATGACACAGTTGCGAATGAAATAGCCTTCATCTTGCATGGCCTGCAGAGAAAATATCAGATTGCATTGATCTTCAAGGCTTACCTAGTTTGTTGCTTGGTAGTGTCCCAAAAGCATCTGATTTTTTCTTCTTTATGAGTTTCATTTCGCCATTGATCGAATTTGCTGATAATTGACAGCAACGTCATAAACCAAACAGATGATGTTAAAAGCACATCACACTTTTTATTCTAAACACACAAACTTTTACTAAACTCAACCAATATTATTTCACTTCGATATACAATGGCTATAATTTCAATGCGCATTGAATTAATATTAAAGCTGGCTGTTCTTTCTCTCAAGTCTTCACTGCTTCTTCTTTTTGTTTGCCTTTTCCTTTTTAGGGAAGTCAGCAAGTTTTGCCACTTCCTTTACAACTGGAGCGCCGCGCTCTTTCCAGTATTTCTTGCACGCATTTTCAACTATCTTTACATGTTTCGATCGTGCTGCAACTCCCTCTTTGTAAAGTGTTTCCATCACATATGCTTTGTTGTGTTCAACAGAAACTGACATTCTGTAAAACAATTTTAGCAACGTTTAGATATTTCTCTGACAATGGCTGATTCTGTCCGTGTCAATTGAATCTTTAACACATTTTTATGAATGTTACTGTTAACTTGCCTGTTTTCTAGTCTTGATATAGACAAAGCTGTGCACGTTATGTAGTATACAGTAGGTTTCCTTGAATAAGAAACCCCTTATATAAGAAACAGGCCTCGTTCTCTTCAAAAGGGGCTCCTTTTATAAGAAACAGTTTTAGGCCTGAAAGTAAAATGTTTCTTATTTTCAGGTTTGTCATAGTTTATTCCTGAATGCCAAATAAGGAAGTGTAATTGAAAAATGCTAAGTACTTGCAGAATGCAATACAGCACTTTTCAATCATTACACTACACATAGAAATACATGTTTGATGACACTCATTTTGCTATACTTGTTTAACCCAAAGGAATGGTGAAATGGTAAAATGTTCTTTATTCTCAAAAAGAGGTTTTAGGATGAGAAATTTGAAGAAATTGCACAAAGAGCACTGAAAATACTGACATGATTGGCATGAATATCATTACTCTGACCTTTGTTTGATAAGTTAAATTTCTGTTTGGTTGTATTGGAATAATTTTAAAAACATTTTAACATTTTCAGAGCATTTCTATTTGAAAGATATACGGGAACAAAGCAATACGACGACGAGAATCCAATGTCACGAAATAAAATTTTCAAGATAAATTAAATTTAAAGAATATACTAATATTTCGCCCCGGCATACAGGGCTTCATCAGAGTAAATAAAACGAACGAGAGTAAATTTCATTTCGTGACATGGGATTCTCGTCGTCGTATTGCCTTGTTCCTGTATATCTTTCATAACAACACCTACATTTCTATTTGGTTGAATCTGATTAAAACAAGTTAAAAATTTACTGGAACCCAAAATGTATTCCCTGTTTTTTTCCAATGAATTATTGATCTTAAATGCATAACGCATTTTAATGATACTAGAACATTGTACTGTGCAGTATGTATTTTACACCACTGCCAGTAATTTTCTAAACACATGCATGAACGGTACATTCACATAGCTTCACTTGACTTGGTTTAACTTGATTGTACCTATGTGTAAGAAACCTTATTATGAAAAGGTCTCTTTAACTAAGAAACTTTCTGAGGCTTCAATTTAAAAAGTGGTTTCTTATTTGCGGTGACCTTCTGTAAAGCAAGACGGTTTTAAATCGCACGCAACTCTGAGTGTCATGCTCTCCGACCACTAGAAAATTATCTATGATTCTGTTACAAAATATATATTTTTATATATTACAGTCTTTGAGTATTCGATCTACATTTATGCCAAAGGAAAGAAAGGGTCTTCTGTCATCTACAAAGGATGATCGAAAAGTTGGGACATTTTATATGCATATATTTGGGTATTTGAAAAATTGTTTTAAATGCAAAAAAGTTTGAGAAAATAGTACAGGTCAGTTATTAGTAGAAAATATTTGCTTTGAAGTGTGTGTCTAATTATTTTGTGCCAAATCCAGACAGCATCAAAACTTGTTGTGACAACAATTACAAAATCATTGGGCAGGTAAGGTCGTCTTTTAATTTAGGAGTTTTGGAATCTGTTTACATCAAAACAGATGATCCCGACTTCTGTAGACAGAAAGAGTTTGTTTTCACTATCGGACTCTTCAACTAGGTGAGAGGTTAGCAGGCACTGATTGGTATAAAACGAAAGAATTAATCAAACGCGTCTTTCTTCCTCTCTCGTTGTTTTTCGAGCCACACCTAAGTTTAAATTTTTTGCTCAATTTTGATTGTTATCTGACTTTTATACTCTTAAGAATGTTGGACGAAAAGTGCTTTTGTATCCTCTGTTTCCGCTATATCGTCTTTTCCTCTATAAAATGGAGTGAAGTGGGTTGTGTCAGAAAACCCTTTACACATTCTTGTCTTGTTGGTTCCGTGACCCATTCAGTTTATTTAGCTTCCGTTCGCTTATATGCTTCATTCAGTTCTTCAGTTATAGTTTTCGATCAGTAAACTAGAGTTCTAAAGCTACGAATTAAGTAACTAACAACCGAAAGTATTTTGTAACACCTTCGAGATATATTTTATAAAAAGATGCATGAAATACCTTCTGTTGTAGATGAACTGCCCTGTTACTTCATCTTTGACGCGAACTCGTAAACTCTCCGAGAAATCATCCCTAGAGCCTCCCAACTTAGACAGTTTGAGTTCACCTCCCTTTTCCTTTGTGAAATCTGCTTCAGCGAGAGTTTTCTTCGTAACGCCGACCTCATCACCACTGGCCTCTTCCTCTTCATCTGTTGATCGCTTTCTCAATCTCTCTTCGCAGGAGACGGTGAATTCCTGCCACAGGACATCGACAACTTTGCATATATCTACCGTAGATATATGTTGAACTCGTTGTTCGCAGGCTAAACCCATGCCAGTTTTGAGTTGTTCACTGAAATCCTTTGCAACATTCTTTATAGACTGATCAATATTAAGCCCTTTTATGGCATCCTTCTCATTTTGAATTTTCAAAAGTTGCAAAGAAGCCAAATGCATTAGTTGAAAGGCAGTATACATATTCAGCATCTTGGGGACTCCCTGTTCTGCTAGCCATTCCACGTTGGCTGAACCAGCTATCAAGGCATCCTTCAGTGAGGCTAAACATCGTGTCAGCTCCTTCCCTGTGTTCTCTTCCGTGCACCTTACTAGAACCATTCGATACTTTTTCAGCTCTAGCTCGATAACTTCTAATTTTCCCTGCGAAAAGTCTTCAGCAAACCAGGTTTTCGTTTCTTCAATAACCTTAGGCCATATTGAATCTTGCTTCTTATCAGTTAAGTAGGTTTTCATTATAAGATCCACAGTTTCGTTGAAGGACAGCATTCCCATAACGGCAGGCATCGATTTTTGATAAAATTCAACTAGGCTTGCTTTGCTCGTTTTCTCAGAAACGGAATTCTTTACTTCCGTGTTCCCAATATCTACTGACCTTGTATTAACTAAAATGGCACCAGCCATAAAGAGGCAAAATTTTATAACAACCTTTTCCATGTTGCTTACCAGAAAAGTGGAAGCCAAACAGCCGTGATTTATTCACTGTTGCTTAAGAGGACTAGCTTCATTCTTCTGATAACAGGCGCGAAATGCTGAAGACGAACTTGTTTAAGCGCGTGGTCACAAACAGTATTGTTTTGCAAACACCTCGTCACTGGGTCCATATTAGAACACCTGTAATTTGGCACATCCATTGGAACGCTAAGCGTGACAACATGCGAAATGAAATTTCAAGTATTCTCATCGGACATTTTGTGATTACAGTTTCGATAATGTGGCCAAATTCTCGTTGTCGAGTTTTTGTTTTCTGCTTTGTTTCGTTTTGCTAAGATGAATTGTGAAGGGCATGGGTTAGTGCTTATGAAGTCTTTAGAAGCAAAGTTCAGAGAGTTGATCCACTTCTTCATTTTACTCAAACTAGCGGGGGTTTTGTTGCTTGCGGGGACTGTTTGTAAATGTAAGTTTGTTAACATCGGGGTAATTATGCTGGGTTGTATCCTGTAAATAAAGTTGCGGCTGTGTTGTTTCTTTTTTTTCCTCTCAAATGATTTTATTTGCAGAATGTGTAATTCGAAGCGATAAAAACTGCTCTAGGTTGATCAAATTTATAACACACGAGCAAGCATTCTCCTAAGGACACGCGTCAAATATTCGCACAAAAAGAGCTGCAGCCTGCAGTCTTGCAAGATATGCCGTCAGGCATTATGAGATAGTGCCCCTGTGATATGTCGAAAAAAGCCGGTATGAATTCGTTAGGCATCAATAATTGAAGCACAAATCAAGCATTGCCCCTCCCATCTATTTGAAATAGGCGGAGCAGAGATTTAAATATGACCTTGAGGATCTGATCTCTTTTCTTATTCCCTGCATGCTTCTAAAGACGTGTTGAAGAAACTTTTTGTATGCCAATCAAACAAACCTCATTATCCATGTTCTGATATGCTTTTTCATCCAGCCAGGCCAATTAAATTACACACGTGCTTCAACTGTAAACAAGGCTAGCTAGTCACTCTTTTATTACACAGAGGTGTAAGCCAGTGCAGAACTGACGACCCAGTTTCGCTCTGTTTATTCACCCAAAACAGGTAAAGTAACTACTTTTATACTTTGAAAATGTGAATAAAGTGTCTTTGTTAAGAGTATGCTACACAAATCTCGCATAATGTATTCAGAATTTGCTTCATGCAGAATCTGTTATTCCCAATAATAGTTTGCATCATTTTAATATAATCCTTTAATGTTGTTTTCTAACATAATATGCTGTTACAACCACAATTTCTGCGATTTTTAGATTACAATACAAGGACGTAGAATTTTCTAAACAAGGTTGATTTGGTATACTTCGCCATACACGAAAATCTCTGCAAGACAAATCGATTTAGCCTGTTGAAAGGGCTGCAGATTTTACCAGGTAGAGTCAAAACCAAAAAAAAAGATCGGACATCTGTTTAGTTTTTTGGCATTATTGACATACTTCCTTATGCATTGTTTCTTGCTCGTGTTTTCTGGTTTCACGCGACCCCACAGACATTAATTAGTTTTCTTGTAACTAATGCATTGAAAAAGAAATTTCTTTGAATCAAATAATGATCCGTCTGATGACTGAAAGCTAATTTTGATTACCGTTATTGAAATTGAATAATTAATGTCTCGTCATACACAAAGCTAGACAAAAGGGCCCGCAAACAAGACTGTATTCTGATAGACAATAGTTGAATCAAATGTCACCTTGTGCCCGAGGCGTTGCTCTGCCTTTGGGAGGCTGAGGTTAGAGGTTATCTTTAGATAGAGCAAGTTTATTATCTATTGCTATGAGTAAGATTCGGATTCAGGACAGTTCATCCTACTTTGCAGGACAAGGCAGGCTTCAGATCCAAATTTAGATTTGACCTCCTGACAAAATTTCCCATGGACAATTGCTAGAATAAATTTTATCTTGCTAGAATACATCTATTTTATAATAAAAAACTTACTTTCATTAGCGAGAAAGTTTTTTCATCTTATATTATTATTACTTATACATTTGAATTTTAAAAGTTAGGTTTTCAACATTTATTTCTTTTATTATAAGCACGAAAAGCAGAAAAACCAGCAATTATTGTTGAAGCTATTATCCTGTAAAATTATTCGTATTATTATAAGAAAATTCAGTACTGGAAGGCAAAGAAATTAAAAAATAGTTGAATTTCGAAAAAGAGGGGAATGGGCCCCGAAATTGTGTGATTTAAACTGAAGAAGCCAAACAAGGATCAGTCATCACAAGCTCTTCATGAAAAAATGGAATGAAATTATTTTACCATTTTGACAAGCTAGATCAAAATCAAGATTACTACATGGAGGCGCTGACTACAGACCCAAAGGTCCGTGGTTTGAGTCCCTGGCATGACCAAACTTTCACCCAGAGTGAGGAGAGTCGCCAGCTCTCTGTAATTCCAGGCATAGGAATCACGAGGTGTGGTCACATCGAGAGGAAGGACCAGGACACTGCTCGATAAGCATAAGCTTCTCAGTGTCCTAAAAACTCAGGCTAGAGCCCCCCCCCCTCCAATAATTGTCAAACTGTAATCTGTTTCCTTAATAACAGTGTACTGAATGAGAAGGAATACAGTGGGCAGCCCCCCCCCCCCAATATAGATTTCGTTCCGACGGCCCTGAAACTACTTTCGGATGCTAGGTAGAAACAAATACAAATACAAATATAAATGACCAGCCATGTTTCTCATAAGTAAACGGATATAGAAGGTATATTTGTAAAGGAAACAATGTTTTCAATAAGTCATGCATGTAAAGGTGAATAAATTTGTCTGTAGGCTCTGGTAAAGAAGCATTATGCAGACCTCGTACGTCGTCGCGTGAGCCTTTTCTTCTCACGCGAAGCCAAGTAAATTTGGTCACGTTTGCTTTCATAAGAATGAAAATTCGACCTTTGGCAATCGCCTTTTTATTAAAACAACAATTTTTACGAATTGAATTTGTTCAGCGCTGTTTTCGATATTCACTCAAGTGTGGATTTGTTTTGTTATTTGTATGAGGTCATTCAGCTGTGAAGGAGCGTAAGTGTTTATGTTTTTTCCAATAGCAACAGGTAAATATGAGTCATCATCGCTGATTCATCGTTGCCAGGCAATGATTCATTGACTAAAAACATATATCTATGAGGGATTTCCCTTTGCCAGCCCTCTAACGGTTTTTCAGTTTGGATCAGGAAATGATATTGGGTATCTGAAGCATAAACCTGCAGATATTTTCAACAATAGAAATTTCAGAAACTCTTTAAATATTTTTAAAACTACTTCCACAATATCGTTAAGGCTGTTGTACCATATTACATCAGCACTAACTGAATTTGCTATATTTCCGCTATTTCGGGCCAACTTCAGTTAAGCCGCGGAGCATGTTACTGACTGAGGGGGCTAAAACGTTTTTAGGGGGGTTAAACATGCTAAACACAAGAGCAAGGTGATTTTTTGTATGGTTTTAAGTACATTTTGGAAATAATTAATAAGCTAAATCCCCTGTAGCGCCCCCCCACTTCCACGGTCTCTGTCTTCAGTTAAATTTGAAGAAAATGCGAGATTATGTTTTCAGAGGAACATCACTTACAATCTTTTCACCTATGGCGTACTTATACATAAAATATAATCTGTTCTAGGACTTAGAATGCTAGGAACTTGTTTTGATAGCGTATATTGGTAAGATAAAATTGGTAGTTCTAGACTTTATCCAGGGGTTTAATTTTTGGCAGTTTGGTAAGTAGTTTTATCTTGTACTTTTCAGAACTAGCCCCCAACCACCAGCTTTCTTCTATATGCCCCGCAGTACCTGTGCAGAGGTACTGTAAAATCAGTCATTTTTGACAATTTGAAAATTTAGCTGTAATTTATTATTTATCGTTAATTATATGCCCTTTTTGTTTTAGATCAAGATCTTCTTATCAACAAAGGTGTACATGCATTTGTCAGAAGAATTCTTTGGCAGATAACAAGGTTTGTAGCCGTAAGATTTCCGTGACAACGCGCGAGGCCTTACACAAATACAATAACAATACCTTTCTCGGTAGAACAATTATTTCATAGCACATCGAAATTAATTATTTAAAGAACGGAGTTCAAATCTTGCGTTTTATCCACTTGGAATAACTCGCTCAGTCACATGACCATTACGTTATGCTCGAGCAGCCACGTGCCCATGCGAATTCCATCCAAACAAAATCTGAGCTTGACGCTGTGATGTAAGACGAGGAAGCGAGGAAAAATTTGGCTATTTCAACGCGGTTTACTTCGCAGTGAAGGACAAAACAATTGACCATATTATACCAAACGCCGGAAGGAGCTCAGACTTGTAAAATTTTGTTGTTCAAATTGAATCTGATAATTTTCAACGTTAAAAACAAAGTTTGACAGCGGCAGTCTAAAATTTGATTGCTCACCTGAGTTGACAGGTAACAATGTTAATTATTTTACATTGATGTGTTTATTGGTGTAGTTTAACTATTTACATAATGCAATATAATTTAATTTTTACATTGAGGTCTTAAATTAAAGCGATGGAGTTTTTTATTTTATCTAAGTTTGTTTATCTGTTTTATCATGAGTGAGCTGGCCCCTAGGTGTTTGTTTTGGTATTTGAATAAACAATATTTGCGTATTTGTATACAGTTTTTATCAGCAATTGCAGGCACAATGAAGCTAGTTTTTCAGTCATCACAATTTGTTTACTTAAACTCAAATTCAATCATCACACAGTATACTCATTGTTTGTACACAATAAAATATTTCATTCATTGCTCAAGAAGCATCTAAATTATTGTTTAAGCATGTAAAATTAGGGTTTTCTAATGTTTCCGGCTACTTATTCTATTTCAAAACAAAATCAGCTGATAAACGAAAATCCTCGTGTACTGTAGCCCTAGAGGTCCCTGTGGAAGTGGGTGTTATCATGTTCCCCTGAATTTTGCAATAAAATCCCCTGCTCTTAATCACGTTTCTTGAATGTTCTCTAAAAAGCTTTCGAGATCTTGTCACAATTTCCACTTGATTATCGTTTAAAATACAAGATTCCCATCTTCCCCTTACAAAAGAACTGCGCTCGCTTGTTCCCCATAAATCTTTGAAGGGCCTCAGTTGTTCGGAAGGCTCGCTGCAAGGTTCAGTGGGGGCTCCGTGGGGGCATAAAGGAAAAGAGTTTGGACATCAATTTTGAACGCAATAACGAAAGGGCATGATAAGCTGTTTCCCTGGTACTTGGCGTGGCTACTATAGATCATAAGTTTTAAAGAGAACGTTAGATGGTAACAATAAGAAAATTTAGCACTCTTTAAAAATGATACGATGCAATACCTTTCTTCTTTCTGAGCCCATTTTCAGGCACCGCGGAGCAGGGGGCTAAGGGACTTCCCCACTGTTTGCAAAAATTGAACAATATTAAGAGAAAAACAATCACTAAAGCTTCTTTTTATTCGGTTTTACACCCCTCCCATATTTTTTAAACCCCCCCCCCCCATTTTTCTCAACGCTCCACGGTGCCTGGTTTTGTTTAAAGTCACTGGGAAATAGGCGCTGTTTTAATGTGGACCACTTTGGTATACCAGTGAAACCTGTTTCCGGATGAAAGGATTCTTAACTTGGAAAATCGAGTCATAGCTCGTATACATATGAATGGGGGCGTTGCGAAAATGGCTGTAATGTATCCAAGGAAACTCCCTAGAAATTTATCTGTTGGAAAAGAGCATGTAAATCTGCATGTATAGTAAAGAGGGCGAAATTCGGGGCATTATAGAACTTGTTGCATCCAATTCAATGCACTAGAAATGCAACAAGAGTGAATTTGTTTTCGTTTTCCTCTGCATCAATATTTTCAGCCAAGAAACGGTTGGCGTGCATGTAGGTTATCATGAAAATGCACCGGGGTTGAGATATCATTTTCCGCGCATTCTTTACCCGATGCGTGTGCCTATCTAGCTTCTTAGTACGTATTCAACTCTTTTATTACTCTACAGAAGTGAAAAGTAGTTAATTGTATGGCAAATTAAGGAATTGAGCAAATATACCTCAAGTAGGCGTCACTAGAGTGATTCTAACATCCTTTTTACCTACCAAAGAAATCACAAATATTTTTGTTCGGTGCCAAAGAATTCAGATGCCAGGAACCCTTGTCACCTTGGGATGTCAGATTTTTGGAAAAATTTGGGTCATACTTAACAACAATAAACATAAGTCCTGTTTATACTACACAAACTAACCTTGCTTCGCCCAGGTTTGCGTTTACACTACACTTGATCAAAACTAACCCAGGTTCGACCAAGGGCGAACCCACCGAGATGGGTTGACAAAACCTGGGGCGAACCCGGGTTAGTTTGCGTTTACACTACAAAAATCTAACCTGGGTCAGTTTTAACTTGGGGCGAACCCAGGTTAGTTTGTGTAGTGTAAACGTGGCTATACACCAAAGACATTTTGTTTTGCATACTCTGGTATAAAAATGCGCTAAAATTGATCCCTCTGGGCCCCCGTAAAGTATCAATTAAGTGTGTTTTAAGCATTTATTTGAACATGGTCAAAAAGGTCTTTTGCTCTGAAAAAGAGCAGTGATCTTATCTTCACAAACAGATCGATCATTATTCAGAGTACTTTGTTTGTTTGTAGTTATGCATAATTATGTTTTGAAAACAAAAGGCCAGCCGGCTTTTACGATGCAATTTGTAATCGCAATCAATAGGGGGAATCCAGGAAAAGGAAGTAGATTCCCCGTATTGCATTATTAACTGCTATTTCGATCATTATGACTAAAGCAATTTAAATGCAGACATGATCTAACCCGTTTTGTATGTCTGACTCATCTCGAGACTTTGCTCGCATGCTATTGGTTTGTTGGTCGGTGAAAGTTGTGATATATGATAACGGTTCGCTACATTCATCCAAATTAAAGCAGCTCTTTTTTAAATAGAATTGCAGCAAGCAGCATTGTCAATGGACGCACAATAAAATTCAAAAATTATGAAGAGCCATCGAAAGAATTTAACACCTATAACGAAAGATTTTGAACAAAGCTGTTTTGTTTTGCAAAAAGTGAAGGATCAATCCTTCGTCGGAGGCCCTGAAGTCTGAGTTGCGACAATTGTCCTGTTCTAATTATTGTCCACAGCTCAATCTCTGCAGCATCTAGAACCATAACCATTTAGGGGACTTGCAACAGTAGCTTTTCTTAAATTCTAATGAAAAATAGTTAAGGTTCGGTGATTACCTGGTACACTCTTGGTTATAGGGATACGATCATTTTTGTCAAGGTTCGATGTTTTTTTATATGGAGAATCGAATGTTTTAATGCTATTTTTGTTTATACATTGATTTTGCTGCAACTGTACATTATTAATTGTCTATAAGACCAATCAATAAAAATTTTGCAATGAAATTTTTAGTGACACCGTTGTCTTGCTGATAAAATTCCCTCTGTTCTGTTAACAATAGAGGATATTTTCAAGGCACCTCGTTTTTTCTTCCAATTATTCATCTATGGCTCGACCTTATATTTACACTGTTTTTTGGAAAATCGCACCTTGGCTTTCTTGTAGAGTATGCTCTTTTAAATGGTTTTTAAGGGTTTTCATTAACAAATGACATGTTGTCATTTTTAAGTAACATGTTTTTTTCTTTATAGAAAAGAAATCAATCCGTCAGTTAGTTTGATGAATAAAGAAAAATGTGATGGAATGAGGAGGAAAAGCCAAGAACAATACCACAAGCAGGTTGGTAAGAAGTTAAAAGGCATTGGAGATAGATTCACTCTCAAGTACGCTGGTGATGCAGAGCAGCCATGGAGAGACAACATTATAATTCAGCACAGTTTAAATGCGTTCACATTGCTGTGCATTGCAAGCTGCACAACCGCTCTAATTTACTGCATGCGAAAATAGTGAAAATCTTCTATCAAGTACTTTCTATGTATATAGCTCGTTAAAAACCAAATTTGTGAATATTGGATACCGGGATAATTGCTTTGGTTTTACAAGGATGGAATGGTTTTACAAGGATGAAACAGAATAACTTGTACAAGAGTGCCTTTATGCTTTCTACTTTCCGAACAAGGAGAGAAACAAAGACTTGCATTGACTATTTAAGATTTCTACTCAAGTGGAATGGAGTGCAAATTACAGACTCGTTACATCTACGTTTCGCACAAGATGTGGCAATGGGCCCAATTTTCTCAACGCTACTTTTGTAGTAAAAATACGCCTTACCTTCTCTACTTTACCTAAATGCGAACTCGTTATTCTTTGTTATAGAAGTGATGGTGTATGAATTACCAATTTAAGTACTGTCTGTGACCTAGCCAGGGAACTTGTGGAGGTGCTGACAACCTGAACAAATTCTATCAGTTTTTACACAGATATGGTGAAAGAGCTCAGATTCACCGTCATTCCTTTCCCCATTTCTTCCCATTTTGAAATTTATTGACAAAATACTAAAAGTTTTGTCTGAAATTAGGCCATGGATATAGATTATAAAGACTAATATGACGTACAAAAATAAAGACAAAAATTGCCCTCAGAGGGTACATATTTGGTCACCAAATAGCTAGGCCTTGGTATTATTTCTTCTCTTTGGAATCTTTGTGGGATTAAAAAGTAAAAACTTGCAGTCTTTGAGGAACTTATTTCATTTCTAATGTGAAGATTTTCATGAAAAATGTTGAAGGTAAAAACCTTGGTTATTTTGTGAAAATTGCTGCAGCTAAAGATCAATGTCACATCTGATGAAAGCTTGTAATGCAATTCTCTCTCATGTGAAGTTTCTTTGCCAAAAATGAAACCCTCTGTATTGGTTGTTTATGCAATCACTACTTTGCCCTAGCCTATGATAAAGCAACCAGGGCCTACTATTGGGAGACGGTAAAAATTATTTTGTTGTAAATATGTTGATGCTTCAGTTAAATGAATTTTTTTGAAGCTGTGAACCAGCTCTTAAGTCATTGTAAATAAATATGTAAATACACAAAGTTAAATATTCCGTTGGAATTCTGCAAAAAATTGTTGGTAAATTGTTTACTTTGCAAAGAATGTTCTGCATTGAAAATGCTGCTTCAGGAATATTGTGTTTTTTTTGTTTGTCTGTGGTGAAGGCGGACATGTGATGTTCCATTTCAGTCTCCGTTCCGTAAGAAAGCACAATAGATAACCAATGTAGTGCTCTTTGTGAAATAGGAGAGAGAAGATGATAATATTATGGAAAATAGCCAGCGAAATTCATTCTCATTCTTTAACTCAAAGCAAAGCACTGATCTATCACTGCTCTATACAAGGTAGCAGCTACGTGGAACATATGCGTGTAAGCCTCCCTCTAATACCACATTTATCAAAGACACAAGTTTGTTTCTTATTTTCGGGACCTAAAATTGCCTTATTGTTATATTGCCAAAGAAAGATCAGCAAAATATAAAATTTTGGACACTTTTTTTATCCGAGATTTTCAAGCAGGCGCTGTAATATAATTTTTGCGAATTTTTGCTGTTGCTGGGAAGGAGACAGGAAAACGAGGCTCAAGAACGTGTAGCGACGGCGGGAAACTGAAATCTGCTGATGACACCGTTCTTGGCACACGTGCAAGTCCTGTTCAGGTCATTTTCAGTCAAAGAAAAGTTGCCTTAGACAAGCAATATCAAGAAATGAAAATGTAAGTGCCTATGCAGTTAATTATTGATTTAGAGCAGGTATTTCTTCTGCTTCTATGTGATAGATAGATCTGAAAGTTTTGTTACCCAATACTTATGCCGTCATTTTCCAACATTACATATTTTGGAAAGCGTGCCAGCTACCGTTGGTGCGAAAATAGGCTGTGAGTAGAATATCTTAAATCCTCACATAAATACTCTAGGAAAGGCCTTTAGAAAATAGTTGTAGATGTGGGTCCTCTCCTCAAGAGGAGACGACCGAGAAAAACCAAAGTGTATTTGAGAGGTTTTGTTTGGGAAGAAGAAACAATTCGGACCCATTTGGATATTGTTCAATACATTGAAAAAGGGAAATAGAAAACTTATTTACAAATAAAAACCGGAATAAGATTAACCTGAACAAATTTGGTTTGCAAAAGATTGTTAGGGACTGCAAAAGACTTTGTTGCTATCATTGTTATTATTATTATTTATTATTACATTATTTAATGTTGGTATTTACAATAGCTAAGTACAACAGCTAATTTAAACCAACAAACTACAAAAGAAAAATTTACAGAATAATACTATTACTAAAATTAAATATTTACATAAATAAAACTTCGAAGGGGTTTCTCAGCACGAGTTCAGATAGCATCGCATATAAGGAATATATTATATCAATACAAATTTGATATACCGATGCATAATTGCATGCTTGTTGCTATGGCCTTTGAGGGTTGGAATGTAATGCTTTCCTCAGCAAGACTACAATAAACGCCTAGAGTGCAGGGCAAGACAAGTGCACACAGGAGATATTTCTTTCCAAATTCCCCTTGACACCTTGTAATGCTTAGAACAAATGAAGAATCATATTACCTCAATATGGACATAATCTTGCATTGGTTTGATAGATGCAAAGAAACTATCAACCTTGTACATTTTCTTATCTACCTCAATATACCCGTGCTCTAGTATAGTTGTGGAAACTATATGCACAATTGAAGTGCACACTTATAGCGAATTGCACACTTATAAATTTTGCTCCTGCACACCCAAGATCTCCTTGGAAACTATCATACTTTGCACTTTGGATAAGCATAAACTCTATAATCTTGCTATTGGTGCCATTAAATACCTAGGGTTACCAAAAAGCAAAATTTGTGAACCCAGGTAGTTGGTTTTAACTTCCTGAATTTAAACTCGGTTTACTTTTGTTGCATGCCATGAAATCCTTGTTATTTGGTTCCTTTTTTGCGGATCAATTTTGACTCAAGTTTATTTCATGGGTCTCAAAAATTTGAATTTTTTTTGCATTTTAAATCAGCCATTTTTTTACAGCAATATCAAACCTGAAAATTGGTCTTTGATCTTTGAGTACAGTAAATTAAAAACGACAGCAAGTTTAAAAATTTTCTTCAACTTTTTCTGGAATTTTGCACAAACGTGAAGCCTTGAGTCATGACTTCTACATAATGTGTGATGGATGCCAAATCAATGGTGGCAGAAAGTATGATATTTTAATGCTCTTGGTGTTCAATTTCGATATTTAATTTAATTTTGATGTTAAAGTTTGGTCATTATGCACTGTTTTTTTATTGTTTACCAAATTGTTTATAGGTTACACTTGATACACTAGTCTCAGCAATAAACAATGGTCTGGAATATTTACATAATAGATAATGGTACCTTCTGCAGGGATGGACTTAGCCGGGGGTGTAGGGGGTGTTTATTTCTGTCTCCTTCGGTAAATTTGGTTCCTTCCGGTAAAAACCACTTTTTGGTAGTCAGCAGTAACAAATTAACACCAAGATTTTACTTTATTTATCTCCTTAATATCAGTATTTATCTTCTTATCAGTAGCGTACGGGGGAGGTAAGGGGAGCAGCTGCTCAGAAAAGTACAAAGTTGGTGTCTGAGAAAAGTACAAATCTGCAATAGAATTAGTACCCTAAAGGGAGAATTTATATTTCAGACAATATTAAAACGTTTTTAAAGACTGCAAACGACTGTAAGAAATATTCTGAAATGTATTTCAAGCTAATCTGAAGGGCGTCGTCACAAAACTGATTGATACGACATAATGGCTGTTCAGATTGATAATTGTTTTCTATTTCCAACAATGTTTAGCTTTTAATTTTGAACCATATTTTTTGAATTGATTTATGAAAATAAGTGCTTTTAGAAATGTTGACACTAACAATGAGGATGGCTTAGTCAGACAAAATTGCATTGCCTGATAAATTTTCTCAATAATCCCAACCCTGCTTAGGGTGGCAGCACTAGTGAGCCAAATATACACAAAAATAGATGTTACTTGCAGGTCTTGCATTGATTAAAGGACATTGGCCTGTAGGAAAAGTCATCCTGAGATTGTTGCTGAAATGTTTTTAAGTGGTAATTATTTAAAATTTTAACTGACAGTTGTCAGAGAGAATAATAGATTCATAGAAACCTCACACTTGGTTTTTGATAGCAAAAAAAACTTTAAAAAACTGATACATACATTATTGCTAATCTAGAAAAGAAGACAATACTATTGGCAATTCAATACAAATAAAGGCAGGAAGTAGTTGCTAATTGCTCTTAAGCAATGACTTCATAGGTTTTTGCAATAGGATGTAATGTATTTTTGAAGGCTCAACCATACACTTCAGGCTATAATTGTCTTTTACTCCCCATTGCATCGCACTTGAATAAAAAATATTTAAGCTGTGTTTTAAGTCTGGAAAGGTTTAATTTGGAATGGCTCTGAACTATCCTCAGTTTTTTTACAAAGAATGAGTTTACACGGGAAATATATTGAAATTTCTCAGTAACAGAGACTATGGAGGGGCATAACGTAAAGAGATAAACTAATGCAGCTCTAAACAATAGAGTGAATTCGGGGACAAACAAATGTTTCATCCGAAGGTGGATGCAATGATGAATATTCCCGATCAGAGCTCAGGGGCGGATCCAGTAAAAAACCTGACTGAGTTCCAGGCCCAGGCTAGGGACTTTCAGATAATGCATTGATCATTGTGCATAAGACAACACTATTATTCATATTTATGCATTTTGGTACCATTGAGGGGGGAGGGGGGGGGGGTAGGTACTATCTACTCACTAAATCTAGATTCTAAATTTCTTTCCGACGAAAAAACAGTGCCTCTGTGAAAAATTTTCAACCCCCTCGTTTTCTCAATACCCTTTCTTTGTTTTGGATTCCACAGCAAAGTTTTTCCCTTTTGTTTTGCTCGCAATTTGTTGTCTTGCCTCCGTAGACACCAGCCTATTCATCAAAATATGGTGTTCCGCAGTGGCGGACTGGCTACCCTTTGACCCACCGGGAAAAGCAAGCAAAAGGGCGCCAATAGGTGTTAAAGTTGCTTATTTTTGGGGCTTGTAAAAGGGGCCCGGAAAAAGTTTGTCTTAACTGAGAATCAGTTTGTTGCAAACATTGTCATAATTCATCCTTAAAACCCTTTGCAATGAATGAGAATGAATGAGAGAACTAGGCGGGAAATGAAACGGGGGCTCAGGGGCTTACCCCCGGAAATTTTTTTTAAAACAACCTATTTAGAATGTTGGAACATGTCTCATGTTGAAAATCAAAGTTTTTTTATCCACAATCGGCATTGACATTAAGAAGACTTTCTACGCGGCTGGTAAAGTTTGTAGGTATCAAATGACGTACTGTCCTCAACTTTGATATCATGTATCAAATGATGATATCAAATGATAGATTTTGAAAGTTGGACTAAAACCCAAAGCCCGTTTTTCAGTTAGCGAGACACTCCCTTCCAAGATTTTATAAAGAAAGCAGCTTCTCTGGCCTACGAGATTATTTTTGATTAAACTCGATCTCGAAATCTTTAGAATAGTTGACAAAATATATGACTTCGTTCTCATCAAACGGTAACATAAAATTTTTTTAAAGCTTTGCAGCATACTATCATTGAGAAATGTAAAGGGGTGCCTCAGCACCTGCTAGCCTAATGACTATGTTGCTCCTGCCTCCACCCTACATGAGTTACAAATCATTTACAAAAGACATGATCCCAGTTCATCAGCGTGCAGAATTATGATCAGGTATTAAACATGTGCTTAAAACTGTAAACTTGTCTACAGTTTTAGATAACATATCTTGGACAAATGGATTTTAAGAGATCTTGCTGCCATTCTTTTTGTGCAAATTGATGATTTTGCAGATTGATAGGCTCCCTCTCTATGAGAAACTGTGCGTAGAATAGTAAAAGGATAAAGAAGTTCTTAAGAAAAGGCACAGTTCCTTTTTCGGGACAAAACTTTGAATAAAGATTGGAAAACTTTAATAGCTAGTTGTAAATTTGAAACCAGTTTTTTTTCAAAACAGCCGGTTGAACTTTCCATCAAGTTTCCTAGAAGATTCTTACATTAGGGCATCAATCCTCAACAAATTCTGTATAAATTTTTTTAAAAAGTGGTCAATAGTTTCTACTTCAGTTAGTGATAATTTCTTTTGGTGTAAAACTCCTGGTTTTAACGTACAAAAAGCAGGATGCCTATGAGTTGTTAGTTGAATTGCAAAAACATAATAGCTTGCCACGGACAGGAAGTTTTGTCCTCTATCATTCTTAGGGCAGTTTTCACTATCAAGAGATAGTTGATGGCCCAAAGAAAAAAGGGCTATTATTCATGAGAGACAACACAAGGAATATGCACATATTACGGAATCAAAAATCGGCAATACTTGCAAAAAACCCCTTCTACCTAAACAACTATTTTAACAAACTTTAACAAATAGCCATATTAACCGTAATAGCCATAAAGTTTATGTAAATCCCCCTCCCCATCTTTGATTACATAATATGTGAACGTTCCCATACCCAATAGACAACAAATCGATAATTTTATCTAGTTACAACCATTCTGATTAGAAATAGCACAGGGTAGTTCTCAGCTGGACTTGCTACAGGTCTCTCTCTATCCATTTTGTAATCTGAAAAACATCCCTCCCATTTTTTCCTTTTCCCTTTCTTTAATGGATAAAGAGAGACTTGAAGCAAGTCCAGTGCTCAGCTAACTTTTTTTCAAAGTGCAATCCCTCAGTTATTGGATATCAGGCACTAGGATTAATTTTCATTAGCCATAAGATTAGCCATAAGTCGAAAACTAATATGGTTAGTCAGAAGTCATTGGTTTCATAAAATTATTAGTCATCAGTCAATTGGCAAACAGTCTGCTAGTTAGCTAGTGAAAATTCCTACTACCCCCTCAACAGAAATCGAATTAATTCAAGTATTGTGCACTTGCTTGAAAAAATTACAAGCTTCCCAAAGTTACAAGTCGTTTAATACTCTGAGGAGTTTCAGACAAAAAAGCTTCCAGTATGTTTAAAATATTTTCTTTTTTTAAAGTCATAGCTTTTAAAGTTAAAGACATTTTCAAAGCAAAATATATTCTTAACAAGGTTTTTAGAAAATCTTGCAGAACTTGCAGATTGGGAAACTTTGCAGTCAATCTTAATAATGCTCAACTTAAAGGTGAAGCTAAACTTTTTTTGGAAATGTACTTTGGACAACTAATGATTGCAATCAATTTTAGTTCTGTGCGAAGATTAGGTTTGAGCATAGGTTTCCGTGCCGGTGCCAAAGACTGCAATTTAAAGCAAAGGTAGTTAACACTCCTGGAAAATTAACGATATCTCCTGGTTTTATCTCAAACGCTTAATAATCTGCAAGAATGCTGTGATGGTCGTGAGTAAAAGACATCTGCAGTCGCCATTTCGAATTCATGTTTTGCAGGTCCACAATAAAACAGAAACAATAGATAGCCAATCAACTACAGGCCATTGCACAGCTCTCTTACAAATATGGTATCATTTGCGAGTTCCAGATGCTGTTTTGACTGAGTTCCATCCGTGTTCCAAACAAAAAGTTTATTGTTTCAATTCATTCACTTCCGAAGCACAAAACGTTTATTTCCGAGTTCTAGGATTAACTGCTGTTGTCCTCCACAGCGTCTGGAAATCACGACAGAGAAGAAACTGGCAATTTTGAGATTTTGAAGAGACTGTGATAAAAGATTTTTAGGTTTCATTTTTTAAATAGAATATTCCTTGTTTCAGGCAACACTATTTTTAGCTGTATGTTGAAAAACTGACTGAGTTCTGTGCACTAAGGAACTCACTCTGGATCCACCTCTGGAGCTCTTGCAAGAGCAGGTAGCTTTTTGCTTGCAGTCTCATAAACTCTGTTCAAAATCTTAGTTCTTTTCGAGTATAAGACCCAAAACCTTCTTTTTTCAAACTACATAAAACTAACTGATGTTGAAAATTTTCACCGATTATTGATGCTCTTTTCTGCGAACCAATTGCTTAATGGAGTTGTATCATTTTCCAAATTCAAGATAACCCTCATCTCGCATAATATTAAACATACAATAAACGCCCAAGTATAAAAACATAGTGGATTAAGAACCTGCAGGCTGAAATTATGAAATAAGACCCCCATTTTATAAGAACCTATCTAGCCTTAAATCTGGAATAGGTTTTTATTTGTAGAGATTACCAAATTGAATTAAAACTCTATTTGCTTTCTCATTGTCATTGAACCCTCAGCTGATACTGTAGCTTGTCCAATATCCACTAATAAATATACAATCCACTTGAATTTCAGAAACGAAATTAAATAACAACTCTTAATTAAATAAAAACCAATTTAAAAACCTTAACGACCTTTTTTCTTATTAAATACCCAATAGATGAGAACCTAGTCTGGTTAACTTGAAACATTTTAGGTTGTTCGATGCGGGTGTTTATTTAATATGCAGAATGTGACGTTTCTTGATGAAAACTGCACCTTTTTCGTAAGAAACTTTAGCGAAAACCTTCTAAAAAACTTAACAGTCTTATTTATATTAAATATCCAATAGATGAGAACCTAGTCAGACTGGCTTGCAAAATTGTAGGTTCTGATTTGCAGGTGTTTACTGCATCCTTTGAAAAGTTTCGACTGTAACCTGTGTTTTACTGTAAACGGAATCATTGGACTGTCGTACTTATCTGGGCCTGAATTTAAGTGATGTTTACTGTATTGTAACTTCAAGCGAAATGGCTATAAGCTAAATGACATTAAGCGGAGTGGTCTACGTATTTACTTTCTTACATGTTGCGGATACTTCTCTACTCAACACATTCGAGTGGTCCAATGGTGTGGCTACCATATTCTTCATCATTTGGGCCACCTGTATCTCCAAGGTGTACTTCTGTTATTGGTAGCTTGCTTTTCTCTGTCACATAGCCTTCGTCAAATGCCCACTTTTGTTGATTGGCATCACAGTAGCACAAATCATCATCGTTGAAACAGGTTTTGGTCACTCCACAATTACATCCTGTTTAGTTAAAATATAGACAGTGTCAATTCAAAGTCATCTACTATCAAGCTTTTAAATCCAAAAATGTGTTTTATTTCCAGTGTTGTCCAAGAATCTCTATTTTGCTAGGCTTCCTTATGTAAATGCAATCTCATATGAACCCTAACTGCGTTTTATAAACACAACTACAAACAATGTCAAAAGTAATAGGATGTTGCGAAGATTCCTGGTTTGTTTTTACCCTCAAATTAGCAAATGTTTTTATATATTTATAAATTTTATAATATTCATTTATTTGTTAGGGAGACGTTCCAGCATTTGTTCAATGATTCCGTTTGCTTTCAGAATTTTGTATCATATGCACATGCGCGTCGAAATCGATGGCGTTATTTTCACATCGCCTTACTAGGAATTTTCATTCGTCGCCTTACTAGAAAAAGCAAGCCCAAATCAAAGGTGAAAATAAAAAGGCTGTCTCGAGAAAAATGAGAAATGAAGCTCTGTTTTATATGATGCAATTATGGTGTAAAATTGTTTTCGTTACATGCTGCGGAGCACTATGAGAGAGAGATTTCATCTACGAGCCTTTGCTCTAACGTTCGTCTCTCCGACAATTCTTCTCTTGTTGAACAAACGTTATTGCTCCGGTTCGACGAATGTGTAATAATGAGCGCATATAAAACATTATGGTGATCGAATTCTCAGCCACCTGTGTAAGCCAAATTTTTACTGTATCTTGTTAGGTTATCCAAAATTTTCTACCTTAATAGTCTTCTAAAAACCGGTATATAACTTGTTGTAGCTAGATGAATTTTGGCTAGCAAACAATTTTTAGCAACAGTTCACCATTTTGTGGTGGTTGATGCAACACTTTTAATCAGCTAATGTATTGAATTCTTCCCCAACAAAAGAGGCTGGCAGCCGTTTGAAATGTTTTTGAAATACTCGTTTTTTAATGACTTAGTTTTAGTCTTTAGGCCTTATTCCGCACGTTTCGACTGAGAAGGGAAAATTCTTCAATATTTTGTCACTCACGTTAAGGTTTGATAGCTCTTAAAAATTATTTTGTAGGCATAATCTCTTTGCAGCATCTCAATTTTGCTTTGCTCTTGCAGAAAAGCTACAGGTCTTTTGCCTTTGCACAAATGCTAATTATCAAAGATATTTACATTTGTAGATTTGCTTTTAGTAAACACCCAAAGTGAGTATTCACAACGCTTAAATACCTTTTCCAGTACTGTCGGCGCCTCCTAAATATCGCATGTTCTCTCCATTTCTATCCACAATATAACCAAAACTGATATCTTTCTTATTCAAGATCATTCCATAGCAATCAATTCTTGTAAACTGTTTACAACTTGACAGGTTGCCCGTGTCCATCATATGGATGATTTCTTCCAGTGAAACTCTATAGGTTATTTTGTGCCTATAAGCAGGCAAACAGGTTCTAAATTAAAAATTAAAACCGTCTTTCAGTCATTTTGTCAAACTTATTAGGTTTGTAAACAAAGGCGACCCAAGAGCTGAAATAACACTTAGCTAAGATAGGAAACTCATCATACGAAAGCACTATTCGTCCGACATTTCTCAGAGTATAAACGTTGGATCGAGTATTATATTACAGATCGGTAAAGAAGTCGTTTTTATCAAAATTTATTGCATCCATTGGTTTAGTTTTTCAAAATTGGTTCGAGTTTGTATATTCTCAAGCAATGGGTATAGATATCCTTTTCCATTTTCTATGGGTAGCGAGTTTAGATCAAGGCGTTAAGTATGCACATTTTGCGGAAACTGCAATTTACAAGAATCTTTTGTCTCTAATTGTCATAAACTTTCATTAAATTACTTACTTGTATGCGCCAGGAGACTCATAGCCTGTCACGTTCATCCGTGTTTCACTGTCGTGGTCAAAAAGAACCACCATGGTTCCATTCTGTTGGGCACATCTCACTTCGACTGGAGCAGAAGTGCCTTTAAATTGTATCAAGTATGTTTCTTCTTTAAGATTACCTGGCCTCCAGGCTTCTTTGCATGATCTGTAGACAACTAAAAAATGATTTAAGCGCATAAGTTTTTCAGCAAGATTGTTGCTAGAGCCTAACCAGGTATCAATCGATTCCAAGGATTCACTGTTTCGATGAAGCAATGCTGGTTGTATATAGCTCGTAGTTGCTTGTTTTAATGATCCAACTTTTCATTTGCAAATGAACAATGAAGCTCAAGTTGCTTGGTTGAATTAATGTAACGTAACTCAAAATAATCTAGAAAACCCCATTATTAAATATAAATACGTCTTGATAGAGCATCTACAGCCAAAGTGATGATTCCAGCCCATTCATCTTGGTATCTAAACTAGCACTGGGTTGTGCTTCTACTGTCCAGATTGTGGTACCATTCTGTCCATATAAGGATAAAAAGAAGGACTGCGTTCTAACGACAAGTGGTCAAATCCAGCAGGCCCTTCGGATCTAAATTAAATTTCATTATAGTACCAATCATTATAGATGTCTCTTTACTAAGATTTATCAGTCTTTCGAAAAAATATGCGGCAATTTTGCAAATTTTAAAACTATTTGTGAAATTCATCCAAGAAATACAGTTATCTCATCCCCATGAAGAAATTAATTCATCCATAGAATTTTTTTATAGTTGCCATGTTTGCCATTTTCTATCGAAAACAATCAAACAAGAACCTGAAATTCCAAACAAGTATGCCGAGCGGTGTTGATCTACAAGGTACGAGGAAAGTAAGAGAAATATCAATGTATCGTACCAAACTTTGAAGAACTATACAAATAACCTACACTTTTTTATAAGAACCAGTAAGTTTAAGCTCAGGCTGACTGTTCTTAATTTTTTCGAAAATCCGAGGCTAGATTGTTTTTAATTTGTTCTTAAGTTAATAATGTGTAAGCAGCGCTATTGCTAGCTTTTTCGCTCTAAGGAGGTGTTAAAACCTTATTTATCGACAAAGTACGTGAGACAACCTTCATTTGCCTACAAGTTTGAATATCCCCGAAAAAGCATCGACACATGGCTAAAAATTCTCGTTTTTGAGATAAAAGTTGTTCAAAATTGCATTTTAGAGTAGCACAGCCTCAGCTTGTTCTTAATTTTTGACCATGTTTGAGCCTCGTGTTCATATAAGATTGTTTTTTTTAAATAGAGTCTATACATAAAAGCCTTGCAATGACTTTAACCATTATTAATATTTGTTCGAGGTTACTTAACAAAAACCATTAGCAAATAAGGGTAGGATGGTCCTCAGAATGTTTTACCATTGTCAATCATAAGACTGAAGGTGGTGTTCTCTCATCATTTGAACCATTTAGTTTTGGGCTGTCGGTGCGCCAATCGCAAAGCCGGCCATAAATAAAACCCCAACCGTTTTTGAGGGGGTTGAGAAGAAGAACAATGGCCTTCTTCCGCCGACTAGCAGCACCTTGTTCATGCAAAAAGTCGCAAGCCATACGGCTATTAACTAATGCACGAAAATAAGTAGAAAGTCAACATGCATGTAAATAAAAACCCCTGAAAATTTCTAGACAAGGGTTGGGTGGGCAGGGTCGCAAAGGAAAACCTTTCCTCTCCAAAGTCCAACTTCAAGTTGTCGTGCAACGTGTGAGAATGAAACTGTGCTAAGACAAAGTTTATATACCCAAAGCCAACACCAAAAGCCCAAGGGGCACCTTAAAGGCGTACCCTGTCACATATTAAACGTGATTAAATTTCATTTAATCAAGCTTAATCTTATAAATCCAGCATCAACAAAGCAATTGTCGTTAGCTGCTAGTTAGTAAGCCGATCCAACTGCGTATATTCTCTACATTTTGATGTGAGGAAGTGTAACAAAGTGGATAAAGTATCTTAATTATCAAACAGTTTTCCTTGAATGTCGTATCCACTGGTGTATTCACGTATTCAGTAAGTCAAATATATTTTTCGCATAATTAAGGTTCTTATTTTAATTGTTGTTTCCTGTACGTGATATAGGTCTTACACCTTAACGAATAACTGCAAATATTATGAAGTTCAAACCCCCCTCCCTCTGAATGCTTGTACAGTAAATAACAATGGCGTCTTAATAGCAGAAGGGTTGGTTTATAGTCTTGAGTAATGGATCCCCTATACTAAATTTTTTCTTGTTTAATTGTATGAAATACAAGAGCACAATTTGGAAGTAAAACGTAAAGCAAGTACAATCATTGTCAGCTGCTAGCAAGCTTCAAACGTCGTGAAATTAGTTTTACTTGTCTTTGTTCATTATATTAAATATTAACGAGAAAAAGCAATATTAATTACCGCAAAATACCGATATTCTAAAAAACTGACAAATTCATTGTTTATTGATGTTCAAATGATTTCAGTACACGACTTTCTTAAGTTTTAAAGTAAAATGAGTTTGCTTATATAATTTTTTATCTGTTGATAATATGGATATTCATTCCTTGATTGTGGATTCCTAAATATTGGCAGCTTTCCTCACGACCAAATTGTCAAATTGTTTAAAATCTTTGCTGTTTGAATAGAAATGCGTTATGTGCCTGCTACAGTTCTGTTTTTGTCCATAGAAAGAACCCTCTGCTCTCACTAGTCGTGAAAATTATGTATTCAGGGCAGAATATACCTGGAAGAGTTCAGTAAATATTGTGACCTTGTTGTAGCAAGCGGTTTGACGACAAAACATGACAATCTGTACATTATGGTAACAATTATGTTAACTTGTCATTATTGTATAGCAGGATTAAATGGCCTGATATTTCGGAACTTCGTATATATAACTGTGTCTCTGGAATAGAATTGCAATTTACAAGCCTGCCCTTGAAACATATGACACTTGACGAATTTCGCACTTTCGCAAACGTATATTTGCAGGAGAGTTTCGCGGTGGAGATCAGAAAAATAGTTGACGCAGACTGTGGTAGGGATATTTCTGTGTAAATACGAGCACCAGGGTGGTAGTCCAATACCTTTGATAATGAATTCAAGATCTGGTATTGAGCAGATGTGATTAAGAAGGTGTTTCTATTGATATTGTCATATAGATCTGACTACAAAGTTTACAATATGTTTCTCATTGTCATTCAACTAATTTGTCATAGTAACCTATCAAACATCAAAAAAATTGTTCAAAAAACTGCCCAATTGTAACCAATGCAGTCAACCCTACACTTACAAAACCTAAAAATGCAGATTAAGTTGACTCCAAGGGGTAATTTTGTTATCATGTTCTCAACGTTAGTTTTCAGTGAATGACTTTTGCCAGATTTTGTAGTTCATTTCATTAAGGCTGCTCTTACCTTTGTCCCACAATTCGTTGGTTGCCCCATCTTTTGCTTTTCTTGGTACATTCTTGCAGCTTGCTTGCTTTGCACACTCGAAAAACGATTTGTCAAGATATAAATCTTCGCCACTGATTCCTGGCTCTTCTTCTTTACCAATGAAAAATGAACTTTCGAAGATATAAACAAAGGAAAACAGAAGAGTTCCAAACAACAAGTATCTTCGCTCCATTTATATTTAGCTATATTTTGATGATGTAGGCAGGATTGCTTCTCTAGCAAGAATCTCTTGAGCTATACATAAAGTGATGAATGTCACAGTAGCAATATTGACAGAGCAGTGAAAGGCTTCTGATAGAAACGTGATCAATTATTTACGACCTTTGCATTTTTTATCAAGATTGCTAGGTTTCTTTCAAGGTGCCTTTAACCAAACCCCAAGTTCTCAAAGACTCTTAATTTTTGCAGGGCTGTTATTGTAATTTTCTTGCATGCATGATCCAAAGAAAGCATATTGCTGGAAATTGTTGTATTGATTTATTTGTAATTGGGAAAGCGAAAAGCTAATAATGCTTTGTTTTAGCCTTTAAAACTGCTATAGCCTATAAACTTTTATAACCTCTAAAACAACAGTCGGATTAACAGAGGTGTGTGGGCCGGCAAATACAGAGAGGGGATAGATAAGTTTTGGGACAATGAAATTTAGTCGTTTTAAGAGTTATTTTTACGATCATTTTTGACGGTCGATTCGCCCTTAGTTGATATATGTTGTTTTTCGTTATGGTCCCTTCGTGCTTCTAAAATAAACTGGGCACCTTTGTAATACCTCGAAACAAAACAGTCTTGTTAACAGCAAGCAAATTTTGATTATAAGCGTAAACATTAATTTTGTTTCTATCTCTAACAAAACCTAATCAGGCTACGTCATAAGGAAACCGGGGGTACTGTTATCTACTATCTCCAAAGAGTCTGGGTCTGACACTTCTTTACGTTTTACTTGTACCCTTCCTACAAGAGTATGCGCAATGCTGTGGAGCATTTTGTCGTCTTAGAGATTTTGGTTTAGAAATCTAAGGTAAGGTGTGTGGTTTCACAGCATTTCTATTCCCTTGTTTGAATGCTGCCTCACGACCGATTTGCTGATGTCTATGGAGCAATTTTTGCCCTAGAACTTGTATTGTACCTTCTTTCACGAGCTAAAAAATACATTTTATCTCAATAGTAGAGAAGTATATAGCATTAAGGTTGATACAAATGAGAATAAGCTTGGCGTTCTAAAAAAATTTTTCGACCAAATAAATCTTGGACAGATCAAGACTTCCTTCATTTGTTGAAAGGACCTTTCAATTGCTTATTGCTGTTGTCGAGTTTTGAATGAATTTTCAATCATGAATAATCTTCTCGCCTGTCTCGTAATTTGCGAAAGTTTTTTGAAAAAGTTTTTGTGACTCGCCTTGCTATTTGCTTTTAAACTGTCAATCTGACAACTGGCAACTTATTAGAAGAAATCTGTCTGCATAGATATTTATGATCATAATCAAATTTCAAATTTAGTCGAACAATAGATATTCTTTGAAATTTATATTTTCAGTATATTTAAGCTGATAACGATGATACTGATGTAAACGAAATAAGGTGAAAAATACGAAATTATTACATGCAAATATATGTCGAGATGGCATCGAAAGAAAGTTCGTTTTATCGGGTATTTCTGCGACATAAGGAGGAAATAGATCTAACCTTCTCATGCTTGATGACGCAATAAAGGCATTTGCAATCTGTAAAGGTTGTCTTTTTTACAAAATTGAAATCCTCCTTGTTTAAAGGTAGCAAAACATCAGGAATTAGCTCAAGTTTTTTCTATAAATATTATTCTCCTCTTCTCTCCAAAAACTGGAGAAAAAGAAATAACATAAAAGAAAATAATATAAAAGATTCAAGATATTGCATTACTCTAAAATTTTGACTTCTGTCAACAGGATGCACCAGGAAGCGTAGAAAGTGGCATCGAACAGCAATATCAAGAACGTAAGTTTAAAAACTATGTTTGAATTTTGTGATTATTTCTGACTTTTTCTTGTACCGTCTCATTGGCACGTGCAAAATCATTCTTGCTAAGTAACGTCAACCTCCGGTATAATTTTGCTTGGCGTGCATCTTCATATTTTCACGCGTGTCTTGCCATTTGATATTTCGCCTTGGTAATATAGAATTATTGTACAAATAACTAACTTTTCTGGGAATGCCGTTGTGACTATGAAATAGTTTTTATATTTGCTGCTTCCAGAAAAAGGAAATATTTTACAAAACTCGGTCACAGTGTCTTGTTGATTATTTTAAAACGCTTTGGGAGTATTAGCACACCTTATAATTTGTATGCAACTAACCACAGGCCGCAAAAAGCAATATGGGGAAATGCGTGAACGGGCCAATTTAGTGATTTCTAGGTTTTTTAACTGGTGTCAGTCAATTAGATCTCTATTTAAACAAAAGTGGACTTGTAAACCCAGTGAAAGGGGTTGTGTCAGTGGTTTTCAGATTGCTGCTGCATGGTTCATAAATTCATAAATGGCTTTGAAAAAAGCAAACATTTTACGACATTCTAAAAGCTTTTTCGTCTGACACTCCTCAGAGCATAAAACGTCAGAATCAGGGTTCGAAAGAACACGATAAAAAATATATACACAGTTGTGGATCGAAATAGGCCAATCAGAAAAACGCAAGCACAAGACCGGAATGGTTGACCAATCAGTGCCGCGAGCCTGAAGAAAAATCACCACTGGAGTCCAAGCGAGAAAGCGAACTCTTTCTGTCTACACAATGGTGGCTAATTTTTCTTAACAATTTTAATTAATTTAATAGTATTTCGTAAAATGTTTGCTTTTTTCAAAGCCATTTTCAAATTCTGTACCGCAAAAAAATTGTTCAAATTCATAAATGCAAGGGTATGAGCTCAAAGTCCCTAACAGCATACAACATATATGTAAATAATGAAATGTCAGCGTAGCAAATTGATTGACGGATTACCAGAGGGTGGGGGAAGGGTGGTTGAGGGGTGGGGGTGGTGGTTTATAAGGCTCTTAAAGTGAGGCTGTACCGAAACAGAGGCTCATGGAGTATGTCTTAGTAGAATACTTGCGGCGAAAAGTAGATAAAATGTTTAAAATAAGAGACACTGAAACGCGCTGAGAACAAACGACACAAAAAGTAAATAAATTATATAGCTGATATTCGCCTCGAAAAATCAGAGCAAAAATATTTAAAATATACCGGAGGTCATGATTGGTTTTTTCAGTCGGTCGAAAGTTCCATTAAGCGGTTGAAGAAATCAGCGCATTAATTCGATTTAAGCAACGTTTTTAGAGTTTTTACACAAAATATGTACAACTTAAGGTTTCATAGATTAACAGACAGATAAAATCCCTTTTTGTATACGGAAAGATGCACGAATCAATGAGGCATTCGCTATAATGTGCAAAAAAATTTGGAAGTTGCTAAAAACCAATCGAAAAAATGGCACTTATGTTTACATGGCATCAGAATCAAAGTATTCTTTCGTATATACACACGACAGCCGAGAGGGTTCACGAAGTCCTGGGTCAAAACTAAAGGGCGAGGCCCGCTGTGAGGGAAGTGAGCAGAAATTTTTTGCGACGATGCCCTTTCGATTAGCCTAAACTACATTTAAAAATATTACTTACAGTCTTTTTCCTATATTTTTTCCTAAAATGTTTTTTTTCTATCTTTAGACGATTTTATTAGCTTTGATTATTTCAAATTTTGATTATAAGTCTAAAAGAAGTAGAGTCATTATAGTAACAAAATCCATCTACTGGTGCCCAGTATGTTGAAGGTATCCTCAGACAAACGCAGTTTTATTAACGCAGAGGTAATAATATAATATCTTACTAACCTAATACAGCCATGCTATTTTATATAAATAACGATCATTGACTTGATAACGGGCTATGCTCGAAACGTCGTTAATTATTTAAAAAAAAAAATTTTCCTGGTACAATTTACCTACATTGATCGTTATTTAAATTCATCATATTGTACAGCACGCATTTTAGTATATTTATGCTATTTTATATGTTGATTGTAATGTTCTAAAAGTTTCTAGAAAAGTATAATTCCAGAAGGTTCTAGAAAGCGGAAATAATTATTTTGCGAAAAATAGAATTGAACTAATACTACGAATATACTAGAATGATATGAAAGAATAAGCTAGAATGTTTTACAGTATTTTGACAGTCTGGTATGATTGTATATTTCCAACATATATTCCCCAAACAGTCTACTCAAAACACTCAAGTGCTCCAATTATGTGGCTGCCATATTCATTATTGCCCGTGTCCCCAAGGCGTATCTCTGTGATTGGCAATCTGTTTTGCTCTGTTACGTAACCCTCATCGAATTGCCACTTCATCTGATTAGCATCGCAGTTGCAAGGAAGGTGTGCCTTGACGCAACTTTTGGTCATCCCACACTGACATCCTATTTGGTGATAATTTGAGCATATTTGTGTTGATGTGTGAATTTTTTTTATTCGATATAAAAAATATGAACAAATTTCCTAAAACTATACCGAACGAAAACTACTATATTACATTTCAAGGACGGCCAGAAGGAGCAATATATCACGACTACCCACTAGCACTAGACATATACGTAAATCAAAATATTCAAAAAAAGATTTAATAAATAAACAAATACAAAATAAACACAAAATATATTTTTTATTGCTTGTCTTAAAGTACTGTATATTGCCCGAACCTTTTAACCAATCGCTATCGTACCCACAGGGGCAGATTTAAGCGGCAAGGATGGTGGGGGGGGGGGGGCGTTGGTTGTTAGCGTTTCAGGTGACTGAAAAATTTTGGAAACTTCCGCTTAAAGAATTTACCTTTTAATTCAAGGTGAAGAAGACAAGAAGATAAATAAAGTAAGTTATTGCATTATTTCGTTCCTACTGACCACCAAAAAATGCTTTTCACCGAATAGAAGCAAAATTTACCGAAGAACACAAACATTTTGCGGGGTTTCGTACCCCCTAAACCACCCGCCAAATCCGTCCCTGCATACCCTATATATTCTAGAATTCGGGGAGAGTATATGATAGATTGAATTCGATCGGTGTATTTTGAGAAATTAAAACTCAAAGGACAGTTAGTGATACTTGCTCCAAGTACTCATATTCTGCCGTTAAAATTCTCTCTAACCATTTTCTCGAGCTGAGGTTTGGTTTTCGATAAAGTAAATTTTAAAACCCGAAAGATAAATAGAGTTACCTAATCTGATCTCGTCAAAGTTTTGCAAGAGATACATGCAAAAATGAATGCCAACAGAGAAACATTATAGAATAATGTATATCTACGTGTTTTTTAAGTGTACTTTCTATTTTCGCATATTCTTAGTTCCTACCAAGATGTCTCTTCTTGATCAAACTATCTGTTTTCTTCTTCTTTTAGTTTTATTCAATATACTTTCTTTTATTTTTTGCGTTTACCTTCTTACTTTCCACTGTCTAGAGTCTGGAGGCTCAAGCTAAAATTCTCTAGCTTCAATTTACTAATTGGCTTCATTGCGTGTTTTGATTGAATCAAAGGCAATTTGAAACCTATGCAGTACAGTTACTACTGACCAACTAAAACACTCCAATAATTAGCTATTGCATCGCTGAGTAAACATATGAATAAACTAATTGTGTTGTTGGGGCGACGAGAAAGGAAAAAGTTTTTTATGAGGGAGGCAACTCTCCGTCCGTAAAGGGTATGCGCATGGAACGAAGTTATTATTGGACATGCTCTCTGACTCCAGGACGGAGTGTTGCCTCCGCACTCATTGGAAGATTTTCGCTCGCTCGTTTTCCCAACAAAGACTATATATAAGCTTCCTTCAGCGCACATCGTCATGAGGCTTAACGAAAGATAAAATGAAGATGTATTTGATTTTAACAACACAATTATTCAGTTATGTTTTATACCTGTACCAGTGCTGTTTCCGCCTCCAAAGTATTTCATTTGATCTCCTTTTCTGTCAACAATGTAGCCAAAGTGTTGACCAGTATTTGAAATCAGTATCATCCCGGAGCAGTCGACCCTGGTCCACTGTCTGCATTCTCCTAATTTATCCACTACGCTTATTACGTCACGGAGTGGATTTTTGTAAGTTATTATGTGCCTATAAAAGGACAGATATCGAATCAATGAGAAAGAATATTTTTCACTTATCTTACACAAAATAATCTACAAATGTAGAGGCCTCTCTATTCAAAGCTTGAATTCCCGGTGGGGGCCTCTCTATTCAAAACTCAAAGTCCCCTTTTATAAGATATTCTACTAGAATTTCACCATCTTATCGTGAATTTTTTATATTTTCGAATATTTTGTATAGTTTTTAAGACTAGAATTGCTTGCATTTCGACCTTAATTTAGAATTGGGAATTTTCCATTGGGTAACACAATTAAGTAAATGCGACGTCACAGTGTGTTTCGGATTGCACATTTAGGGGTGATGGGATTCAAATAAAAAAATTCGAAAATATACCCTTGTGACTTCATCACTTAAGATCTCTATCGAACGTATTAACAAACCGAATTTCAAATGTTCAAAACGATTTTATCACTTGATATGATTCTAAGAACGTTTTTTCATAATCTACCAGAGTTTCTCCTCTCCGGCACCTTATGTCTACGTGCATGGGACCAAATTTTAGATGTCTGTAACTGATAGGGTGCCTATAGTCGGATAATTAGTGTATGATTTTTCTTGTCAAAACGTTATCGTTGATACTTTTTATTCTATAACTACCACAGAACATTTAAATAATATTCCGTATTGTTGTCTATCATAAACTTTCATGTTAAAATTACTTACCTGTATGCGCCGGGAGGCTCAAAGCCTGTCACGTTCATCCGTGTTTCACTGTCGTGGTCAAAAAGAACCACCATGGTTCCATTCTGTTGGGCACATCGCACTTCGACTGGAACAGAAGTGCCTTCAAATTGTATCAAGTATGTTTCTTCTTTAAGATTACCTGGCCTCCAGGCTTCTTTGCATGATCTGTAGACGACTGAAAAATGGTTTAAGCGCATTAGTATCTAGCATTGTTGCTAATGGGCCTTACCAGCAATTTTTAAGGCATAGGTTTCCTGAAACTTTGCTAATAATCTTATTAGAAATTTACCAGAAATTGCTGTTTTAAAGAAACGATGTTGTTTGTATAAACAATGCCTTCCAAAAGTCGTTGAACAATAACGTCGGTTTTCATTCACCCATCATTGCTCCTTGTAACCATGTTGGTTTACGTAAAAAGAAGGAAGAAGATTGGGGAGGGGGAGGGGGGTATGTTTTTGCCAGTGACTTCATATGATATTTGTCGGAACAAACAACATTGTTTTCGGGGGAGGGGAGGGGGGAGGTTAGTGTGCAGAAGTAGAAGAATTAGGGAGAAGATGAAGAAGAGAAAACGAAACGCTACACAAATTTCTAGCATTTTAGATTTCGGTTGCTCAGGAAGCTCAAGCTGCTTGATTACACGGACAAAGCAGACATTCTAAGGCCCCGCCCTTTTTACTGTCAGAAAACGCCCTTTTACTATCAAGAAACACAAAATTTGCCAATAGCTAACGCGTATGACTAACTTTTGATTACGTAAAGGCAGTTTCAAAATCATAGGATTACATTATAATCATAATGGACACCTTGTCTTCTTCTTTCAAACCAATGCACCGATGGTCATTCAAATGACCATTCAAATGACCATTCAAGGCCAAAGACCTAAGGCCAAAGACCTAAGGCCAAAGACCTAAGGCCAAGGACCTAAGGCCAAAGACCTAAGGCCAAAGACCTAAGGCCAAAGACCTAAGGCCAATAACCTAAGGCCAAAGACCTAAGGCCAAAGACCTAAGGCCAAAGACCTAAGGCCAAAGACCTAAGGCCAAAGACCTTAGGCCAAAGACCCTAGGCCAAAGACCTAAGGCCAAAGACCTAAGGCCAAAGACCTAAGGCCAAAGACCTAAGGCCAAAGACCTAAGGCCGAAGACCATTCAAATGAAAACAATTTTCTCGTTCCTCCGCACCGTTCTCTTACATTGTTTACCCAGGCTTTTCTTCTTCTTCCACTCTTATTTTTCCTCATTACTTCACCCTCTATTGATGCCATAACTATACTTTCCAGTCTGCGTTTCCAATGCATCTACTTTGCCACCCTTATCCATTTTACCTGGTTAACAGTACCATCCAGATTTTTAATCCCAATCTTTTCTCTGACCCATTCATTTGTTTTCCACTCAGTCCAGCTTAACCTCAATTCTCTTCTGCATACCCACATCTCAACACGTTCTCTATAAACAAACTGTATGGAAAAGTAGACGGTGCTTTTTTGGTTGACAGTGAGCACATATAGACAGTTTCAAACTTGAACAGGGTGTAAGACAAGGTTGTATCTTCTCGCCAATGCTATTCAATGTCTTTGGAGAGGCAATAATGCGCACTATGAGGCAATATGGCGATTTTTTAGATGGTTTAAAATAAATTTTTGGAATTATTGGGAGGGCTAAAGCCGCGGTGTCGGATGCCTCCGCAGTGTCTGATGCTTCCACGGTGTCTGATGCTTCTGCGGTGCCACTGACAAGCACCTCTTGTTCTAATCCTGTTGAATAACCTGGTGCTTTCCATTTTCAACCTACCATTTGATTGCTTCTTTCTCATAAATGATGTGAGTGCACTCTGCTGCAAACATGCGTGGCCATTGTCTTGTCAAGGGATCCTCCGCCTTTTAATCTGTCTTGCCTTTAGTCCTGATGTCACACAGCAGCTCTTTGAGTCGCATAACACAACCTTCTCACAAACACCATGATGTAAGCAGGGAGACCAGTTTAGTTGCCGATCACTAGACCCCCTTCTAGATGCCTTTTACAGAACGTAGGAGAAACGGTGGAGGTCTTCTAAGCCGCCTATGAAAATTAGCCTGTGGTACTATACTGCACATGACGTCTTTCCTTGCAATTCTTTGTTTGTGCTATAGTAACTGTTCCGAAACGGAGATTTGGCGAAATATATTATTATTATAATTATTATCATTATCAATATTGCCATCATCAACATTGTCCCAGCCTGCGTGCAGACTCTGTTGACAAAATTGAAAATAGGAGAAAAAGTAGAGTCTGCAAAGCCGAGCCGATTTTCTTGTTCACAGGTTCCTCAAAACCATGGAACCGAGTTTGATTGGTTTGGGGAATCTCAATTGGTTTTTTTTCAGTTTTCAAAGTGGCGCCTTCGAGCAGAAGTATAAATGAATGGTATCAGGATAATCGAACAGGTCTGTTTGTTCTTTTGAACAACAAAAATTACAGAAAACATTGCACGCTAATGGAGTTGTTGTTCTAGTGCTTAGAATAAAATATTGATGTCAGCGAACAAGAAAAGCGGCTCTGTTGCGCAGACTCTACTTTCTCTCCGCTTTTGAATTTTTGAGTCTGCACGCAGGCTACATTGTCGCTACTTTTGTCATCCTCATAAGCATTATCAACATCGTCACCATCATTACCAAAAACCGCTTTTTCTCTTTGCACTTGTAATAGTTATTTTTCCAATGTAATTGTGCCACATACAAGCTACCTTGTAATAGTGATGTTTGTAAGTGTTATGTTTTTTAAAATGAAATGACAACTGGTTTAAAAAATTATTATTATTATAATAGTACAACTAGTAAAGCACGGCAACATACATTTTGCATACACCTCTCCGGATTATGTAGTCTCGCACTGCCTCTCTTTTGGTGAAACAATAATGTCATCAAATATCAATAATGGACATCTGAATTTATTTAAGCTTTAAATATTTGCCAATTATGCTCTTTGCTACCCCCAATATCTTTGTCAATTTCGTCTATTTCATACTTACGTCTATTTCACTCAAACACAAAGTGAAGAGAACGCTTCAACGCAAATGTTTCTTTGTCTGATTATAAAAAAATGTTTTTTTACAGTTCTAATTGTAGAGCAACCTATAATTATTTCGCATTTTTGCTTCACTAGACTAAATATTTGCGTATCATTTTGCGTTATTTAAGAAAGAATTAACTGATATTCTACCTAATTGGGTGATACATTATTCATCGTTATTCAAAATATTGTTAATGGATTTTTTAAAGATTAACACTGAAGGCTAGATCGGTTATGAGAGTAAATATATTCAATGAGTTGATAAAAGATATCCGTTCTTGGGTAATGGATTGAGCAGAATTCATTAAAATTTAAAAAAGTTAGATAACGATGCGAGTGTTTTTTTAAAAAAATTGTCGATTCTTTTTTTCACGATAAATTGTAAATCGTAAACATTTTCCTGCCCACAAATTAAAAATTTGTTTTAACCTGAATAGGTATTATAAATGTTTGTTCAAAAAAGTGTTTGTAATCTCATGAAAGATTAGTTTTTAAAATGTTTCAGGCACCGTGGAGCGTTGAGAAAAGTGAGGGGTCTAAGAAGTGGGGGGGGGGGGGGGGGGGGGGGCTAAAACACGAAAAAAAAAAAGAAGTTTACAGTTCTCTTCTCTAAAATAGTTCTCCTCTTAATATTTGTGCATTTATTGGGCAAAATGTGGGGGGGGGGGGATAAAGCTCTCCCAGCCCCCCTGCTCCGCGGTGCCTGTGTTTTTAGAGCTTTAGTGCCCCCTCTTCCAAGAGTTAGCGCATCTACAAGGTCTTCAATCGTATTGTGGATTCGCAAAAACTTTTGATTCACGATGCATTTGGAAAATGACATTAAAAATTGTACAACTAAAGATGCACCCTTTTATCGCAGTGCACGAAAGAATAATCTTAGGTGTTGGATTGAAAAGTAGACGCGCTGTTCAAGTGAATCCACCACCCTCAGTGTCTCATGGTGGTTGTGATAGCAATATTAAGGTATCCATGAATAAGGAAGATAAGGAAAAGATAAGCATTTTCTGTTATAGATTTATAGAAATCGTAAGATAATATGAGAGAACGCGAGATAATATAATAGAAGAAATTATATTAATCCGTTACTAGAGAGTTCAGTGGAAAGGTGGAACATTTAGAGAGTGAAGTAAAAATTTCAAAGAATGAAAAACCAACTTTATTGATAATACGCAATAACTGAATCGCTGGACAATACTTTTAGGATCTTTGTCTTTTTGAATAATTGCTATATACTTTTGAAGCATTGTGTTGTTACTTAGCAGGTTTTAGGACACTGAGAAGACCTGGCCCTGGTCCTTTCTCACGGTGTGACCAACCCTCGTGATTCCTTCGCCTTGAATCACAGATAGCTTGCGAGACTCCTCACGCCGAGTAAAAGTTTTTCATGTCAGGGACTCTTACTAAATACCCTTGGATCTGAAGTTAGCGACCCTAACCACTGAGCTATCCTTGCATTTAGTAAAATTTATGAATAGTCAAGTATGTTAAAATATAAGATGAATTCTGACTTGTTATCGGTGCTTTATCTAAAAGAGATTTCTTGTGTCAAATCTTGAAACAATTAGCCTTGACAAATAGGAGGTCGTGTGAATATAAGATAAACTCTGACTTGTTATTGTTGCTTTATCTAAAAGAGATTTCTTGTGTCAAGTTTTGATACAGATAGTCTGGGCAAAGAGAAGGTCGTACGGCTGATAATCGTGAAGAAGGTTACTAAGTGTAAACACTTTGTTTTAACTGTCGTTTCAAGTCAGGTTTTGAAAAAATGGCTACATTTGCTTGAGGAAGGACAAAAATCTCCCAATACTTTATTTTTGTAGTAATTTTTTCATAGCTTGTACGCACCTTTCTTCCATACTTCGTTGGTTGTCTTTTCTTTTGCTTTTTTTGGTACATCCCAGCAGCTTGACTGCCTTGCACACTCGAAAAACGATTTGTCAAGATATAAATCTTCGCCACTGATTCCTGGCTCTTCTTCTTTACCAATGAAAAATGAACTTTCGAAGATATAAACAAAAGAAAACAGAAGAGTTCCAAACAGCGAATATCTTTGTTTCATTTTTATTAATCTATGCAATGTTGATGTAAAGAAAAGCTTTCTCGTTAGCAATGCTGTTTATAAAGATTCCTTTCTGCATGTACTGATAGACGCCGGATTGTGAGACAGTTAAAAAGTGATCAATTATTCATGACCTATACATTTTTTATCAAGCCTTCCTTTAGAGTATACTTTTTATTAACATTGCAAGCATAGACATAGGAAGCGGCAGCTGGCCCCAATTTTCATACACAGAGTTAAAGGTCTTTGGTTTTGAGGAAAAATGATCACTTGGTTTAAGGAAAAATGACGGTAGCAAAGCAAGATACATTTTAAACGATGTTTCTTGGCCTCAAAGAAAACAGAGCTGAAGATTCTGTCTTGATATTAATGGTAACGCTAATGTCAGTACTGACACAGTAAAGGTCTCTACTTTACATTCTTGCAGTATATCAGCCTCGTGTTTTTTCATCGCTTCGCATTTCATTTGTCAAACATGAAGCTAGTATCGTAAATGTTTCTTGAAACGTGACGTTTCTTGAAAGTTTCCTGTTCATCAGTTTGCCTGAAACCCGGCAGTCTCAGTCAGTTGGTCAAACGTATTTTATGTGAGTTCCGTCCAAAAATCTCTGAGAAAGGGTGGTCTGAAAGCTGGAGTTATGGGACATAGAATCTTGAAAATAGGGTTGCTTTCTTCTTCAGTCAGGGGTACCAGAAAAGTGTAAGAATTTACTGATATGATGTTACAGATAATTTTTGTGGTAAACCAATGGCTAAGTACCATGAATTTTACAGTATCATCTAGTCTTGCTCATTATTCTAATTCTAGATAAGAAAAATAAGTCTTTGCTAGTTTGTACTCATTGCAGGGTATTATTTGGAAATTGACACAACTTTTCCTGTTATTCATAAGATACATTGAACACAGTGTTGTGAAGTAAGCAGTGTGTTGCATTTACTTTTTTGTTCTTCCTTTTTTTTGTTATACCAAGAACCACAAGGGGTCGCTGTTAAAATCAAATTTAGTAAACTCTTTTTCGACATAAGTTTAAGAAATAAAATGGTTCTTATATGAATTTGTTTCAAAAATGCTTGCTAAAGCTTGAATATTCTCAGTGAAAAGGGTTGCAAAATTTTTGCAAAGTCAGAGAAAAGAATACATTTTACGAGACCAAAAATCAGAGATTTGGCTCCAGTTTCTACTTTCAAGAACACACAACTGGGGCCTTGAACAGAATGAAAATGTCGGAAACTTTGGTTAGCTTGTATATACCCTAACAGATACCAAGCACCAGATCTGAGGTAACGATGCTTGTTAGTTTCATACACACATACATACATTTATGGTTAATTAATGCAAGTCATATTCCAGTCACCTTAAAAAGCTTATGTGGACCTGCAAAGTAAATATTACGCCTACTTACAATTTGGTTACCTAATTTACGAATAGTTAAAAAGTAATTAGTATTTTTGTCCCTTTGTTTGAATGAGAAATTAGTAAAAGAAGTTGTGACCTTCTTTAGGTCTACAGGTAGGTTGATCCATACAAGTGCTTCTTCAGATGTTAGATCTCTGTTGTGGTTATTAAAACTGGATACAGTCTCTCATTTCTCGTGTAAAATCTTTCTTTTTGAACAGATTTTTGGATTTATTTTTGAACAGACTTTCGATCATATATTTTTATTATATACTTGGTGTAGAATGCAGGAAAGTCTCCTTTTGTACATTTGGAGAGGTCTTTCCAGTTTTTTAAACGTCCTCATTCTTTACTGCTTTTGAAACTTTGTCAACCATTCGTGCAGCTTTGATATGACATGAGTCTAAGTAGTTCATTTTACAAGAGTTATTGCTACCTCAAGCAAAAATTCCATCAGTAACTACATACAAGACAGGTTTCAAATCAACAATAGAAAGCACTTCTTTTGATAGATATATTTTCATATATTATTTTAAATGAATTTAAAATAAATAAATATAAATATATGATACATTTACTCTTTGCAAGCAAAAGAATTTCTGACATCATTTTCCCATCTCATCAATTGTTACCTGTAAATCCTTTATGACCTCATCCACGGTCAGATCTAATTGTAGCTTGACATTAAATAAGCATAATACAAATTGGCAGACAAATTTTGGCAAAAAATCGTAGATATTATTTCTCTGGCATAGTACTACCGTTTTCAAGGCCTGTGTTTTGTTGTTTTTTCAAATATTTCTTGCTTTATCACATTATCTCAGCTTAGGTACCAAATTTATTTCAATACCTCTCGTTGCGACCTGCATTCATTGCCTGCTTTTTTAGCTTTTGTTTAAAACTGCATTTTTACATCAATCATATAAATTAGTTACATTTTATTTAGGTTTTTTGTCTTTTATCAAAACGGCTCAATATTCCTTTCTTATTGGAGGCATGTTAAAGGTTTGAAAAATATTTATTCCTGCCAAATGTTTTTATTTTCATTTTATTCAAAAGATTTATTCCATTTTATTAATCTTTTTTGGCTAATCTAATTAACCGTTTCAAAAGCTCTCTTCAAATTCAAATCGATAAGGTATTCCATTAAAGGTGCCTTGTTCTAATTTGTAGTGAATCATGAAAAGTAGAAAGTGTGAAAAGTCAGAGTCAGAGGATGTATTGATTTAATTTGGTTGAAATAACGGAATGTTGGGGTTTAAATAGAATGCACACAAAAAAGAGCAGCGATCTTAGCAGAGGGTTTACTTTACCCATAATTAGTACCTTACACATTTGGCTCGATTACAAATAAATTAACTATCTACAAATGATATGTTCTAAGCAGCGATAAATGCTGCTACAAACTGTTGTGGCGGACGGCGCAAGAGCTTGAATCACAGACCGTTGGATCTGTAGTGAGCGATCCTACCTACTGAGCTATCCTCACATTTTCACCAGAATATGGTTTTACAGTCAATATTGGAATGTTACAATGCTTTTTTTGCCTTCTCTATTTCTACGTCATCATTCTTTCTCTATTTCTATCATGCAATAATATCCCCCTCATCTACGCCGTTGAGTAGGACAATTTTGTCGGTTAGATGTTAATTGAATGTTTTTTAAAGTATATTTCTGAATGTTATCTGACAATTGACGATAAAACTCTCACGAAGTATATGAGATGATCAAATAGAATTTAAATGTTGAAAAAATAGAATATAAATTTTCAAAATCTATGAAATTTTGATCATAAATCTCAAAGACTACCATAGAACGCTTCTAAATGTGCCAAGTCAGTAAATGTATTATGCATTAGGTGCAAAATGGCCCGTAATAAATCTGATGTCAAAAGAAGCACCCTTTTAAGGCAGAGTTCAAATTTACTCCAGAAAATTCACTTATTGGGCAAAATTATTGCACAGAATAAGGCAAAAGTGACAGTACAGCTGCAGAACAATTACTCACTTGTCGAGCCTGTGCAATGAATTCTTTTTAAATTCAATATAAATTTTTACAGTTACAAGCTACTCATTATACTACGTGGAATCTACTTATATACACTACAAGGACAACACGACGCAATGCAAGTTACCATAACAACTTCGCAGCCATATACATGAATAACACGTAACAAAACAAAATTAAAATCACAGCTACAAGAAATACACAAAAATAAATTTTACTAAATAATATTCAGGTTTGTTACATAAATACATAATACATAAAATCAGACCTGAAGTATCTCATTTATTTCTGTATTATCTGAAAAGATTCATTAAATAAGAATTCATTTAACTTTGCTTATCAAACTTGAATGCACGTGAAATTTGATTTATGCAACTGTAGTCAACTGCCGTGCCACTCAGTTTATTACAGCTACTCTTCACAGATTAGTTTTCCAATCGTATGAGCTCCTTTCTCATAGTTTGAGCCAGTATCTCCCATGCTCACCTTGGTAAGCGGAAGCCTCTCCTTTTCCGTGACGTAACCTTCATCATAGCGCCATGTTAGATCATTTTCATCACAGTTACATTTCTCGGTACTTGATGCACATGTATTTGTTATTCCACAGCTGCAGCCTATGAGAAAATCAAATATTTCGTCATATGAATGAGCATATGAATGTTCCTTTACTTGAAAAAATCACGAGGCTGGATTTTTCGCAAAATTTGGGTATATTTCAATATTTCAATAAAATGTTATTTGAATATAATTTGCATGAAAGATACCCTGTCACAAAAGACATATCTTGATGGCAGTTATCACAAAATTTTATCATATTTTTGCACGAGAATTTAGTAGAATTTAATTGCTTATTGCGTGTAAAGGGTTATTAGTACCCATGCATGCTCAGTGTACTGCCAAACAGATATAAAAGCTTTTTTATCAAGATTGTAGGGTCAGTTGCCAGGTGTAGAAGTCTAATGTGGCAACTTGATAAATAATGAAAAGTTAAATCTTGAAAGAGAGAGTTTCTTGTGTGAAACTGCTGATGTTCTTTGAATTGTTCTATCACAGGAAGAGTGGGGAAAGGAATGTGAATTGAACCTCGGCCACGACTTATTGGTAGCCTCAAAAAGTAATGAATTCAATATTAAGAATTGAATGAATCAGAAATTACAAAAGTATGCTTCAAAAGTGTAAAGCCATTTAGACTTTTGCAAGAAATGACTGCAAAAAATTTTCTGAACTTTTTTGGGCTAATCTAAAGGGCGTGGTCGCAAAAAATTTGCTCTGCTTCTTAGATCTTGTTATATGCATTGTTATGTTGATTGGGATCTTTACGTGAAGCTATGAGAATAATAAAAGCTCTCGCCCTTTTGTCATTATTCCAATCCCTGCATTTGAAATGGGAATTTTTTCTCGATTTTAAACTTAAACCAGTGCTTGTTTCTGTTTCGAAATAAGATGATGAAAATAAGACTATGCTTACCCGTTCCTGCTGGGGGTCCACCGCCTATGTACAGCATCTCTTTTCCATTTCTATCTGATAGAAAAGTGTAAGAATCCTCCAACAACATGTGAATGCAGTCAAATCTTGTGAACTGTTTGCAAGCGATTGATGAATTAACAAACGCTATCATGTCCTCAAGCTTGTTTTTGTACTTCAACACACGGCTGTAAATTAAATTTCGTAACTCTGATGATTACAGCATTGTAGAAATTATGAATATAGGCAATATTGTGAAAAAATGTCTCGGTTAAGCTGACTAGACTTTTTAAGATAAGCCGCAGAACATTTAAGGCCCACAGAAGTAGTTGCAATGATGAATGGCAGCATGGTTTAATTGAAGTACAGTGTCTAGGTGATTACGACTTTCTCTGAAAGAACACCTTGAAAGAGCCCTAAATTGGGAAACGCAGCTAAATCTATTAAACAACTTCTGAAATATGGACAAATAAGGAACGAATTTTTTTCTTCCTTTCTTCTCTTTCTTAATGTAATTCTATCTTTGACTTCTTATTTTATGAGTCTAACTTAAAGTACATTGACTCATCAGCAAAAACTTGCATCGTTCGCTGGCTATGTATTTGTCCCGAGGCTCCATGTTCTAATTTTTTGGAAAATTCGAAGCTAAGGCGTTCTTGATGTTGGTCTTATTCTACAGTGATTAATTTCTAAGTCTACATACTTAAGCACTGTTTCTAAGAGCATCAAATAACAGTTTTGCGTGTCACTTTTGGTAGCACGGTTGATTACATGATCAAATCTGCCCTGCTTTGTTGAAAAGAGAGAAAGCTTTCAAAAACGCATTGTTTTTCTGACTATTTGTCATCTGAGATTGACCATTCGCTGTTCTTATATTTATGGCTAATCGTGCCTCAATGATCTTGTTAGGCGATCGACAGACACTGCAATGGCTTAAGCCACCTGTCAATCAATATAAGCCAATCAAAAAGCGTGTGCGTGATATCACTCTCACTGATTGGTCGATTGTTGATTGACAGATGTCTGAGGCCGATATAATATCTGTCATTGTCTTACAGTATACCTTAAAAGTATTGCAGCAGCTTTCAAAGTTTAAAAAATCTTCTAGAATAGATACTGCCGTCTGCTGCTCTTGCTGTATTGGAAACCTGAAGCATAGCGAGCGAGCTCGATGTAGAAATCTTTCATTTAAGTTTTCTTCTTTCAACGTCACTTTTTTCTGTTGTTGATACCTAAAATAACTGTCTTATGATGATCAAGATTGCAGCTATGGAATTTATTGGGCAATACATTTGGTACTCACGTGCTATTCATTCCAGAGAAATATAACCTAGCTAAATCTTGACCATCATCTTTTTTTTTGCAACTTATGTTTATTAATTATTTATTATGATTTCATTTTGAGAATATTCTGTCTTTTGATACCTATAATCCCAGACAAAAATAGTTGAGACTTTTCAAGGAAAGATGATATTTTCTCTTTCGCTCGAAAGACAACTTAGGCTGCGTACACACTGAGAGCGAAATAGCGAAGCGAAGCGAATGAGCGAATTAGCGTTCAGATAGTTTGTACTGGAAACAATACACCTGATCACATCAAGACAGAGCGATAGCGACACGGAGCGACAAGATTACTTCTCATGTATTTGATCGCTGCGAACGGAAAGGAATAACAGCAATGGGCGTCGATTATATCGTTGCCATACAACCGATTAGTAACTGGGGATAGTCTGACGATACTGGTCTTCAACCAGACCAGTATTAAAGTACATGGCCTCATATTTGGGGAAAAGGGTGGCCCCCAATAATTGCCAACTGTACTTTATATGGGAAACAATAGACATCCCCCCACCAATATAAATTTATTTCCAACGTCACTGAAATAACGAGTCAAACATAGACGAATACATTCTGAATCTGAAATAGCCTTGTCATTCCTCAACTGCGGCACCAAATAAAGATATTCACCAGATAAAAGCAAATATCTATTTTTAATAAAAATCAGAACCCAGAACAGTCTTCGTTTGGAAAGTAAAGAATTTTTAAGAAAAAAACTTTAAGATAAAAGCATTCTTTTTCGTTTTAAATAAGCCATTCCGGTATCAAACTTCACCCTGCACAACTGTCTGATTCGCGATATTTAGCTCGCTGCATGTTGTTCCGTTCGCTTCTGTTCGCTTCGCTTTGCTTCGCTTCGCTTCGATTTTTCGCTGCAGTGTGAACGCAGCCTTATCCCCCTCCCCTAACTAAATGTTGAACGCATGATTTTGAAGGAGAAATGATATAACTACAAATCGGACATTGATTTGGGCGGAAAGGGGGGATTCGAATTTACAGGGACAAGGTAAAGTAGAAAATTGCAAAATTTTCATCTCGTCTCAACATATTTGTCCGGGATTGTAGGTCCCGAAGGTAGTCTTTGGACACTGGGAAGCTATGCTTATCGAGCAATGTCCTTGTACTTCTTTTCGTTGTGCCCACACCTCGTGATTCATACGCCTGGAATTACAGAGAGTTGACGACTCTCTTCACTCCGAATGAAAATTTCGTCATGTCCGGGGCTCGAACAAAAGACCCTTGGATCTGTAGTCAGCAACCCTAACCACTGAGCCATCCCCACACTTTATTTTAAGAAGAAGATGGCCAGGATGTTATTACGAACCATTAAGTGACTTTTATTCTCGAACGAAAATACTTACATGTAGTAGTCTGGCTTTTCAAAACCGTCCACAATCACTTTCGCTTCACTGTCATGGTCAAACATAGCTAAAACCTTTCCTTCTTCTCTCTTGCATCTTACCCTGACAGTTACCTCCATATTCATGTGTTGTATCCAGTACTCGCCTTCATTAAGGTGGCTCGGTAATGCTTCTTTGCAAGATTTAAACCTTACTACGATCAAGAATGGTTTCGTTAATAAAGTGCTACTTGCGACATTCATACCATTGATATCATTTATCAAGTTATAGAATAATTTAAAACCAATAAAAAATTGAAAATCATTATCAAAAGTAAGAATTTCCAATATATATATATTGAAATTGTAGAGACTAATTCGAATTTTTGTTGAAGAAATAATTCTACTTAATTCATATATACGATCAATATAGAAAGCATGGACGATTTTGAACAATAACGCTTAGGCCTATCAAGTGAAATAATTTCGTAGTTTGCCATCCCGTATTTTGTTCCTCAGTTTTTGGAAAACTCCCGCATAAAAGAAGCAATGCTTCATGTATTGTGAAAAGTTGGCATCCATTTTATTCTCACCTTTCTTCCAAACTATTTCATTCTTATCTGCTATAATGCTTCTTCCACCATTTTCTTGAATAAGCTGAGATTGTTTCGTCTTCTTGTCATATTTTACAGCCATACAACCTGGGCGGCGGTCGCAAGCAAAGTGACTTTCTGTTATAGAAAGCTCCCCTTCTGCATTGCCGCCGTGTTCACCAAGGAAAAAGCTATCTGCTGCTACTCTAGCGGAAGTGATCATCAAAAGAAAATGAATTAACTGCACACTTTGAAGCATTGTCCCCTCTTTGCTGCACTAGTTCGCAACCTTCGCGTTTAAAATCGCAAGACAAATTTAAAGCTGGATAAAGCTTTCTTTCTATAAAAAGACACCCGGTAGCACGTCCAAAAGCATTTAAAGACGGCCGGTTATTGTGGTAAGTTTCCATAAACATTTATTTTACCAACAGCTGCTTAAAATTACCCATAGTGTTTTAAATGGGTTTTCCATTCTTTCGATCGTTTTACAAGCATTTTTTCTTTTTTTTCAAGAATGCAACACATCTTACCATTGTAAATTTTTTAAATGATTTGCTATCTAAAAGCTTCTTTTCATTTTCCAAGAAGTTTCAACAAATCAATTCAACATTCTGCGATGCTTTGAAAAGATTTCAAAGTACGTTTTTCTTTCCAGGGAAAGCATACACTACGATAGTACTTTGCTTTTGTTTTTTAATGACGGATTGCTCTCAAACAGCGCTCTTTAATTATTCATGCTGTTTTTGTAATTGAAAGGTGTACAAGCCGAATTCAAGCCTAACCATCATTTTGAATGATCATAAAATTTATAACATCTTAATCCTAAATAAGAATTAATCATATTAAATGAAATCTCCAGTTTGGTTTTCGTGCTTCTCACTCAATAAATCATCAATTGGTCAGTCTGACAGAATCCATCAAAAACAGTCTGGACAACAAGCATTTTGGTTGTGGAATACTTATTGACCTTCAAAAAGCTTTCGATACTGTCAATTATCAAACTCTTCCTAATAAACTTAAGGATTATGGTATAAGAGGCACAGTGTTAACATGGTTCAGCTCCTATCTTGTAACAGAACCCAGTGTGTATCTGTAGATGGCCACATTTCGAGTCACCTTAAAGTAACCTGCGGTGTTCCACAAGGCTTTGTCCTTGGCCCACTTTTTCTTTCTCTCATTTACATAAATGATCTTCCAAAATCATGCAAAAAATTTTTTATATTTTTATATTTTTGCTGATGATACTAACATATATTTTGTATCTGAAGATCTTAGTCAACTGGAAAAAGTAGTAAACAATGAGCTGAAGCATGTTAAAAATGGCTTGATATTAATAAACTTGCACTGAATGTAGATCAGACAAAATTTATCATTTTTCATTCTCGGCAACATTCCTTGAATTAATCTGTGAACATAAAGATTGGTAAAGAGCATGGTGAACAGGCCAAATATGTAAAATTCCTTGGTCGTCTCTTGGACGAAAACCTTAGTTGGAAGTATCATCTGAGTGAACTAAGAAAAAAGTTAGCAAGAACTAGCGGTTTATTCCTTAAAATAATACATCTTCTACCTACCAGTGTTCTAGTTTCTTTGTATTACTCTTTATTTGCCTCTTTTCTTCAATACGGTATCATTGTATGGGGCCTTACATATGACACTTTTACTAAACCAATATACATTTTACAAAAGAAAGTTCTTAAAGCTATTACTTTCACGAATTCTTCTTCTCCATCCACTCCAATTTTTTTTTATTTAAAAATTCTTAGATTATATGATTTATTTCATCTCAAGTTGCTTACTCTGGTGTATGAATGTATTAATTTAATTTCTCCTACCTTCTTCCATAACTTTTTTGATACTTTGATGTCTGTTCATCAATATAATACAAGACAGGCTTGCAGTGCGACATTTTAATGACACATAAAATACACTGCAGTATGGCTTAAGGTCCATTAAATACGCTGGTGCTAAATCCTGGAATGAAATTCCTTCTATTACTAAACAATCCCGTTCAGTAGTGATTTTCTGTCGCGAAGCGAAACAGCATATTTTTCCACAAACTACCAGTCTTTAATATCTCTATCAAATAACTTTATTCCTTTTCTGATCAATTCTAATTAAGTTAAAATTTGATAAATAAGGTTCCTTGCTCAGGGGGTGCTCTCTTCTCGATTAGTCTATCTACTGAGAGAGCTCCTCCTCAAATAAATTCCCCTCCCTACTAAAGTCCATTTCAGTAGTATGTATAATTTGTGTTGTATTTAACTGCTATTGTATTTGTTGTTTTTATTTGTATTGTTGTCAGATTTTTGTATGTAGTGGAATTTTAAATATGAAAACTTGAACTTGAACTTGAAATCAAAGAATACAGACATTGTGAAACACGATTACAAGATAAAGGAAGATAACAAAATGGCGAAAATAGCTTTGCAATCAATGTCTAATTTGGTAATTTGTTTTGCCAGTAGTTTTTTAAGCTGAAGAAAGATTTGTTAGAAAATGAAATGTCCAATCTGCGCAGTAACAGACGGCTTTTACACCCATAATTTCAGGGGCACTGCAAGATATCATGCATTTCGAATCAAAGCAGTTTGGAGACTCTCAGCTTCCTGCACGTTAAGGCTATTCCCATCAAAGTTTCGAATAGATAACAATAAAGAATACTCTATTACGGACAACTTAGTTTTTCTCATGCTTCGAACACAACATAACAAAACTGGCGCTTGCCCAACACGACGTATATATGAGGCTAATAATATCACATCTTTCTTCAAACAATAATAATAAACAGAACAGAAACATGAAAATTCAAGTTTATTTAAAGTTTGCTAATCAGAGGTTGCATCAAACAAGGTAGTCAGACCGAATTATCTTTCTGCCACTTCTTGTCGCTACTGGTTGCAGTTCACGAGTGAGGTGCCTCTTGCAGATCAAATGGTTCCATGTCAGGTTGATGGTCTTCATAAGGTTAAGTCACTGCTTCTTGTTCCCTTCTGCGGAAAAAGATTGACTCTTCTTTATCTTCGTAGAATGGCTCTCTGGCTTGACGTAGAAACTCTCGACTTCGTCTGAAGACTTTTTCCACGTCAGAATACTTACACCAACTTGTTCTATGATACATCCTTCGGTCCAGCTACCTGTTCTGTAATTATTTCTTGGTTTAATCTGGAGTAAATCGTCCTTCTTCAATGCACTTATCTCCCTTGTGCCGCTGTTATAATACTTTAATTGTATCTTTTTCCTCTTTCGAAGTTTTTCTTTAACGCCAGTGACGACCTTTGGTTTGAGGAGCTTCTTCGAAATGAGAAGAAAGTTTCCGCTCGTCTTCTAGAGAAGAGTTAATGGCAAAGCAATCTAGCAATGATCTCGCGCTGCTTGAATGGCGAAACACGCTGTCTGAGGGGATGGAAAGCTCTCCTTCCCAGCGTATATTTAGCAGACGAGCTAAAACACTGCTTCCCATATCAAAGAAACTCCTTAAACCAAGGTTGTCACTGGTGTCCAAGAAAAACTTCGAAAGAGGAAAGAGATACAATCAAAGTATTATAACAGAGGCACAAGACAGCTAAGTGCATTAAAGAAAGATGATGTAGTCCGGATAAAGCCAAGAAATTCTGACAGAACAGGCCGCTGAACCAAAGGATGGTCATAGAGCAAGTTGGTGTAAGATCTTACAATGTAAAGACCGAAGATGGAAGGATCTTCAGACGAAATCGAAAGTTTCTAAGTCAAACCAAAGAGCCATTCTTTGCAGATGAATAAGATTCAATCATTTTCCCCAGAAAGGAACGAGAAGCAGTAGCTTGACCTTATAAAGATCACCAATCTGAAAAGGAGCAATTTGATCCGCAAGAGGCACCTGACTCACGACCTGATGCTACTGAAGAAGAGACAGCAGCCGCAAGACCTGCTGAGACCAGATTTCATCACAGGCAATTGAACTTTTACCAGCCAGTAACGACAAGGAGTGGCAGGAAAGTAATTCGGCCTGACTACCTCGCTGGCCACAACTTCTGATTAGCAAACTTTAAAGACAATTATTTTTATTATGTTACTGTTCTGTTGATTCTTTTGTTGGAGGAAAGGTGTGAGGTTATTAGCCTCGTATTTATGTTATGTTGGGCATGCGCCCGTTTGGTTATGTTATGTTATGCGTGAAAATACAAAATGGTGTATTGAAGTTCGAGTTCGGGTGTTCTTTCGTTGTTATATACCGGATAATCTTACAATTAACTTGCCGGACATGTCACCCTGGCGTTCAAGAACTGCTCCAAAGCGTTTCTCTTCATCTGTAACACTGAGTAAAGCCTTCGCAGTGGCTATGGCAGCTGTTGATTGTGCTTGTTGACATGGCTGTTTGAAGCAATACTTTTAGAGCTAACATTATCTACATTGGGCCCGTTTGCAATACAGAATGAAAACCTTACAAAGTTAATTTCTATTGTTTTATCTTCAAAGGCGGCATTAGATTTTCAGAAAACTGTATGATTAGTACAGTGCGAACAGTAAAATATGTTTTTCACCTGATAAACAGATTTTCACTAATGCCTCAAAGGTTCCGTCGTAGAGCCCCGAAGCAGCACTTTTTCATGAAAATCGAAGATAATAATTTAGCTAATATAAGATAATCATAAAGCTAATAATTTTGGCACAATGTTTGGAATGATCCAAAATTTGTTCCGTTCAATCCTCAAGCTTTCTTGAAATCTAAATCAGATATTCGTTCATCGTATAAATCGAGCTCTAAAAAATGGATGCTTCGGGCTGAGGGAAGCTCCAAAAGACTCCAAAAGTTTTGCGTCTTCGATAAACTAGTGTGTTTTGTAACTGCTTGTACGATGTTAAAGCCAAAATAAGATTGCTTTGTTGCTGATTTATAACTGAAATTGCATTTGAGACAGAAGCAAGTGGAGCAAGTGCCAGCCTAAATGTAAATAGTTTTCCTCATCCATTCCAACATTAATGAGCAATCAGAGTCACAACAGAATAGAAATGTAAAAGCTTTTAGACTGCCATCCATCAAATGTCTCGAATGACAGCGTGATGTTATATAATTCATAACACTGTAGTTGTCAGTGCGAGCGAAAATCTTAGTCAGCAGGCCCATCTTTTTTGCTGCATTAACTTTTATTAATGGAACACAGTCCACTTACACAATAACAAATTTGAAAGTGTACTCAGTCTGGTTTTTGGGATTTGCTTCCTTACGTTTGCAAATACCATTTACAGGTAATAAAACGTTACTGCTCAGGCGCACAGAGTGATCACATTTTCCAACTTTTGTGGCTGGAAGGGCGAAGTGTTCTGGAAAAACATTACAGGTAGCACCTGAGTCAAGTTAAGTTGAAAACAAATTTGCCTGCCTTTCATAATCATTTAGGCAAGGATTATGATTTGAAGAGGGGACTGGGAGACAGAATTGATTTCAAAAATTATTTTTGGGTGAAATTTCAACAATGAGAGCAAATAAAATTCTGCTGTGATTGGAAAATGTTTGCAAAACGTCTCCCTTGTTCGAGAGATGAATCATGCCCGTCTTCCAGACATGCACTAGCCCCCGTTTCGGGGTGATTGCACATGCGCATTATGACTTGAAGCCCTGGCAGGAAGTTCAAGGATTGTATGGTCGCAGACAGAACATCTGTGCGAATACTGTTATTGATGCGCATGTGCTATGACCCTGCAACACTGATTGGTTGAAGACGGTATTGTTTCGAAATAAATGACTGATAGTTTCGTCTCCCGAAGAATCCCTTAAAAGCAAAGCTTACATAAGACTATAGAATATTGGCTTTAAAATTCTGACACCAAGAAAAGTTGTGATCATGAAAATTTGTTAACCAACATAAATGATGACAATTGACAATAGTAAAAATAACGTACAGTTGTAATGCACAAACATGCTCAAACCAACACAGTTAAGGGGGGGGGGGGGTTATTATGTCATGCTCTTATTGTTATGACGGTGGGACTTTGCGATAAAAAGTAGCCCAAAAGATTATCAAATTGTTGTGTGAAGCTGAAAAGGTGGCCATTTACATTGGCTCATCGTTTGTTATTAAAATATATCAATATAATTGTTTGAAGCGGAAAATACCATTGCTTTTCGATATGATTTTGGTGAGAAGAAAGATTGACTTTGAATGCGGAACGATTAAAGTAGCTGAAAGTCCACAGCACGTGAGATTTCCAGACTTCCTGACTATGGATTCTTTATCTGTAAAGTGACAAATATGCATTGTTGGAAATGGTTCTGTTCGGTAAATTTACCAAAAATTGTTGGGAAGACTAGACTCCAGTTCATATGATTTACTATTATCTAGATTCCTATTGTTTAGGAATTTCTACTATCCATTAGTCTGTACCAATGAGAAATTGCATCATAAGCACATGCTTAAAAAGGCAAAAGCTTGTAAACAGAATTCATATCACATGGATATCATAATTATTATATATCATAGTTGCATAATACAAACTAGAGTTCCAGTCTCAGTCTTCTAATGACACCTTTTTCTCTAAATTTTATTCGTCCTTTGATTCGAGATTGGCTTATTGTCATTACAGCCACGCATGCTCCTACCACAAAATGTATAAAGCAATGTGAAAATCGTCATTGATTTTAACTACGCTTAGGTATGTATATTATCCTTAATCTTGACAGCTAACGTCTGCTCGGCAGTTACATTTCACATAAAAGTTTTCCAACCGTATGAGCTCCTCTCTCGGTAACCCCACCAGTATCTCCAAGCCTCACTTGAGTAAGAGGAAGCCTTTTCTTGTCTGTAACATAACCCTCATCAAATCGCCATCTGCTATCATTGACATCACAGTGGCAAAGAATGTCAATTTTCTCGCATGTTTTGGTTATTCCACAGCTACAACCTGTCGGAAGTTTAATTGTAATTAAAATGATTTTTCAAATTTGATGGTTCTACACTTTTTCTGCTAGGGATAAGTTACCAACATATATTATTCTACTTATTTATTTAATTTCAGTCAGCAAATACTGCTATGCCACTAGAATTATTCCCTTGTGTCACACAGTTTTCTGACAAAGAGATGCCAAAAGTTTGCCCATTTTAATGGCATACCCTTCTAAATAAAATATTCTTAACACCCCTGTGCTTCCATGGCGAGAATTTTCCTGAACAGGGGTTAGCAATTTAAAAAACTGAATGAGCCTTTAGTGAAACGAGAATTGAGCCTTGTTATGTGCGATTCGTTCACTACTAAAACCATCCTTGACTAACGTGTCATTTCCAACCCAGCGTGTCTTATTTTACGTGCAGAGAACACGGAGCCAGTGAGAGAGACAGTGTGTTGCCTGTGTAACTCTGATGTGAAATGAACTTAACTGACTAACATAAAAATTAGCATGCTTCTATACAGAAATGAATATCTAAAATTAACACTTATGATGTAAGGAAAACAAAGGATAGGAAGGGCTAGGCTAAGTGTGAATAGTTTATGAATTGAGATTTAGGTAGATGTGTAGGGTTAATGAGGGCCTAAACAAAAGAGAGGAAATGTTGACATAGTGATATGCTCGTAGAGTGTAGTGATGAGGTAGTGATGTGAAGAAATTACTGTAGGTAAAATAAACAAAGTAAAAATGGATGGCGATAGGTGAGGAAAAATTAGAATGAATGGAATCACTACATAGCTCCCCCCCTAGAATGCAAGCGAGGAGAAGCATTCGATACAAGAAATGTAGATAAAAATGAATGGCGATAGGTGAGGAAAAATTAGAATGAGTGGAATCACTACAAGCCTAAGCTAGGTGCTCTTTTCCATTCCCCCCACGTCCTCTGCTCCAAGTTGAGACCTCAAGTTTGCGGCAAGTAAGTTTTAAATTTTCTCTTTGAAAATTGATAGATGTTGTCACAACGCATTTAACCCTTATTCTGCCAGTCAAAAAAAATCTTGCTTTCCATTGCAAATTAACTTGCCATAAGATTGGGGGTTTTTGTAGTAGCTAATATAAAGAAGTATGACTTACACAAACCTTTTTTTATATATTTTCTGAAAAAGTGCAAAGGCTGATGTATCAGCATAAATAAGGCTAACGTAATAGCCCTGTTTATTCTTTCTAAAATTGTTCGTTTTAAAATTAAGAAATTTGAAATAATCTTTTTGCCATTCAATTACATTTTATTGCAAACAGAGCTCTCGTATTAAATAATGAAATCACAATTCCCTTCCTTTGTGTAGATTTGACATAGGAGGTTCGATTTACAGAAATACACAACATAACAGAAGATAAGATTTAATGAACTGTACTAACCACTCCCAGTCGAAGGCCCGCCTCCAAAATAAGACATTTGCACCCCATCTCTGTCAACCAAATAGCCTTTGCCATCAAGCCGCATGTTGTGACAATCAATCCTTGTAAACTGCTTGCAGGCCAACGAAGAATCGACAAAGTTCTTGATGTCTTGCAAGTTGGCCTTGTACGTAATCACACGTCTAGAATTATATGATCGTTATTAGAGGCCTCACAAATTTTTAACATAAACACAGTTCTTTCTCCGTTGAAACTGGAAGCTTTATCTCCAAAATATGATGCTTTTTCAAGAATGATTTTCGTTTTTCGCATGCTTATGCAAAATCCCCCCTCCCTTTGATGATACAAGTTCACTGTCTTTGATATCAGTAAAAGTCTACCAATTTATCAGAAGTCTCTCTGGATCATCAGCATTGTATCCTTTATTCTATAGTTGGTTTAAAGCAAAGTTACTGCTTTAAAGCGATACAACTGATTTCAGTACTCTCGCCCTTTTAGACGTTGCAATTTGTTGATTGAACTAAATCATACTAATGATTATTAAAAACAAATCAAACAATCAATCACATACTCTTATTCAATGTCAGTAGAGTAGCAGTATTATTCACCGATTTAGAAATATGAAGATTAATTCATAAATTGTTTAATTGGTACCACCCTTCAGTGACCTTCCATGTAAATGCAAGAAGCTTCTATAGAGATTGATTTCAGGAATCTAAAGGGGGTTTTTCTAGTTCGGCTTGACTAGCTCATTACCAAACCATGTGGGTCAAGGTTTGAGCTCCCTCTCCTCCGGAGCCAAAGATGAATGCTAAAAAGGCATCCGACATTTGAATACTCAACTGTTCTACTAAACGAGGTCAATTGGGAATGTTGAGTACATTCTTAAATCGTTCTTTTTACAACGTAGACCTAAATTAGCCCCCCTTGGCTGGCCCGAGGATGCTCAAAAGAGCTTGGTCCATTTTGGGTTGAACATTGTCAATTTTGAATTAATCACAGCTTCGAAGTACAGTCGAACCTCTAATAGCGACCACCTCCGATTAGCGGCCACCTCCCAATAGCGGCCACAGACCTTCAGTCCCAAACGCTTGAGAATGTTTTAGCATACTTTCAAATAAAGGTAGCGGCCACTAGCCCTTGGATCTCAAAGTGGCCGCTATAAGAGGTTCGACTGTATAAACAAACTTTCGCACTTACTTGTAGGATCCAGGATTCTCGAAGCCGTCAACTTTGATCAATGCTTCACTATCATGACTGAAAGCAGCATACACTTTGCCTTCTGTTCTTATACACCTGACTCTTAGTGCCATTGCCATGCTTTTACTTCTAATCCAATATAGCCCCTCGTTGATATGTGCTGGCAAGGCGCTCTTGCAAGACCCAAACGGCTCTGAGATTCGTTGAGATTCAAAAAATATAATTCTACTTAAAAGAAGATTGAATAGATTTTAAAACGTATCTTTTTAGATTGTTTTAGGGCAGGTATATCAAAGTCTCAGTATAAATAGCTGCATCTCTAATTTTCAGCTAGGAGTAATGTTTTCCTTGAATTAAATTGGAGAAGTCTGTGTCTAGTCGTTGTTAACAGATTTATGAAAACTATTTCATCGTACACTTTTTAAAGTATTTACGCTGAACTAGGTCAGAATAAAAAATTTAAAAGTTTTTTGGATACACAAGTGCAGCCAAAAGGGGGCTCTGGAAGCTACTTTTAGAACGCACCAAGTAACACTGTGACGTCGAAGTGGAGAAATTGAATCTCATCAGGTTTCGATGATTCAGCTCACAGAAAGTTATCAAAAAGAACCTATCACCCTTATTCAGGTTATTTTCACCTCTTAGTCGTCATCTGATTTGCTTTATTGAAAAGATATTTCAGCATCCAAATCTAAATCTATAAAATAGCAAAACCTGTTGTAACATAAAAGACTTTGTTTGTGGAAGAATTCTTTAAGGTCAAACGATCCAACATTTCACCCAACATTTCACCCAACATGGAGTTGGGCGTAATGTTGGATTGTCTGACCTCCTTGTTGGGTCACCCAACATAGTAAATTTCGATGTTGGACGAAATTTGACTGAGGTCAAAAATGTGATGAATAAATAGCTGAATATGTGATGGCATAGTTTCCTGAATGATTATAAGTCACTGTATTTGGATAGGGGGTCAAAAATATAATATAAGTTTAATTTCTTACTCAGAAAAAAAACATCAACAAAGGAAGTCCCTTTATTTCAATAATATAGTATCCTTAGAAGACATTTCCACATGCCTCATCACAACTGGCCTTGAGGCTAGATCTCTACATCATAACAGGAGACGATTGGCCGTTGGTTTATCGGTACAAGTCGCTTCACCTAACCCATCTAAAACCCTAAACTTCAGAATTATAACTTGATTGACCCAAAGTACAAGCAACTTGATATTCTTGGGAGGGAATTGATGACTTTTCCCCACCAGGATGCCGATGCACCAGTCCTACCTTGAAAAGCTGCGGTATGAGAGGGAACAGAAACATAAATAAATTAAGTGACGTTACTCTTCTCAACCAAGGGACAAAAACGTCGGTGCAAAGACCCAAGCTACACAATTCCTACTTCTCTTTCATTTATCCCAAAAGAATAAAAGCAGTACATAAAGGCTTGATACATGAATGGAAGTAAGAATATTGACACCTAAATGAGAATAATAGAATTAGTCTGAAATAGAACTCCCTAGTGAAAATAGATTCTACAACATCCCTCGAGAAATTAACTGTGATAAAATTGCATTCGATCAGCATTATGATTAACGTATTATATCAGCACATTTTTATTTAATGCTTATTGCCATAACCTTTCCTTATGATTTTTGTTAGTTTATCCCACAAACTTTGCCTTACGCTTTTTTGTTCTTTTTTTCCACCACCTTTGCCTTATAATTTTTGTTCGTTTATTTTGCCTTACGGTTTTTTGTTCGCTTACCTTTGCCTTATAATTTTTGTTCGTTTATCCCACAACATTTGCCTTACGGTTTTTTGTTCGCTTATCCCGCAATCTTTGCCTTATAATTTTTGTTCGTTTATCCCACCACCTTTGCCTTACGGTTTTTTGTTCGCTTATCCCGCAATCTTTGTCTTATAATTTTTGTTCGCTTATCCCGCAATCTTTGCCTTATAATTTTTGTTCGTTTATCCCGCAATCTTTGCCTTATAATTTTTGTTCGTTTATCCCACAACATTTGCCTTACGGTTTTTTGTTCGCTTATCCCGCAATCTTTGCCTTATAATTTTTGTTCGTTTATCCCACCACCTTTGCCTTACGGTTTTTTGTTCGCTTATCCCGCAATCTTTGTCTTATAATTTTTGTTCGTTTATCCCACAAACTTTGCCTTACGCTTTTTTGTTCTTTTTCTCCACCACCTTTGCCTTATAATTTTTGTTCGTTTATCCCACAACCTTTGCCTTACGCTTTTTTGTTCTTTTTCTCCACCACCTTTGCCTTATAATTTTTGTTCGTTTATCCCACAACATTTGCCTTACGGTTTTTTGTTCGCTTATCCCGCACTCTTTGCCTTATAATTTTTGTTCGTTTATCCCACAACCTTTGCCTTACGGTTTTTTGTTCGCTTATCAAAAAACACACTCCGTAGATTTGGCTAATTGTGTGAAAAGTTTGAATAGAAGGAAACAGAGGATTTGTTTATAAACCTTACCTTTTTTCCAAACTACCTCATTTTCCTTGGCTGTTGTGACGATCTCATCACCACCATGCACTAGTCTCGACTGTTTCGTTTCCTTGTTGTACTTAAAACTGGTGCAGCTTTGGTCACGTTCACATTCAAAGTGTTCTTTTTGGAAAGAGAATTCCTCACCTTCAATAGACCCATACTGCAGTTTAAAAAAAGTCTGTGACGCCACAACAGTGATATGGTTAGTAACGAGAACAACTACCAATATGGCAATAAGGACCATTCTGAACCGATTGCCTATTTCTAGCAACGTACCTGGGAAGTTTTTGTTAACCTTGTGGTGCCATCTTTAAATTTTAAATGAAGCTCCTTTATGACATGTCTGGATTGGAAACGGCAACTTGCAGGTTCTTGCCAATTATATCTGGATGTTTATACAAAAAACAGGTGCAAGTTTACTTATTTCATTCCTTGCGCAAGATCATTTTTTGCTATATCATTGTTTCAATATTAAGTTTGTCACGTTGTGTCAGATACCTAATCAGCTCTTTTTATAGACCCTGAGCGTTTTTGTCTTGCATGCTATGTTGTGAATTAAAAAGCAGTACGTTATGGCATATTTCGTCTGAAATTTACCAAGTTCTTTTTTCAGCTGCTGTTCATACCTAACCTTCTAGCAAGATTTTTGCTTCAGTTTTGTGTATGTTGCTTCATTGATTTTCAGTTCATCTGCGAGAAATAAAACCAGGAGCTGTTTTTTCCTACAAAGATTCAATTATGCTTTTTTTTCCAATCATACTAGCTAAGATTGGAATTTCACAACTGTACGGTACCTTTAGTCGAAAGTTTGTGACCGTAGAGAACTGGAAACAATTTTAGGTATTTTCAGAGATCTTTGAGAGTGAGATAATGAATTGAGAATTCTTATTTCATACAACCAATAATTTGTGGCGACCTACAGGGACGGATTAAGGGGGGGGGTATTGTAGGGGGTGCGACACCCGCTAATATTTATGTGTCCTTCGGTAAATTTTAATTCATTCGCTAAAAATCATTCGTTGGTATTCAGTAGTAACAAGGTAACGCCAAAATTTTACTTTATTTATTTTCTTATCAGAATTTATCTTCTTATCAGCAGCGTAGCGGTGGGGAGGAATATTCTGAAACGATTTTAAGCTAATTTCTGCTCGCTTTGCTCGCAGGAGACCCTCCTGTATATCTCTAAAGGATGTTCAACAATTTTCCCTCGTTTTTTGGTTTGTATAGGAATTTCCTTCATGCTCTTGAGACAGTCCCGAAAAAAATAGCAACTAAAATGCTGAAGCAGTTTAATCCTTGAAAAAAATTGGATTCTGAAGTGCTTGTCATGGATTTTGCTCCAAGGAGAACGGACTTGGTTTAAAACGTTCGAATACTGTTTATTATTTTTAGATATTTGATTCATAGTGCTTTCTCTCTTGGACTCCAGTGGTAATTTTTCTTTAGACTCGCGGCACTGATTGGTCAACTATACCGGTCTTGTGCTTGTGCTGGTCCGGCGTTTTTCTGATTGGCCTATTTCGATCCACAACTGGGGATATATTTTTCATCGTGTTCTTTCGGACCCTGATTCTGACGTTTTATGCTCTGAGGAGTGTCAGACGAAAAAGCTCTTAGTATGTTGTAAAATGTTTGCTTTTTTCAAAGCCATTTTCAAATTCTGTACTGCAAAAAAATTGTTCACATTTTTCAAGCAAAGGCTTATAAATAAAAATTGTATTTTCTCATTCTTATAATCTTTTGATGGTACAAAACTTTGAAATGGCTTTGAAAAAGCAAAAATTTGAGTATACTAAAGCTTTTCGTCTGACACTCTTCAGAGTATAAAACGTCAGAACACAGATTGAAAAATCTACGCTAGGAAATATAATTTCTTATTCTTCCATACTAGCTCTAATGATACAAATTAAAATTTTATACCATACTCTCTACGTTTTTAAAAAAAGGTTTTTTTTAAATACTTTCGCTTTGAGTCTTATATTTGCCCTTACCCTTCTTTTTTTTAAAAAAAAGTGTAATGTTTTGGTCGCATAACTGATAAGTAAATGTTGCTTTTTCTATCTGGCCTTTTGAAAATCATTTCTTTGGATTACTGTTTGATAAATGGATCTACCCTGAAAGTTCTTTCGGTATCAACAACCTTTCATGAAAATTTACAGGGTGGCTAAATGCCCCGGGATTCCTTTAGCCCCCCTCCCCCGTATTTTGCCTTTATGCTTGCAAGATAATAAAACCTCAATTGTCGAAGAAGTTGACATTGGAGGCCTAACATAAATTGACAAAGTAGAACACCAAATCGGTAAATCTGTAACCTAAAATAATGATAGGCCAAGAATATTTATTTCTCCGCAAATTATGAGAATAACCCGCAAAATTTTTACTGTTTTCCATGCTAGAATTTTCGTTCCAACATCGGGAAACTCCTTCGAAGTTACAATTTTGACCCTGGCGAAATATTGCTTTTCACCGCCGTATTTCTTTTGAACACCATCGAAAATCCACAATTTGCGAATTTTTTAGTTGTTTTTTGAATGCATGTAGGGCTCGTTAATGTGAGGCGTCGTGGCTTGAGTTAGAAATGATTTTAAAAAAAAGACTTCTTATTCTTTTTGTTATTGATAAATAAGACTCGATTTACACAAAGAACCAGACTTTGACAACCCATGCACAGAATAACGTATAAATCAATCTTGTCTAGAGAATCTTTGATGTTCAAAAAGTATCTATACAAGAGAGGTGCTTTGGTGCAAGAAACCACTGAGTAATGAAATTAAATGAGAAAGAAGATCTTGCCAAAATTTTGCTACTTTTTGTATGTTTTTTTATTATAATATATTTACACAAAGTAATCTTTCAGCAAATCAAAATCTAAGCAAAATAAATCTAATTAAGAATCTAATTTCATTGATAACAGTAGACCCGTCGGAACCGGGAGGGCTAGGGGGCTCGAGCCCCCCCTCCCCAATAACTGACACACGGTAGTATGTTTCATTTATAACAGTGTGCTGAATGAGAAGGAATACAATGGGCAGCCCCCAAAAATGAATTTCGTTGCGACGGCACTGAACAGGCCTAACAATTAAAGTTATGCTTTAACGAAACTGAGCTAGAAAGATAAGTCAGACCATGAAAATTTCGTATATCTTTTGTAGAAATTCTTTAGTTTTATAAATAATTTCTTTAAATCATTTTTCTTGGGAACCTTGTATGATGATTGATTTGCCCCTCGACATATGTTTTGTTGCCCCTTTTGTTTATGTATTAAAAGTGCCTGAAAAATTCTAAAAAAGCCAGAAATGCTCAGTTTTCACTGTCCCCTATTTATTCTTCGCAGAGAAGTGGTCCAATAGTGTGAGCACCTTCTTCTATTCTACCGTTTGTGTCGCCAAGCGTCACTCCAGTAAGAGGCAGTCTTCTCTTCTCTGTGACGTAACCCTCGTCGAATAGCCATTCCTCTCTGTTAGAATCACAGTTGCATTTTTTCCCACCACTGCATGTATTTGTAATGCCACAACTGCATCCTGTTTAGGGCAAAGCAGTTATTTTAAAAACCATTAGTACTAATGACATCAATATACGGATATATATTCTTTCAAAGGGACACAAAATTATCCAAAATTATCTAATTTGGCCGTCGAAGGTGAAGAGATCCCAAGTAACTTATGTAGAAGTCAGATCAATTTTTATTTACACCAATTTAATAAATATATAGATTCATATTCAGTTCAGACCGATTTCTTTCTGGCCAACTTCTTTTCGGATCAATTTGCAACAGTTCAAACCAACATTTTTTTCAGACCAATATCTACCCAGGCCAATTTGTATTAAGTTCAGACCAATTAATGCTCTGTTGAGGCCCAATTCTTCTTTCTTTTCAGACCATTTTATATGCAGAACAATTTGTATTCTGACCAATTTTTATTCGAAATAATTTATATTCAGGCCAATTTATATTCTGTTTAGACCAATTCCGTTGAAACTAAAATGTCAATAAAGGAGCGATGCTATTGTAAGCGTAGAATCTAGCAAACCTCTACCTACCCAGAGACTAAAGAATCTCTTTCTAGTTTGAAACTAGGAAATCTCATCTTAACATAGAAAAAAAGAGGCCTTTGTTACCTTTGCGATTAGAAAAGCACTTCTTAACTTGGGAAATGAAGAAGCTCATTTTACCCTAGCAATTTGAGAAGTTTTTGTGCTATTTTTCTCAGATTCATGCCAGATTCTCTAAGATTTCATTTTCAACTTTGTTCTGTAAAACCTTTTGTATACTTACCACGTTACTCTCATAATAGTTTGTGTTTCTTCAGGATAGAACCCAATTTAATTCATAATTGTGGGAGCTGATGAAATGTAAAGAACATCCCTCGCTACCCTGGGTGCCAGAGCCTCAGAGAGTCAAAGGATGAAGAACGGGGGAAGGAATTGCGGAATCTCTGGCACAAAGGGTAATCCCTCGCTATTTACTCAACTACGCAGGCTGTACGCAGGCCACACGCATGCCACACGCAAAAGCTAAATTATGGCTTCTGTTTTTATATGTTTACAGTTAAATTTAAAGGGCCTCTACAGCCAAAAAAAATTTTTTTTATTTACTAAAAAGTTAGCATCTGGTTCGTGTATTATGGCAAAGTCGTTGTTTTTGCAAAATTCCAATTAGTTTAGAATTTATAATGCTTTAAAGTTGCACCTTTCCGAGAAAAAAACGACAAAAGCCGAATCAGTTTGGTGACATTCTGACGTCACAGTGTGCGGCTCTCGTTCGCCATGAATTTCCTATATCTTCCACCGAATCGTGAAGGAGTAATGGTCACGCGTTGATAACTGCATCTAAACTTATAGCAGGAGCTTTTTAGGATCGAAAAATATTAAATGTTTACAATCATTCTAAGTTTGCGGGTCCATGCTGTGTCACGACTTTGCTTTGATCACCTGTGTAGGCCCACAAAGCTACGGCTTCCTGTTCAAGCTCTTCCCTCGCGTATAATTAATCGAAATTGACACTTAAGTTGTTCTCCAGAAACGATGAACAACTAAAGGCTTCAGAATTGATATCTGAAATGCTCAAACTAAAAGCCGGTGGAACAGAACTGAGAGTACCAACAATTGCAGTGTTCAATTTGCGAATCGCCGACGTTCGATTCGGTTTGAGGCGAGACTAACGAAATACACTGTGACGTCAAAATTGCGTCACAGTGTCACCAAACCGAAAAAATTTTGTCGGTTAATTCAATTAAATTCATTTCAATCGAAATGCAAGAGCTTAAATCTCACAAACTGTAAAAAATATCGAAAAACAAATAACGAATTCGTGAGCAGCAGGCTCAACTCCTTTAGATTAGCCAATAAAATGCAAGTGCAAAATTTGGCTGGAGAGGCCGTTTAAGTTGTCCATGCAACAGGCTTTCCAGTACGAAAATGAAGAAGTGAAATTATTTTGTTCACCTGTGCCGTCTGCTGGACCTCCCCCGAAGTAGGTCATCGCTTGTTCGTTTCTGTCAACCAAGTAGCCGTATCCATTTAGACGCATGTCATAACAGTCGAATCTTGTGAACTGCTTGCATGCCTTCGATGATTCTACGTAGGCTATGATGTCATTCAGGTTGTTGTTGTATATAAAACTGCGCCTAGAGTTTGTAAATATTGTTTGAATCTTGGTTAAATTAGTTTTTACTCTGATAGACAGGCTTATTGTAAATTTGCAAATGTGATATTACATTTTTCAACGCAACCAAATAAAGAAAACCCGGGACGTCCCCGTAAATCGTAGATGAAGAACATCATGGAATGGACAAAGTTAACTTTGAGCAGTGAACACATAAGAGGAGCTGAAGATCGTGACTACTGGCCAGGAGTAACGACGAAACTTCTTAATTGAAACAGTCACCGAATGATGATGAAATAAAGAAAGGAGACAGGGAAAAGATTTGAGACAGCACCTACCAAATCAATGAATCAGGAAAGTCATGAATCAGGGATGGTGCTAGATAAATTGCGGCTGTTGTGGTCTTTTCAGCCAGAATTTTTATCAAAACTGTTCTCCCTTCCTGTTGGATTCCGCTTTACATAATTCCAATATTTATATGAAGCAACAGAAAAAAGTTTTGTAAATTATATTCTTTAACATCATTCTAAAAATTGAGACGGCGCCAAAAATAAAAAAACAGAATCCTGGATGTCGATATTGCTTCCATTGGCCTACAACGATAGAAATTGAAGGATTATTGATGCAAACACTGATTTCTCTTACAACTTTTCACCCTGGATACATTTTAACCCGTCTTAGTGGGAACGATAAAAAACAGATTAAAAACGGGTCAAAGAAAAGTGCCGTTTCCATTGACTCACTTTCAAACGGATAACTTTTAACCCGGGTATGTTTTAACCCAGGCTAGTGGTAAGGCTGCCTCAGAAAGAGTTATCGCAGACGCAGAGACATTCACGAAACTGTAGAACATAGTGGAACACTATATTAAAGCCGCTTAGGGACAAGGATTCATATATATCAAATCTGAAAACAAAATCATCTGCAGCAGTTCCACAGATCCACAATCATTCAATCAGAGAAGAATTAAATTGTGTCAACTTAACAAGGTTATTTTGGCTACAGTGTTTAGATGCAATTACTACAAGACATGTCCCAAAATCCTGCAGTTGAAATTCGGACGACATACTTGATCGCTTAAAGTCTAAATGGTCCACCGGAAAGCAGCTTCCCCATCTCAAAAGAAGTAAAAAAGACATCCAACGTGTGAAAAGAAAGCTTTCATTACAGCACAAGGATATGAAGATGACCCAGAAAATGAATTTACCCATGAAGAAAATCATGCACCTTCATACCCAGCGCTAAAGACCTGTAGTGCGAATACATCTTAGACAGCTTATAATAGTCCGAAGACATTCTTCCAACTCAGTGCAACAGTCAAATGCAGACGCAGAGAACTTATTGTCCGGTTCAGAGTTGGACCATGACTCTGAACCAGACAATAATGCCTTCCGAGGAAGAAATGACCTAGTGACTACCTTATTCGAACTTCCTTTGCTATTGCGGTTCGCACAAATTCAATTTAAATGATCTAAATACTAATTATTTGGATGAAAAATGGAAGAAATGCTTTTGCTGACATCCAGCGTCATAATAAAGCAAAGTTATGCCAACGTATCATTTTTTTGCAATAAGATCTTTGATGACGTCATGCAAACATTTTTGATGACGTCATAGTAGATATACTGATGTCGGCAAATCATGCTTAAATATACATCAGTTGAAAGCTTGCAACGAGATGAGTCACAGTATGTAATTTGCGTCAAAAATAACAAATCTAGTAAAGAGCTAGCGATGATTTTGTCTGATTTTTTACCGTTAAATGACGTCATCAGTTACGTGACACCCAGGCATTTTCAAAAATGTCACCTGGTAGATTATGAAAGCCTGGACTCCCTACTACAAGAATCCGTTGAGAAAGTAAAAATCAGCTTGAATGTCAGATTGTCGGGCTATATGTCCTGTCTATTCTCGCTGTTCTTATGAAAACGATGCGTTTTCAAATGACTCTGTTTTTGAATGACTTTTTGGTATCAATTGTCTCCGTTCTCGAGCGTAATGATGGGAATGCAAAATCAAAAACGGTTCATTCAACTTTTTCTCATACGAAAGCGGAGTAACGGGAACAGGGCCTAAAATTTCCCTTCATTTGTAAGCAGCAATATTCGACTATAAATGGCAATTGATATGCCAGTGGCGGCTCGTGGGGTTAAATTTTGGTGGGGCAGATGACGTAATATTCGAAATCTAAAGCCATAGACACGGAACGCCAAGAATGATAAAAAGCCTTTCCATTCTTTACTACCTCTAATCAACAAGGCTGTAATCATTTTGAAAGTTTCGATTGAAAAAAAAACAAGTGCCACTATTAATCATGTATAATTTTTTAATAAGCAAAGTAATAAACTATGTGAATTGTTGGTGTTCTCAACTTTATTCATTCAAGTCCGCTGGTCCGTTTCTCTCTTCACAAAAAGGGGAGTTCGTGGGGGATGTCCATAAAAACATAGACAACTTGATCATGGCCAACCCTTAGACGATATCCTTTGCATTGCATAGCATGGCAATTAAAAAATTTTAAAGAACAAAAAGTTCAAACTGTTAATGATTAATTTTCATATGCCGTGAAGCTAAAATTGTTCCAGTTGAAAGCCTGCATTAGAAATATGCTTTATGCCATAAGAAGGCCTGCGGCCTAGCCTTCCCATTATGAGCTCATTTCAAGATCAGCAAAATTAATTTTGATAAAGATGTAACTTGTATGCTTTATTTCAAAGTTTTAAGGCTGATAATTCGAGTCATTGAATACACGCTACTCTGCTGCGTTCCACTTCAAGATCAACATTGCCTATCAAATCACAACAACAAAATTCAGCTACCGTTGAATTGAATTATTTCGGGCTAGTTTCAACTAGTCCCAGAGGAATGCAGATTCGAACAGAATTGGCCAATCAGAAGGCAGTCATCAATTGAATAGTGGAGTCATGAGAGGCACTTGATTGGTGCATTCTCTGCTAGTTTGGGGCTAGCCCTAAAAGCTCGGGAGATGGTTTCTGATACGCGTGTTTGTTCAGTTTTCGAAAGAACCGCGGGCAGTGGGACCTAAACAAACTAGAGAATGTACAAACAGTGAAACTCGAAGCAACGAAATTAGTAAACAGCGCTAAATTAATAATGGACGTTGATTTTATTTACGTTTATAAATCTAAAACTTATTTTTGGAAATCTTTGGTGAGGCTGAGCCCCACTAGCCCCAATACACGAGCCGCCACTGTCTGCAAGTTATGGCAAATCAAGCCCTCTACAATTCAATGGGCTTTTCTTTACAAGAACCAGACCAGTTTTTCAACTGAAGCTCAATGTCCCTTTTTGGATAATTTGATGCTTAAGTGTTCTTATTGCTGTTCTTATTTCAACAATTATTTCATTCGCAAACTACGAATTGCTTTTTAGACAAATAAATAACCGTTTTGCATGAGACTTTTAGTAGAAGGTTGATAACCTCTTTACATGAAGTACTTAACATCTTAATTCCACCGCGTGCCTTTGTAGAAAGTGCAATATGGCAGAATTCATTATTTTAGTAAATATGTTCTTTGTCATTTTCGCATGTCTATAACAATCTCCCGAGTAACTCCAACATATTTATAGAAAAAGCGCTAGCGTCATACAGTATTTTCAAAGCACCTACCGGCAGGGCCGCCTGGAAGGGGGGCAAGGTGCCCCAAGGCCTCGGGGTCTTGGAGGCCGGAGTAATTAAGTCAATTTTGAGAATGAAATTAATGAAAAATAACAAAAAACCAAATGTAGTGAAATCTTCTAAACGATTGCAAGAAAATTACTGGATATAATATTCTGAGATGTATTTTAAGCAAATATGAATGGCGTAGTCGCGAAATTTTTCATCTCGCCTCGCTCGCAGAAGGCCTTCTGCCTCCACTCGGCGGCCCTGCTTTCCAAGTAATCATTGTATCTTACTTTCTAAGAATTTGCTGCTATTTCCCTTTCTTACCTATACGAAGCCTCGGTACCATACCCTTTTACTCGAATACGTTGCTCACTGTCGTGACCAAACGATGCGTATATCGCTCCATCTTTCCTTATGCAGGTGACATTTGTTATTGTGGTAGAATTGTCGAGCTTAAGCATGAATTTGCCTTCAGTTGTTCCTGTTGACAGAGCTTCTTTGCAGGATCCAAACGGTCCTTTTGACGAAGCTCCTTTGTTGGACCCAGCTGGTCCTTGGTCACTGACTTAAAATTAAATTGTAAATAATTAATAATTAGCATAATTAAGATAATCAGAATAATTAAAATACTTAACATAATGAAAATAATTTGAATAATTAAAATAAACTGTAAGCAGGTTGCTAAAAGATTAGAGATAATTACGCTTTGAGTTTGAATTTTGATATAATGCATGCATTAAATTACCAGCAACTTTTGTTTCTAATGTTGTAAGAAAAAGGTTGTCGGCGAACTGCTAGGATCATGAAAGTGAATTTAAAAAGACCATCTTCCAACGCATGTTTTTTCTATAAATGAATTATTAATATAATGTTCCTTACAAAGAAACTTGAAATAAGTGAGAAGTCAATTTTGTAGTTTTTCTTTTGCAGTTTTTGGCAGCCCTCAAACAGGACAGGCTCCAACAGGACTTTTTAAGGTATATTGCTTGCTGCTTTATTGTTAGCTGATTAAAAATCGTGTAAAAGTTTTAACAATTGCTGAAACAGAATTGCTTATTATTATGTGTCATGTAGAGTTCATAGTTTTGTTTCGCAGCTAACAAGTCGCTTACTTCTCGAATAACAACACATACAGTGTTGAAAAATTGACAACTCCATTTGGCACAGCAAAATTGGCTTACATCCTCTCGACCACGAGCGGTTGACCAATCAAATTGCGCACAGAGAAAAACATCTCAACAGTTTCCGCCTTTCTCAAATCGGCGAAATTTTAGAGCTTCATGCAGTGGTTTCACGTGATCACTTTCAAAATCCTTTCATGCGCGCATGCTCTGATCAATATGGCCGCAGTTATTTTTGGATTCGCTGTGCTTATGCATGTCAAATGCCTTTAATAACAAGGTTATAATTTTTAGGTGATATCTACTATCAAAGTGTTATGATGATGATTATTTTCATATGCTTGACTTTTCGTTTTATTCTTTTATTACTCAGGATTCAATGCCGACACGTAAAGATCTGAACAGTTAGTTTGTAAAGGTGAGTTCATTCGTAATTTTTAATTATGTGGATTAAACACTTTTAAAGTTTAAAAATTGCGATATTTCTATTTTCCCTCTTCCCCCCTTACTCTCCCCTTATTATTAGAAGGGTAATGTGGAGGAGCAAGTGAATGACCCTGCGCTGTACAAACGCCTCGTCCTTCTAATAGAGACGAAACTCCAGAAAGGTTCCCGGTTCCTTGTTAAAATTGTATAAAAAGACAAAAGCGAAAAAGCACTGCGAATGTTCTATTTATTTACTTATGAAAAGACTCCTTGGTACTGTGAACTTTACATTAAAACAACATATTCCATGAGTGAGATTATTTCTAGCGTAGCGTTCATCTTGCGAGTCGTGTCTCTCCTTGACTGCTTTTTCTTAGATGAGTTAAATTGCATGTCATCAATCACATGACCAATCGATTTCCTTCAATGGTTTGAATAGGAAAATTTAAAGCTTTTATAATTAACGATCGAGTACAACGGCAGTTCTTCTTAAATTTATCAAAGAATAAATTGTTCAAAAAGAACTTGGACTATCTTTCAGCACATTTTACACGTTTATTTATTGTGGGTAGTGGTAGAAACGTCCAAAATAGGCCTAAATCTAGCTGCGAGGTACGTTTGTTATCATGCATTCATTTTTTTATAAGAAACTGGCTATAAGAAACGAGTACTGAACAGTCAGAAACTTCAGTACTCAAAGCAAAACAAATTAAGAAACTATTAAATCATGATAAAAATGAGAACAACGAAATTTTGTAAAATCCAAGAACATGATTGCCCTGTTGGCCTAGAAATTAAGACACAAGGGATAAAAATATACTTCCCACATCTAAAAACAGCATCAGAACGGAAGCGAATCTCTTGACGTGATAAAAAAGTCACGAACATTTTATAACATCATTCATGACATCTTAATTAAAAAACTCTTAAGAAACAATGAGTATTAAAATTTCCAGAACATTAAGAAACTGGAGTACTCAACATCGACTTTTGTTTCTTTTAAAAAAATGAGTGTTTTCTTGAATACTGATTGGCCAATGAAATGGGGTATGGAGAATTTTGGTCGCTCAGTCAATCAAGGAGCTGGAACCTATGCTGTCATATACAGTCAAAAATATGATTTAAAATTAGTTGAAGAAAAGTTGTGGCGTACTTAACTTTGAAAATGACCAAACTCTCTTAAAGTACCGTCATGTTTGTAAGAAGGTAATTTAGCTAGAATTTTTTCTGTTGCATCATGTTTTTGAATAAAATAGTCATGGTGAACAAAAATTGAGGGCAACCGACAGATATAAAAGTGGCCTATGCCATCAGCCATTCAATATTAGCCAATCAATAAGCGTGTGAGTGGAATCGGCCAATCAATAAGCGTGTGAGTAGAATCAGCCAACCAATAAGCGTGTGAGTGGAATCAACCAATCAATGACTTAATCTTGCTGACTGATTGGTCAATTTTTGGTTGAAAAACGTCTTCACCTTTCAAATCCAATGACACTTCCTTCAAACTTTATGACTAGGCATATAATATTGAAGTTTGAAAAGTTTTTAAAAAAATGTGAATTTTGAAAAAAATAAAAGACCGAAAAAAATCATGAAAAAATAGCCTAGATATTTGAAGTCCGTTAAATTAATGCGATCTTCACTGTTATGATCAAACGAAGCTATGACTCTGCCTTCATCTGCCTTGCATCTAACTATCACAGATGAAAACATATTTATGTGTTTGATCCGATCCTCGCTCTCGTTGATATGCCATGGCAAAGCATGATTTATATTCACCTTGGACTTAAAAAAGACATAAGTTCACTGGGAACTGTCGATAATTAAATTGTTAAAATTTTTGCAATAAAAAATGTACGCTATCTAATTTTATTCAAACGATTAATTAAACAAGAGTTGTCAATTTGGAATCTTTTTTCTCGATTTAGATGTGTTCATCAATGTTGATCAAGCATTTCGTTTATCAAGGTTTAAAGCCAACTTTAAATTTGTAGATTTATTGAAGCAAAGGCTGAGACACTGGGGCGGGGGGCCTTGGCTCCCCAAAAAAACTTAGGTTGCATTAATAAAAAGCTTTTTTTTGTGAAATATGGCTGTTGTTACACTGATTTATCAGGGCTGCCCCCCCTCCCCCTAAGCAAAAAGTTGTATCTCGATTTCTTTATTGAAAGAAAAACAACTATGTCATTCTAATACTATAGCACTTTTCGTCCGACACTCATCAGATTATTAACGTACAATAATGTCCAAATACAAGCAGAGATTTGTAAGTATAAACTTACCCTTTCTCCATATAATTCCATTCGTTTTTGCCGTCTTAGCTGCCACATCAACATTATCGACGAGCTTAAAATATTTTGTGTCAATGTTATATTGTACTTGCTCACAGCTTTTATCTCTATCGCAGGCAAGTAGACCTTCTGTGACAGAAAAGCTTTCATCACTATTTTCTCCATTTTCCAAAATGAAGAAACTTGCTGAAACCGTAACAATGACTGCAAAAGTCTTCAAAAGACAAGCTAAAAGCACGTTTAAAATCATTCTCGGTTTTTTGTGATTCAGCGCAACGAAAATGTCTGTGTGGTTCACAACTTGCTACTTATTGATTAATGATAATTTAAAAAAAAACCATGTTTATACAGGTAAACATGGTAGTTTGATATCCGCAAAATAATTAGGCCGATAGTTTGATGTTTGTTGCAAACATTGAGATATTCTTCAAGCAATTGTTTCACAAATATTTGATTTTGAGGCTAAAAAACCCTGTTATCCACATGTTAGTCGTTAATTCATGAATGCATCTTCAATCGTTTTCAATTTTTGTGCAAACATTTATGTCTGGATCCGTTGTCCATTTCCAAATATTAAAGAGCATTTTATACTATCTCTTTGTATGGCCAGGAAGATCTTTCCTATTGCCATAATCTTCCGCATGTCTACAGGAATTGCATGCGTTATTTTGATACGTTACGTTAATTCAATACCAAATAAACTGGTTCGAAACAAAGTTTTGATTATCTTTCCGTTTTACAATCTGGTTATGGTTAAGGCTTTATTTAATTCTAGAGCAGGTAACCACTGTACTATTTCAAAATGTAAGGATATCTCTGTTTGGTGCAGTTAAACATAAAGCCAAGGTTTTGCTCCTTATAGTCTTGTAATATAGAATCATTTTAAACGAGCTATATAATCAACTTAATGATGATGCTTCTTGATGGATCTCGATGCCGTGTAAACGGAGCTGTGCTTGTTTCGTGAGTAGAGTAAGGCAATTGTAAGATTATCCGGTATATAACAAGGATAGAACACTCGAACTCGAACTTCAATACTCCATTTTGTATTCTCACGCATAGCATCACATAACAAACCGGGCGCATGCCCAACATAACATAAATACGAGGCTAATAACGTCACAGCGAACTTAAGTTGTGCCAGGCTCAAATAACACTAAATGAAATGTTTATTATAGGAATACTTCCCACTTAATCTTGATCATTTTCTCTTTGCTACTGTTCTTGATGTAATGATAGAGAAGAATTTTATGAAAACAAAACATGTTGAATGCATTGGCTATAGTGCTGCACTTTTGTGGCGTGGGACTCAATTGCATTTAGAGAAGCAAAATGTGAAACTAAAGTATACTTCACATTGAATTTATCAGGACAATGTCGTAAGCATTTTGCAGCAACCCTGTCAAGGTCATTAAATCATTCTGTACAATAGCCTGGCCGATTAAAGAATAGTTATAAAAGAACAAGAGCTGTATCTGTTGTGAGCTGATTTTATTTGAAATTTCCAGCCAAAAGATCTTCTTTATTTGTTCAATTGATTACAAAAGTTTATACAGGCGAGGGGGACTATAGTCACCCATCGAGGGAATTTGCAAAACCAACTCTGTTATCGATATTAAAAAAATCGATATTATACCGAGAAATTTGGCGTCGGGATGCCTCCTTTCTCCAAAGTCATTGTGATGGTGTCTGGAACTAGGGTTTCCAATATTGGTCTTTTCCTAGTTAAATTGCCTGGAAATTTTGTTTTTGGCATACTACTTAAATTTGGCCTTTTTGGCCTTTTGGCCTTCTTCAACAGAAGTTCTAAATTGAAAGAGAAAATTACTATATTAATGGAGTAATCAGAAGTTAGTGTTTTACCCAAGTGTCAAATATTATCATGTAACCTAACTACTAGCAAAGAATTTTTTGAAGAAGAAGTAAGCTTGTGTGAGTAAAGAAGTGATTTAAAAGGCGCATGCGTAGAGAAAGGAACAGCCCTTTGCAACAATTTTTGAGAATTTTTTTGATTTGTCCTTTTTATGTGATAACTGGCCTTAGTTGCTCACCCATCTGGCCTTCGTTTGTTAATCCAATCTGGTAACACTGTCTGGCACAAAAGTCTTTTTTCTTAACTACCCATGTATGGTATTTATCAAACCCTTATAAATTGTATTGTCAGCTTTCTCTCTGACAGTTCAATAGCCATTATCGTTGACTTATTCCTCGCAAGTTGCCACTCAATAAATGCTAGTCTTCCACAGCATTCTTTCATATCTCCTGTTTTATTAATTTTATTGATAAATGACCTACCAACTTCCACTGTTATATTCTTCATTATTTTGCTGATGACACTTATCTGAGCTCTCATTTCTTCTCGATTCTCAAAATAATTCTGTTATCAACCTCCCTTCAAGGAAATATTTCAGTTCACTTCTCACGGATGACATGGCAAAAATAGAGGAGGTGGATAGATAAATTCTCATTAGGTTTTTTTCAAACTGGAACCATACAAGTTGTCATTTCACGCACTTGTAACAATGACTTTCCTCCTGTCTTCATGGATGGTACTAATTTTGACATTTCTACTTCTTCGTTACAGTTAGGCCTTTCTGGTTCATGCAACCTTCATTAGAAATAAATATTTCTTCCAATGATTAAGATCTATCTTGGGTTTCTTTCTAAAGCATGTGGATTCTTCTCTGCATCACACCTCTTAACAATTTATATGTCCTAAATTCATCCTTCACAAAATACTGCTCTTACATTTTTATCTATTTTTCAAAGACTTTCATATTACCTGGAATTTTTATTTAACTACAAAATATAAAATAAAAACAGTAAAACTATGGTATTTGCGACGTTTGAAATTTAAATCAGTCCTCTAGATTTAGTTAGTCAAAAGTTATTAAGAGAAAACTGAGAGGGTAGTTTGCGTGCGAAACTACAGAGCGAGTCGTCAGGCCTATATAAATCATAACATTGTTGCTAAGGAAATGAATCTTGATGTACCTTTAGAAAAAGTGATTTTTTGGTCAAATAAAAGTAAGGCGAAATGTGGGTGTGACAAGAGGGTTCAGTAGTTTTTCGATGTTCTAGAACCAAAAGCTCAATACATCCCAAAGCTTATTTTGAAATGAAAAAGTCTAGATAACCACCTTAATCAAGTTTATTCAAATCTACAAGCAGCTCAACTAGAATTTTACCCATAGACATCTGATATGCGATATTTTGCAAAACCGGCTAGCTTTGAGATAAATTAAAGTCTGTTTTGTGTTGAGTAATGAATTTCCATATATTTGATTACATTGTATCACGTATAGGTAAAATATGGTCAGATTATGAGATTCTAAAATTTATAAGGTCAGCCAAAAATACAAGTTCTGGCCCATATTACAATTTGTTCAATCTTTAAACAAAGTTCGATAGTCAATGGCACAACTACAAACGTTTATCAAATTCCAATTTGTTTTGTTTCCATGTTGTGCATTTTACTCTTCAGCTTTCACTGCTCTTCACAGATCAGTTTACCAATAGTATGCGCTCCTTGCTCCTTTGTTTCACCTGTGTCCCCGAGTCTCACTTGAGTAAGTGGCAGGCTCGCTTTATCTGTGACGTAACCCTCATCAAAACGCCATGTTAGATCATTGGCATCACAGTTGCAAAGATCGTACCTCTTTGCGCAATCATTTGTTATCCCACATTGGCAACCTGTATGGAAAGTATTTAAAAATAGCTACGTTTATCTCTTATATGTGTTACAAATTTGAAATTACTTGTGGCCCGGTTCGAGTGGAAATCAATCGGCTTTGAAACAAAATAATAAGCACGCAAAACACATATTTTTCCAACTCAAACCTTCATAAAATCCAAAAACTCTTTGCAACTGCTTAAATGGTTTGAACTGTTTCTCGCTATAACTAAAATTGAGTGTCCTATTCCGGGGACAAGTCTGTTCTTGTAAGATGGTTAAAAGGGGGTCTTTGAAGAGTTGCTCAAATATATTATTTCTACAAAACTATTTCTACACCACCAACTTCTAAACTACGAACTTCTACACTGACTGTAATGACTGACTGACTGTAATGACTCACTGACTCACTCATTGACTCACTGACTGACTCACTCACTCACTCACTCACTTACTCAGTCACTCACTCACTCACTCACTCACTCACTCACTCACTCACTCACTCACTCACTCACTCACTCACTCACTCACTCACTCACTCACTTACTCAGTCACTCACTCACTCACTCACTCACTCACTCACTCACTCACTCAATCACTCACTCACTCACTCACTCACTCACTCACTCACTCACTCACTCACTCACTCACTCACAAATGAAGCCGCCATATGACCGAGCGACCTATGGAGCGAAGAATAAACAATATATTGAAATGTTTTTCAAATCCGTTTGTCTCTAATCGCCCTATATAGCAAACAAATAAATATCTAAGTTGAACTGCACATTTAAACGAATAATAAGCCAAGTATTTACCGTGGCCTTTCACCGGTCCACCTCCAATATACGCCATTTGGTTCCCACGTCTGTCAATCAAGTAGCCAACGTCGGTTATCTGCATGTGATAGCAGTCGATTCTTGTGAACTGTTTGCAAGCATATGACGAGTCAACGAAAGCGATGATGTCATCTAGTTTAGATTTGTACTTTATTTCATGCCTTAAAAAAGTTCAATGTGAAGCATTAAATTATTTCTCTTAAAAAGTGCAGTTACCTTTGTAACTAAAGTATTCCACATGAGGACAATTAATTAATTCTTAACAACCAAAAAATCTTGATCTTTAACCAAAATAATTCTTATAATGGATTTTGCAACTTTAAAAGTCCTTCTGTGGCATGATATTATCGAACTCTGTTTAGGTATGTTTGTAACAAGATTTCTACATTAACCTATACAATGAAACTTATACAGTTCGCTTTATGTTGCCTGATGATGGCATGAAACGTGAAACTCAGAGTAGCAGCTTAGAACCGTCCAGTTCTCTACATCAAAGTATCTAGCTCGGCTTTTACGGAATCTAACACTCTATGCAAAACTGGTAAATAGTACTCTTTATAGCTATCTAAAAAGTACCTTTATATGTGTAAAAAATTTGTATTAACCTAATTTGTGAAAACCATAACCATGCTGCATGGCATTTGATTTTTTACTGGCAAACTTCAATAGTCATCCAAACTTACCCTTTCTCTTCGAAATTTCCAAAGGCCCTGTGCTTTGGTAGTAAAGAGGTGATATTGCAAACTGGACCAAGTAGGTAAAAATAGCGTGACGTTCGCATAAAAATTTTAGTGTAAGCAAAAGTTAAAAGCAAACGACAGATGTAAAAGT